TTTAGCAGTTATTTGATGTGTGCATTCAGCAGTTATACACTGTGTGGTACACTTGTAAATGCTTGGGAAGGCAGAGAGCAACAAGGAACATCTGGAGGCCAAGTGAATGACTGACAAGGAAACAGCGCACCCTCAAAACAAGCACTCTAAGCTTTCATGCACACAAAAGAAAGAGTCACTTACACAGCCAAGTGAATGTTCCCTTTCATTTTTAAGCAAACTGCCCATCTTAAAATAAAGTCTCCGAGTCATCAGAGAGGTGGTACGACTTGTCATCCGAAATGGTAAAATACCCATAACCTTCAAATAAGTTTTTTGCATTTCTTATCAGCTAAAGTGTTAAAGGGACACTGACAGGGTATTTATGCTCGCCGAGGTTTTTAGTTGTACGTGACATATCAGAGCTCAACTACCCAGAACAGAAATTGCGGCTTGAAATTCGGTTTCTTTCCGCCCGAAAACCGCCGATCAAGAACTGGCCGGTTCGAGTCTCGCTCACTCTCTTTTTCGCGGTCACGGGCCGTTTTCTAAGGTATCGATGCGACCACCAAATTTAATCAAAGTCGTGGGTCACTGAACGCACACACTCAATATTAAAAATAGAAAAAAATATTAAACCCATTTTTTGTGGCTTCTAAAAAGCTGTAAATACGCTGATTGAAAAAAAAAGTTCCACAGACAACCGGAAGCATTCTGTGCGTTCGTCGTTTCGCGTATCGTGGGTCTCGCGGGGACGGCGATGGCAGCGGACGACGGGCGTGGGACCTCTATTTCAGAACTGCCGTTCGCGGTACCGGCGAATTCTGTCTACCGTTAAAAGAGAAATTTGGGACTGATCAAAAGAATTGGTATTCATCCCGTACGACACACCCGGCCACCAAGCCGATTTAAACGAAGGCGTCGCCGAGCCGTCGCTCCCTTCTCGTGGCTGAAGACATCGCTCGCGCAAACGTCAAGCACGACGTGTCTACTTCGAGTTGAATATGCACGCGTACAATTTCTTTACTAGGTGCGAATGTCCCCAAAGCGTGGTGCTTCCCGACTTCGACCCGGGAGTGCTTTTGCTAGAGAAAAATCGACAGCAAACTTTCCAACTTACAGTTTACCGGCTGAATTATTACAAAGGAAAGAGATCCTCCAGAATCGAGATGCCCCAGTAGCTCAGTGGGAAAGACGTCTGGTTCACACGCGGTAGGACCGGGTCCGATCCCCTGTGAAATTTTTTTTTGTCAAACATTTTTTGATGTTTACATATCTTTTTCTTTTTTTTTTACAATCATCACTGAAGAAACAAACAAAAAATAACAAACAAATGTTGTGGACGATACTTCGCTGAATTAAATGGTATGGGATTTTCGTTCTGACACCTGCGAACTCAATGTAATCACTTTCCACAAAATGCAAGGAGCATATAAATCAGGTAGCGTCCGCTTTCCGAGGTGCCCGTAAATGTTCTACAGGAATTGCAGCCAGCAATTGGTCCCGATCCCGTTGATCTTTCGGAAACTCTGTCGCACAATGCCACTTTTTTCGGATGCAGGACAGGTGAGCCAGCTCTTCACGCAACATCTTGGGTGTATTCTTTTCGGAGCCGATCATGGAAATTCACCACGGGCACTTGCTACTCATCTCCAACTCCTCAATGTACAAAACAACTCATCTTGGAATACAGAACAATGAGCGGAACAAACATAACTGCAAAAGAATCGCAGGGCGAGCAGTTCCCGCACGCCGCATCGCACGCCGCATGTCGTGTCGTCTGCTACGGAGAGGAGAAAAAAAAACACACACAAAAAAAAAATGCACGGTCGGGTGTAGCCACGTGACTTCCGCCACTCACTCTCTTCTCTCCACTTCTCCGACCTCCGTCGGGTTTCGGTTTCGAGCAGTTGCGTCTTTTGGCTTTATTAAAAAAATATGCTACTCTGTTGCAAAATATTAATTGTGTAGTCCTCCGACACCATAATAAAGCGCCTGGCAAAAAATAAAAATTTTTTGGGGGGTGTCAGTGTCCCTTTAAAGGGACACTGACAGGGTGTTGATGCCCGCCGAAGTTTTTAGTTGTACATGGCATATGAGTGCCTAACTACCCAGAACACAATTTGTGACTCAAAATTCGGTTTCTTTCCGCCCAAAAAGCGCCGATCAAGAACTGGCCGGTTCGAGCCTCGCTCACTCTCTTTTCCGTGGTCACGAGCCGTTTTCTAAGATATCGATGCGACCACCAAATTTAATCAAAGTCGTTGGTCACTGAAGGCCCACACTCAATATTAAAAATAGAAAAAAATATGAAACCCATTTTTTGTGGCTTCTAAAAAGCTGCAAATATGTTGATTGAAAAAAAAGTTCCACAGACAACCAGAAGCATTCTGTGCGTGCGTCGTTTCGCGTATCATGGGACTCGCGGGGACGGCGATAGCAGCGGACGACGGGCGTGGGACCTCTATTTCAGAACTGTCGTCCGCGGTACCGGTAAATTCTGTCTGCCTTTTAAAGAGAAATTTGGGACTGATCAAAAGAATTGGTATTCATCTCGTACGACACGCCCGACCACCAAGCCGATTTGCACGAAGACGTCGCCGAGCCGTCGCTCCCTTCTCGTGGCTGAAGACATCGCTCGCGTAAACGTCAAGCACGACGGGTCTACTTCGAGTTGAATATGCACGTGTACCATTTCTTTGCTAGGTGCAAATGTCGTCAATGCGTGGTGCTTCCCGACTTGGACTCGGGAGTGCTTTTGCTGGAAGAAAATCGGCAGCAAACTTTTCAACTTACAGTTTACCGGCTGAAATATTACAAAGGAAAGAGAACCCCCAGTACAGAGATGCCCCAGTAGCTCAACGGGAAAGACGTCCGCTTCACATGCGGTAGGACCGGGTTCAATCCCCCGCAAAACCTTCTTTTTTTTTTTCTTTTTTTTTAAATTATCCGATGTTTACATTTTTTTTTTTTTACAATTATCACTGAAGAAACAAACAAAAAAATAACAAACAAATGTTGTGGACGACACGTCGCTGAATTAAATGGTATGGGATATCCTTTTTAACACCTGCGAACTCAATGTAATCACTTCCCATAAAATGCAAGGAGCATATAAATCAGGTAGCGTCTGCTTTCCGAGGTGCCCAAAAATGTTATACAGGAATTGCAGCCAGCCATTGGTCACGATCCCGTTGATCTTTCGGAAACTCTGTCGCACAATGCCACCTTTTTCCGACGCAGGACATGTGAGCCAGCTCTTCACGCAACATCTTGGGTGTATTCTTTTCGGAGCCGATCATGGAAATTCACCACGGGCACTCACTACTCATCTCCAACTCCTTTATGTACAAAACAACTCATCTTGGAGTACAGAACGAGCGGAACAAACATAACTGCAAACGAATCGCACAGCGAACAGTTCCCGTAAGCCGCATGTCGTCTGCTACAAAGAGAAAAAAAAACAAAAAAAACACACGGTTGGGTGTAACCACTTGACTTCCGCCACTCCACTCTCTTTTCTCCACTTCTCCGACCTCCGTCGGGTTTCGGTTTCGAGCAGTTGCGTCTTTTGGCTTTATTAAAAAAATATGGTACTCTGTTGCAAAATATTAATTGGGCAGTCCTCCGACACCATAATAAAGCGCCCGGCAAAAAAATTAGAAAAAAAATTTTGGTGGGTGTCAGTGTCCCTTTAAGGTCATGTCGCCTTTACCGCGCTTGCAGACGCCTTCTTTTTTTCTTTTTTTTTCTTTTTTCTTGAAACAATTGGGTTTTTTGGTCATATTTTGGAATGAACAACATAACAACCTGAAGGGGGCGCAGCAAAAGTGGCAATGTTGCCGTCTGCCCGAGAGCAGGCAAAACAAGCTCCGAAAGCGAAACGCGAGTGTGGTACGTAATTCGATTTTCTGAATTGTTCCCAGATGACGCCTGTCGATCATGCAGTGGCTCGAGCATATGACGTCATGTTTTTGAATGAAAACAGGGCTGGCGCTCAGCGAGCCTGGTTGCTGTCTTGGAACTTGTCCCGATGGGTCGTCTCATCTACTTCGTCTCGGTGCGGCCTTCTATGGCCCTTGCCAGTTCCCGTCTGGGCCAACCGCACGGCTAGGTGAGCCCTAGCCTATCATGCCTCAGCACACCACGTCCTTGGGCGGTTGGCTACAGGCGCTTCTCCTGCTTTCTTACGTGCCGAGCAACCTTTAGCCTCGGCCATCCCCTAAAAATTACTACAATGAGCCAGACTCATGGTCTGTTTTTCTGCTTCGTAATGGATGGCACGAGCAACGCTCGTGGTTGGTAGACTAGGGGTTAACACTCTCTGGTTCTCGTCACACATCAAGACGGAGAGCAACTTTTTCAAAGAGATTTTTTTTGGCGCATCGAAACGCAAAAAGGGGCACGCCAATCGACAGGCTACGTAAAGAATGCGCGATGACGAGGCAGCCAAGCGCACGCTGTCATTGGTCGAGACTGGGGGGGTAAACGAGAGCATGCGGGCGCATTTGGAGGGTAAACAAACGCACGGGGTGTGCAAAAAGCAGACGAACTTGCACGCCGTATAACAACGATTGGCTCCCCTCTCCTCTGTGCCGCGGCATTCATCTTCTCGAGAAATGCCACCATTCTCTACCAGGTGGTGATGCTCGATCCCCACTGACACTTTGCGTAAAATGTTGTTCGTGCAGACAACGATAATCAACTCAGAAAGCCGCTGCAGTGCTAAGGTGCCCGGCCCGCATCCTCAACCGGTCCATTTATCGTCCCATTCCGTCACTGCGTCGAGAGTAGCTCCAAAGTGGCAACAAATGACGTTGCGAAAGTCGGAGCGTCCTGCCGTCGGACGGCGCAATCCTGGCGGTGGGGCATAAACGTCCCAATAAAAAAACGGCATAAGAGAATGCGAGCCTCGCCGTCGTCAATGCGGCACCAAGGCTGTACCGACGGCGTGGCATCCAAACCACGCAGCGTAGACCTTTGGGAGAAAACGCAAGCGTGCGAATGGCGGTCATACTTACGGAAGAAGTCCTTCTTGCTCAGGTTCTTGGCACAGAGCACTGCAAACGAAGAAGGAAGCGTCAGAAGAAATTCCCCGCATACACTGCCTCCCGACACCTCGAGGCTCAATCGTGCAGCTGCATTTGAGCGAGTGCATTGCATCCTTTTGACAGACTGGTACCCCCAGAACTGCATGTTACCAGGCTGAAGGTTTCGCAGTATTTACAAGATAGAATCTATGCACTATTCATGGAAAATGGTCATTTACAACATTGTCTGCATTACTTCGAGCCCAGAGTGAATAAATATTGCATAAAAAATTAGAAAATATATAGGCGGGTCGGGAGTGTTCCTGTTTTACTTGACAGATGGCGCCATTGTTTATCTCGGCAAAACACACTCCATCACAAATTTGTGAACCAGCCTTGAAAGTTTCTAAAACGGCCCGTTATCGCGAGAAACTTTTCGGGGACGTCTGTCACAACATCAGTAATGTGATCGGTCAGAGTCATTTTGGAGCACCTTCTGAAGCAGCTAAAAGTCTATTTTCGAGCAGCAAAGGGAACTTTTGGAGCACAAGTTTACACTTCATTTTCGTTCCAACCGCCGCAAATATTATATGCCAAGATTAAAGTGATTGTCCGGTCAAATTTTGTATTCAAGAAAATGTTTAGACCTCATTGTCAGTGGCTGTAAAAGCATCTTCCACAACAAATCTGAATTTTGTATGCTTCCCTGGACGAGTAATTGTATATTAACCCAGGCGTGCATAAACGGCGTTTTCCTCTTCCACCTTTGCAGCGGCGGAGGCTCTGACGTAACATAACGCAAAGGTTGTGCCAAACTGAAGCGCCCTTAGTATTTTGTTTTCCGTGTTAGCGCTAGGACGTGGTTCACCCTTGTTGCTGCACTAGAAAACTTTTTGTTAATGAAAGGGGACTCTTGCTGTGCGGTTGTCACGCTAGACACTTCTCCGCGTGATTTATAGCGGCCAGTTAAGTGGAATGCTGCAGTGAGTCAGGAGCACTGTTTTCTCACGGAGGAATGACGCGTAAGATCTGACAATTGCGAGCCTGGTGTGTCGTCACATCAAACATGGGAGCGCAGCCATTGATACTTGTGAAATGTGGCATGGAGTTTCGTATAATTATCCGTCATTAATTACACTAAATTGGGGTGTCGTTTATAAGAATAAAAATGGCCTATGCTAATCCTTAGGCTCCCATTAGGTAATCATCACAAGATGTTTTCACCGGATAATCCCTTTAATGTATTGGCCTGTCCATCTAAAGACATTGTCCACCTTGCCTTCCCGCTTTTGTGCAACTTTTAGAGTCAGTTTAATCCCCTAGTTACACGGGCACTTTGAACTGTCGTTGAGTTCAATCACAGTTATCAGCCCTAACTGTGATTGAACTGAACTGAACTGAGATGGTGCTACCATACCTCGGCAAACCTCACTCATGAGGGCCCTCACTCACCCTCACTCACCCTCATCCTCACAGATGAGGTGAGGGTGAGTGAGTTTCTGAACCAGGAAAATTCATGAGTGTGAGGGTGAGTGAGGGCCGTGAGGGCTGTGAGGGCGGTGAGGGCCGTGAGGGCGGTGAGGGCGGTGAGGGCGGTGAGGGCCGTGAGTGCGTGAGGGCCGTGAGGGCGGTGAGGGTGGTGAGGGCGGTGAGGGCCGTGAGGGCGGTGAGGGCAATGAGGACCATGAGGGCGGTGAGTGCGTGAGACCCCTTCAGATCGAGCATCTTTCTCAGCAATTTTGGTGTTAATGGCGGGTTGTTCTCCAGCTTTCCCTAGATCGACACGAATTGCTAAGATCGGGTCCGGCTCGAAATAAGCAAGCAACTCAGAGCAATTCGAATACGTTTGAAGCGGCTGCATCCAATCAGGGACGCAAAATTTTCACGTGATACCTCGTGCCGGTGATTATGACACCGAAAGACTTGGTTCTGGTTCGAACTCGATCGTTTTTTGGAAATAAACTGTTTCAGAAAGGTGAATTAGCATTCTTAACGAGGTTTAAATGCATAAAAACACGTTTATAACGCGTAATTGTGTCTAAATAGTGCAAGAAAAATAAAATTTTATGATGACGATGGCAAATTGCAGCAATTGGTTGCTGCGTGCGATCGCGGGCGGCCCGTGTTGCTGGTGTTGCGACGTAAAGTTTCTGGGCGAAATCGCCCCATCTGAAGCTGGCCTGAGTGGCGTGATGGTCATGAGTCCGTGAGGGGTGTGAGTGCCGCAAGGGCGGTGAGGGGCGTGAGGGCGGTGAGTGGCGTGAGGGCTATGAGTGCGTGAGGGCCGTGAGGGCCGTGAGGGCGGTGAGGGCTGTGAGGGCCGTGAGTGGCATGAGGGCGGTGAGTGAGTGAGGGGCGTGAGGGCCGTGAGGGCGGTGAGTGCGTGAGGGCCGTGAGGTTCAGTGAGGGTGAGTGAAGGGCTGATGGTGAGTGTGAGTGTGAGGGTGAGGGTTAGTGAGGGGCTGAAGGTGAGTGTAGCTGTGAGGGTGAGGGTGAGTGAGGGGCTTAGGTGAGTGTGGCTGTGAGGGTGAGGGTGAGTGAGGGCGACCTAAAATGCCGACCTCTGGGTGCTACACGGCTCTCTAGAACCTAGTTGAAGCTAAAACGAAACTAGTTATTGTGCCTCGTGATCAGTCTAATTGTTACAGTAATCTACTCGGAGAAACATATTTTATTTACTATAAGTATATCGTACATCATGTTCAATACCTTGTTGCTTTTTAGCGGCATTTACATCAGTACCAAAGCAAATTCAGGGCTAAGTTGTGCATATTTTAGGCTAGGTGGAGCTAGCTACCACCCACTACGATGGGTGCACCCATTACTATCTGTCCATTCACACAGCTGGCCCCGCCGCCATCTTCGCTCGTTTGGTGGCTTGCCGGCTAGCCGGGATCGTTTTAGCGGCAGTTCGGACGCCTAAAGCTATTCCTTCCTGGATATTTTGCTGCTACGATTCTTTTTAGACGCCTCCCCCTGCATTCCGAAACAGTAAGTGCCTCGGAAACGATGGTCAGCGGCAGCGGTCCCGCGGACAGGCGCCATTTTACCTCAGTTGAGGAAGTCCATTCAGTTGAACTGAGGTAGGAGAGCTCAGTTGAACTCAACTGTCATTAGCGGCTCGATGACAGTTGGCGCCGCCGTGCAACTCCGGCCGATCACGACTGAGTCAACGACAGTTGACTCAATGGCAGTTGAAAGCGCCCGTGTAACTAGGGTATTACAGTGGGTATGACTTCTTCAAACACAAAACTAGCTGTTGCATGTGTTAAGTGCCAGGCACGACAACAATATTCTGAATGATGAAAGACAGTATAATTGCTGCAAGATGTTATTTTAGGCACAGAGACAAAGTTCACTGTGCCATCGCTCGAACAGAACCTATGTAAAGGTTAACAACTAAACCAGGGAGTTCACATAAAAAAATAAGCTTACAGAGAAATCGATATAAATCTTCCCGCAATACACAAGTATCCTTGCTAAATCTCAATCTCGAACAAAAAATAATCAAAATATTGTAACCTATCTTATGTAGTAGTCGCAGTTTTATTGAGGATTTTTTACTGCAGGGTAGAGCTGTTACATCAGCACTTACAAAGCTTCGTTCTTTCTTTTTTTTTCTTTCTTTTTTTTACACTTGATGCTTGAGTGTGCAACGCATCGCTCTGGAGAAGTGACTTCCCCTTAGTACATGGCTGCACTGCGGCACAGCAAATGCGAAACATTGTGTTGCCTACTCCGCAGATTTCGCATCACTGCAGTGCACAGTGCATGGCGAGAAGCGCACTAGCCGAAGCTACCTAACCAACCAGAACAGACCACAAGCATGAAAATATTGAGCGACTTACAGTCGGCGTTTGACACAGAGAAAAAATACCTTTAAATTCTGACAAGCCTACCCATAGCAATACGGACGTGCAGCGGTGCGGGGCCTCAGATATTATGCTTTCAGTATTAATAGAATGAAATTATGTTTTTCGCACAACAGTGGCACAAATTAATCACACTGTGTTGAAATGTAGCAGGACAAGGCGGGGTAAGCAGATTGGCGCAAATGGCGCAGCAATCACACATCACTGCAACATTCAAGCAGAAAATCTAGGAGCCTCCGAAGAAAGGACACTTTGGGCTTCCAAAATTGCCGGATCCGCAGTTCGCAAGGACCTTGCGCCTACTAGAACAGATGGATGAATGGATATTGCTAAACCCTTTGAACCAGGTGGTAGCATGTGCCACCTGGTGGTATTGACCACCAATAGTGCCAAACTTCTGAACGGCAGTGGCCAGAATAACATTGGAAGGGAATGTTTTATGAGGCATCTCAGGGGTGCCCACCCTGTTTTAAGAGGGTGTTAGTCCAGTTGATTGACCGACTGTGACAGCGGTGCTGACACCTGGTGCCACGAGTTGGCACTAACACGAGGGAACCGCAGTTCGCATCATTACTGCATGATGTAAAGAGCCCTGGTAGCAACCGTATTGCACTTGCTCAATTTTTTATCTATGGCGTAAACCAGTTGTCACCGTACCTCAAAGGCAGACGGACATCTGTGTTGTCTAAGCTTGAACTTCAAATTTGTTTCCTTTTTGTTTGTACTACTCACTTACTTGTTGCATAAGCATTTGTCATAATCGGTCCTAAAGGTTGTTTGCGTAAGGTTTTCAGCACAAACATCACCGAAAAAAGAGAGCTCAAGTGGCAAGGACCCCTCTGTCTGTCATTCTAAAGCTGCCGCTGACCACAGTTGCACGTGGCATTTTTCAAACAAACGGAACGGCAGCGATAGCAATAACTTTGAAGGGACTGCCCAGAAACGTTTAAAGTTTCAACTGGTTCCAAACAAAACTATTTTTCTAGCCGCTTTTGAGAGGTAACTCTCTTTGCAGACGGACGGAAGACGCACCCGTCTGCTAAAAAAGGAACCGTACACAGCAAAAAAAAATTTGCGACTTCACTTTCCTACAAAACACACAAAGAGACAATCACGGCGAGCAGCAGAAGGGGCCCAGCCAACGACAAAGCTCAGAATATGATTAGATCTAAAAAATGTGACGTGTGCAGGAAGAGTGAGCAAGTGAAACGTCGTGCCCAATGTTCCTGCACATGTCGCATCGTTTGGGTCATCGCATTTTTTACCTTTTTAACTGTTCTGCAAAAAAAAAATTTAATTCACAGACATTTCTAATTTTTTTATAGGAGTACCATATTTTCTAGACTACAGTTTGCAGACTATACATGTTTAGAAGTTGGAATTTTATGCAGTAAAGACCACCTAGAGGTGCGGACTATACAACGATGTTCCTTCAAGACCGTTCCTCACAACCAAACATGACAGGTTTCGTGAATGGCAGGTTATATTTATGGTAATCTTTTATATCAACCTCTCGGTGTCCTAATAAAGCAGGCATTTTTCAAAATATGCTGCACTAAATTTTTGTGTGTGCGGATAGATATATAGATAGTTTTTATTCGTCGCAGCATCACAGAAAGGCCATTGGCCCATACCTGAGGCCTGTGGTGCCGCAGTATTACAAAAGCTCAACACAACAGTAACAAGAACATTAACAGTAATTAAGATTTAATGCAAAGGTCATATGGGGGTGGTATATATGTCAGTCCGAAAAGGAGGTGTCCGTCACTGCCGGAGGAAGTCTAATGCCTCTTTGCGCCAGGCTTTCATGTCCTCTTCCTCTTGGGGAAGGGGGGGGAGGGGGGTGCAAATTATCCAAACTTTTTTTTTTTTTTTTTTTTTTTTTTTCAGTCGAAATTTGTTGTTCTGATTTATACACCGGGTGCGGATAATAGACTGGAAAAGGCGGTATGGAGAAGCCATCGAGAGGGAGGTAAGGTCGTTTTCACCCCCCTGGACACCGGAATGCGTCTTAAGTCGACCTAAGCTTCCGGAATGGCCGACGACGACCCAGAAAGACCTTCGATTCCCGATCGAGCCCGAGGATCCCAGGCGCCGCTGAACGTCTGCCGATAAGGCCGTGTGGACAGCGATAAGAGAACCAGACGATCGCAAACAGAAGCACGTCGCCGACGTCCGTTGCACGGGCTTCTTCTCGGTCTCGCATGTCTGCTTCGCCGCGGGGGGTTTTCCGTGAGGCCCGTTCACGCAGTCGCGTTTGGGTGCGTCTGACTGCGTTGCGTCGAGAAACGGCCGCAAGTCACCGGGGCGCGACATCCTTGGGCTTCGTATGCAGCTGGTAACCGATTCAAGTAGTTTTTTGGTACACGACATACGAAGCACGGATGCCCCGGTTACTTGCGATCGCAACGCAGTCAAACGCAACTGTCTGTATGGGCACTTTTGCGCTCAGACACTGCGATGGTTACGGCGTTCCGATGCCCGTTCGTGGACGCAAAGTTGACGAGTGCGAGCTGAACGGCGGTGCTACACCCAAACAGCCCGAACCAACTCAAGCAGCTTCCGTCCAAGTTAAGCGTGTACCGATGGCGAACGGATGCTACTTGAGTGAAAAGAATACACTAAACAGTCGTTAATTGACCGCAACGACGAAGACTGGCCAACAGCGGAAGACCGAAGTTTGCCCGCGGTCGTCGACACTGGGGAATCCAGCGCCATTCATTGCGTGATGAGAGCGAAAAATTTTCAAAAGCTGGTTCAATTTAAGTTTACCACGACAGATCATGCAGCCGTGTTTAAGCTTAGGAGGCTGTCGCGCTCAGCTTTGAAGCCAGTGCAGCGAAACGACTTGAAAGGGATCGCAGTGCGAGAGCTCGCGCTCAAAGCTCAAACGGTGCACTCCGTGGAGTCGGTCACGTCGGAAAGCCTTGAGCATCCTCGCTTATCTGACACCGTTCCCGCGAGCGCCTCGACTGATTCGCGGCGTCGGCGGACGTTCACTCGAATCCCCCAAAAAGCGTTCGGGCACGACGGTACAACTCCAATAGCTCGGGGCGTTAGGCTTAGCCGACGCCAGACGAGCGGACCCCACCACCTCAGGCACCCCGCGCGCTAGTCCGATCGCCAGGACGGGTCGCGGCACGCGAGTGACACGATGTTTTAATTTCGGGAGAAGGCTCAAGAGACGGGGCTCGGACCCCACCGTCAGTCACCCACCTGTGAGTCTGATCTTCATGGCCCCGTGCCTCCTTGTCGGGGGGTTGGCCATGGCCAGAGAGCGGTCCCCCCAACGCCGCTCGATGGGACGTTGGACACGCTCGGCTGTTGCGGTCACGTCGGCTCGCGATCGCAGTCGGGCATTGTTGCGGCTCCGGTCCGCGTCTACGGGTCGTCCGACGTTATAGCGAGACACCCGCGGGCCGGCCCGACGACGCGCACATTCCGACCAAACTCGAGAGAAACAAAAAAATACACACACACACACACGCACGCCACAAAAAGTGAACAAACTTCGGTGCGAGTTTTGTTTGCACTTCGGGGCAAGCGGCGGAGAGAGCGGCGAGCAACCGAGCAACTCGCTTTCCGGACGCGTGGCGCCGTCTCGCGGATCCAGCCGAAACCACCGAAACTAGACGCTTTTATGCGACTGGATAAATTGCATTGGTGTGAGCTTGGAGTTGAACGTCAGGTTGCGCCATCTATTGGCTATAGTATAAAGCAAAATTGTCAGCTCGAGAGGAGGGCAATGGAGAGCGAGGAGAAAGGAAGAGCACCAGGAACTACAGGAAGTTTAGAGAAATAGGTTTCTCTTGCCCTCCCCCAGCCTTCCTAGTGCTTCCCTCTCTCCCCTTGCCTGGCTTTGCCTTCACCTGTACTCCATTTCACTAGTTACGTGAAGTACGTGTGAAGCCAACACCAGGCAAGGGTAGAGAGGGAAGCAGTAGGAAGGCTGGGTAGGAGAGAAACCTTCTAAAGTTCCCATAGTCCGTAGCACCTCAAGAAGGTAAAGCGAGGTTAAGACAGGCAGGGGAGGAGGAAGCAGACAGAACGCTGGAGAAGAGGCAAACCTTCTCTTCAGCGTTGTCTGCTTCTTCCCTCACCCTACCTTCTTGAATTGCAACGGACTATAGTGCTTTTCCTTTCTCCTCTCGCCCACCATAGCCCTCCTTCCCTGTCCTGCTTCCCTGGTACTTGCCCTTTCTCTCTACACCTGGCACTGCCTTCGCCTACACTGCACAACATAGTGGCCTGGACTATAGGAGTGCTGCTGAACCCAGGGATCCTGTGTTCAATCCCCACCCCTGCCCGTTTCGATCTGGATGAGCATCGTACCAGCGTGCGGTCATGTATCACTACTGCGTGATGCTCGTTGAAGACCCCAGGCTAGCGGTTGTGCTGCAGTGGTTAAATTGCTCATATACAGCAGAGACGCGCCACGCGGTCGGTTTCAGGGGCACAAAACGTGTATGGCCTTTCCCTGAATACCTGCACACCGGGCGGCACTGTACAATAAAAGTGCAATAAAATACAATACAATACAAAACAATACACCAGATGTCCACCGAGACAGACTAAATTCTGGCTGTATAAACATACACACAAGACAATTTGTTGTAGGGCGTTCCTTCCATCTCCTTTCTCATCCGCGCATTGCAAGCACGTCGTTTTATTCTCATGGCCAATTCGTCTGGGCCCGCATCGCACCGGTGCAGTGCGGTTCATGGTACACGGAAGGCTAGAGGGGAGAGGGGAGCTTCCTTCTCTCCCCGCCAGACTTTTGTGTACTAAAGTGGAGAGAGTTTACTGAACTGGATGGGTGCGGAGTGCCCCAGACGAATAGGCCATTAGAATCCGTGAACCCCATTTTCTGCAACGTGGCGCCTGTTATTTCTAAAATGGTGGATTACTTCGAGATAACGCTAGGTTTTATTTTTGGTTCTAATTATTTCTAATGGTTCCTACAACTGAACTTGTAAATATGAAAGTAAAAAAAACTGCCTAAACATTTTTTTTTTTGTAAAGCATAAATATTATTTTTAAACTTGATACCATGCAATTCCTTTGTGTTCGCAACATTGTTTGGCTTCGGGTTGTAGCACGGTCCAAATCCAATAACCCAGAGTGCTAAAAAATAGATTATCTCCTCTTACTAGGGGTGTCGCGAACTTTTGTCGAACCAGATTTTTGGGTCGAACTTTCGGGGTTCGACTGGGTCGAACCGGCCTTAGAACTTTTCACCAAATTTGACCGGTTCGACCAGGGTGTAAGATAGACAGGTGGTGAAACGAGAGCCAAATGAGCGACCCGATTGTGTCCCCCTCGGTTTTCTCTTTTTCTGTGGCGCCATCTATGGGGAGCACCGCGAACTTTCACTCCGGGTGGGCGAAAGCTGGCGACCGGTTAAACTGACGGAGATGGTTTCTCGTGGATTTTCAATGGAGGACTCTCGTGCTCTAAGTTTATTTTGCGCACTCTCCCATAGAGTTCCATGCAAATTTGATTCCAATTTCTTTCTTCTCGTCGCAGCGCCATCTGTCGCAAATCGGGAGTACCCGCAAGCCACCCGCAAGCAGACGAGTACACAATCGGGTCACGGCGCTGCGGTAGGTTTCTATGGGCCGTTTCCCCACCTGTCTATCTTACACCCTGGGTTCGACTTTGTCAACGAGGTAGAGGGGCTTAGAGCGATAAACCGGGGTTCCGGTCTGCACTCGAAAGTGACCCCCATAAGGAGGCTGCCACTGTACGCAAATTTGACCACACGTCACATGACCAAACCAAATACGTGACGTCACAGGAAAGATGGCAGCGCCCATGAAGCGGCTGGCCCCAGCTGGGCCGCAGCTTGTCGGATGCTTTGTTGGTTGTCGTTCGTCTCGGCGAGTTGATTTCAGACGCGGAAGCCGTCATATGAGGCCGGTCGAAAGCGAGTTCAGAGTTCAGCGTGGTGTTTGACGTAGGTATAACGTGAAAATACGGAGAAACGGTGTGCATTTCGCTGGTGACCGACCGGGATATTGCCACGGAAGAGACAATCTGACCTACGTTGCTCGGACCTCGGATTGATTCGGATACCGCTAGGATAAAATTTAAGGCGACGTTTCTGTGCTCTCGTTGACCATCGGAATCTTCGAGGTTTGCAGTGAAGCGTGTGCAATATATTTGGATACACAGTTTAGCGACGGAAATTGCGTGAGTCGTGCTTGGCGGTGTGCAATCGCGGTGCAGCTTCGATCAAATGACCGAGGGCTCACTTCGGTTGTGCGGCGCACCGGAAGGCTGCCTTGAAGCTGGTAGTTCCCGTGCCCTGCTGAATGATGCTGTGCTGCTTACAAATTGTTCCGGCGTAGAAGTGCACTTTCACGGAGCACAGGTGTGCGGCGCACCGAAGAGCTGCCTTCAAGCTGGTAGTTCCTGTGCCATGCTTTAGGTGATGCTGTGCTGCTTCCGAAATTGTTCCGGCGTAGACGTGCACTTTCACGAAGCACAGGTGTTGCAGTTGGTATTGATCCCGCTGGTCTGTCGCACGTTTCGTCAACACAAACGTTTCATCCACACTCGTTACGCGAATTGCAAGCTGTCCGGACATTTCACCGAGCGTGTTACGTACCCAGCTCACGCCGCTTTGTGGCAACAGTCTGCAGTGGCTCATTACCAGAAAAGTGGTCCCACATCCATTTCAGTTCAGTTCGTCCACGGCAGTCGCCAAACCCCGAAGGAGAGGATTTATTCGGACAGAATGCCATAAAGCAATGCAGCTTCTTCAGTGGTCAGGATAGATTCTCTTTTGCTAGTTTTGTTATACTTTCACGGATCCTTGTTCCAGTCCTATCTTCTATCAATATTCACTATTCTGGGACACTGCAGGTCATGCTCAGCTGTAATTGTATGTTCAGGTGGAGGTGCTGGGCACTTTACCCGTAGCCCTTCACTCTGTGTCAATCCGGCGGCTCTTCAGCCGAGTTACCCGATAATGGGACACGGCTGGCGGACTATCCTGCGTCTTATACCCCTGTCGAGCCGTAGGCAAAGTCCTGACCCGAGCCTGGCAGAACAACCGCAAGACGACCGAGTACCACAAGGAGTAACCTCGGAAATACACCACGAAGCACCTGAAATCCGAGCCAGTTGCTGCTACCAGGAAAAACCACCGGAATTCGGTCTCCTGTCAGAAAATCCGAAGCTGACTAAGCCAACAATGACAAACCTGTAGCAGCAAACCATGTCCCCTCCCACCATTGTTTGCATGCCCGTCGCAAATCACACTCCGACGCTTTTTCACGCAAGCTGTATGAAGACATCGAGGACTGGATTAAACAATATGACAGTGTCGCCCGCCACATTGGGTGGACAGACAACCAGCTCCTGCAGAACCTATACTTCTCGTGGAAGCAACTGCCGGCGCTGGTCTGAGAACCATGGACCCTCCTTAACGTCATGGGAAGTTTGCAAGATCAAGCTGAAGCGCGCATCCGTCAGCCAACATCAACGAAAGAGAGCCGCATTCTTGATTCTGTCCAGGACACTGCCCCAATGAGAGCGCCACCGCACTCGTGGAGGATGTTTTGCGCTTGATCGAGCGCCCACGCCCACGCCGACCTTGATGCTACAGAAGACAAGAACCTAAGAATCCCATGCGCCTCACGTGATGGACAACGCCTTCGGCAGCCTTGTCCGCAACCCCCCAACAACAGTCGAAGTGTTCATATCACTGAGGCTTCCAACATGGAATGTGCACTGCATGCCCGAGCCTGCCACTATGAACAACTTCCCGGCGTCTCGACACTCGAGTTGTCCAGCTACTACTTCGACGCCAGCCTCCCAGGCATCCACGACATCACCCACGACGTTGTCTGGGAGGAGATCAGGAAGCTACTTCCTGCCATCAGTTGCCCGGCTTTTATTTTGATTGCCGAGATTGTTTCGGAACAAGTTTGACAGGTATTTCAACCGAGACTTCTGCGAGCGAAGCGGCATCTGACAAACCAAGGGCGACTTACGCCACAATGGCACGACGACTGCCACCGGCTGCCCCTTAGTATTCAATGCCAATTCAATGAGACACTCTAACGCCGAAGCATTCCCGACATCGTGTGTAAGACTGTGCTCAACAAAGTACACCGAGGAAAACGTAGGTTATGCGAATGTGCGATTGAAAACCACTTTGCTACCACTGCATGAAGCCGACCATGTCTACCAAAGCAGCCCGTACCAATGAATTGGTCGGCGAGGGTTCGTGCCAAACGACCCTCGATTACGTCTCGAGGAGCGACCACAGGAGATTAAGGATTACCTTCGGCGACCTTTGTCCCTGATGCCGAAGGTGCTGAATCGAAGATTCTCTATCCCTGATTACCCCAAAGCTCCTCATGTCCATCACCTCAACAAGAGGTAAGCACGACAAAGCAGGTGAGCGGCGATGCAGTGACAGTGGATTTGGTGTCGGTTGTCGTCCAAGGACAATACCTAAAAATTTGCTGACACCAATTTTCTGTGTCCACTCCACGAAGCACACAATTTCCAACTTTGAGGGAGAATGCCCCTGAGTGACTTGAAGGAATAGAATGGTTGGTTGCTCTCAAAAGTGAACTGCAAGCATCACCAGACTTGGATAGCAAACAAAAATTGTTGCCAGCTTTCAAGTCAACAGTACAGCAAAAGGCACAGCCACGTACGCAATACATGCCCGAGCTTGCTACATTGATGCCGAAAACTACCAGGAAAATTTTCGGATTAGAAGCCAGCCCTGCAGCTTCAGTGCACATGACGTATGATTACGAGACAGCATCAGTCGGTCAAAGTTGCCACTCGACCAAACTGAACACCGACGTGCCAGGAGCGTCATCCGACAACAAGGTTCACAGGTACTACGACTGAACGCCTGACACGAGACTGTCGCAGAAAGAACTCGTTATGGAACCATTTACTAAGAATCAATAATTATGTAATCAAGTGGAAATAAACATATTTGATATACTAACCAGATAAACATATTTCCGCTTGCCTTCATGCCTTGAGAGTCTACACACCGAGAATTGTGTCCATTGCACGCTCTGGACCTTACGGGGACACTCGCTTCTCTGACCCTTCAGTATTAATTAAGGGGTCATACCAGACTGGCAGACTTCTTGCAAGGGGCTGCACTCGTTCAACCTTTCCTGAACATGTGGTGCATCCGAAAACCAACTCCAGTGATGTGAAAATGTTATTTATTAATTTATTCCTTCCAGGGGCCTTCGTAGGCACTGCAGAGAGGATACTTAAAACTACACACATGATAATAGCATTAAAGCACACTGCTGTAACTTGTTAATTGGAAAAACAAACACACCTCTGAGCATATAGTTTAATAGTATGTGTTGATGCATTGTTATATAGCATGACACTTCCTATATGTATGACACAATAGACCCTTTGCAGAACCTTATCAAGCAACACAACCGTCACCATTTTTTTCGGCGCAAAGCACACGAATGGGCCCCAGTTCACGTCGAACGCCAATGCAGCATTCGAGTCCAATAGGTGCTGAACCGAATTCACAGGGATGGCGGACATAACATTCTTGTCGAACAAATACCCAAAGTATGAAAGCCTGGGGTAATTACAGTAGTAGCTACTGTAATTTGTTTCACTAGAATTTGGCAGACGGCAAAGGCTACGGTCTCGGTGAGTCAATACACACATTGGAGAGAGGCACATGACAGCATATCACCAGAGTGCTCGTCTGCACAGATTTGTCACACACCTTCGCACCGTCTCTCTGATTGGCTCGAGGGGGCTGTGGCGGTTGGCCTTTTCCAAGTTACGGTGATGCGAAGTATAGACAGCCCACACTTTTAAAAAGAGTCTATTGAAGAGACTGAAAGGAATGGTAGTCAACATTTTTCAACAAGACTGCTCTCCAGGCAAGGGATGAACACAAATATGAATCATCTTATCCAGCTAATTAGAACAATTAAATAATTCACCGACTAATACAATGCGCTCTTGATGGAAAAGAGTATAGCTGGAATAAATCCTACAAAACAGAGAAAATGCGCAGTTAATCTATGCATGCACCAAAACAGTTGTTCTTATAGCAAGTCGAATAGCTTTGAAGCAGGTGCCTGCAACGATTTATTCTTCCCCATACTCAATAAAACGCCAACCTCGTAGCTGAAAATAAGGGTGCACTTCGCACTCACACACACACAAAAAAAGGGAAGAAAAGCGATCGAATGTAGAATCGTGGATAAGCACAAAAGGTTAAAATCGCAGGAGCTTCCTCGCTAAAAGTTGCTATGGTTGTTCGGTGACGGAGGGCTGAAACAACTTCCCTTAGGCTGAAACAACTTCCCTTAGGCCCTAACGCGACGTATACATTTCGCGTAGATTCTCAGATATTTCAACGTTCAAACAAAGCTAAGAGAATGCGAAAATTTCATGTTAAAAGCACTCAAAGTTCTATCGATCCTCGGACACATCCCGGAATCCAAGCACCGGTACGGCGATGCAGAGCTGATGCTGTCTCACAGGCGTTAATATCCAGATGATCCAGAGCGATCTTGCGCAAAAACGGTATAAAGTCTCATTCCTTCATATTTTCACATTATACCTGCGTCAGCGAGCACGAAGAAGCCCGAAGTCGTCGGAAAGCAGCTGCACATCACGGCTACCGCGCACCGAACAAACTCGCATCCGCCAGCTCTGGGCGCTGCCATCTTACCTGTGACGTCACGGCTCTTGGGAGGTCACGTGACGAGTGGTCACATTTGCGTAAAATATGGCGGCAACCGGGGGGGTGCCACTTCCGAACTTCCGGTTTATCACTCTAAGCCCCTCTACCTCGTTGGACTTTGTGGACAGTGTGGCCAGACCTTGATACAAGCATGTCTAGGTTTGGAAATCTTTTTTTTATGCAAAGGGTCATTTTATATTGTGAACACCTGCAATTAAAAGAAACTAATTCTAATTAATGAAAAAGTTAATAACTTTATTTTTAGTACTGTATTAACTGAAATAGCCAATCAGCGCTGCACTTAATTCATCTCTTAGCCATTATCATCCAATCCGAAGCCAACTGGCCAGCCTATCGCGCATGCGCACACGAGTCGAACCTCAATAGAAGGTTCGTCGAACTTTCCACTAAAAGTTCGAAAAAGTCGAACCTGGTCGAACTCGAACCGCGGCCGGTTCGCGACACCCCTACCTCTTACCCTTCTACTAGTTCCAGATCCTCCTTTCTCTTTTTTATCATAAAGAGAAATAACAACCAACATCTCTAAGCCTAAGAATGAACACTCATAGACAAAAAAGAATTTAAAAAAAAATCTTGTTCCACATTTTTAGTGCAGAGGCTCAGTATATACATGGAGGACGGGGAAGACGGTCAACATCATCAATCTTCCATCTTGACAAAAGCAGGAAAATGGCGGCCACCATTGCAGACGACTCCGAAGAAGCATCTCAGCACCGCAGCGAAGTCCCTGCAAGCAAAGAAAAGATTTCCGTCGAATTTACGAGCATTACAAACATAAGAGCCTCGTCCCACTAGGGAAACAACAAAACGACGACCCATCACTTGCAGACGACTGCTAATCTTTGTTTACTCCCGCGATGACATGGCAGTTCTGTCGAAGCTTGCCGGATCAATCAGTCGCCTCCCTTTCGTCACCTGACCCTACTCTCTGCACGTCAGTGTTGGCGGGGGTGTGACCATGTAGCGTATGACTGGCCCACTGAGTATCGTAGCTTCCACCACACTGTGAGCTTAGGGGTGAATGGACGGTGAAGACGGGACCAGTGTAACTTTCACCCCCTTTCTTAATCCAAATTTAACACCCCATATAGACAAGGAGAAATACACGAAACCCCCCTTTCAACATATCTGGTAGTAGCAAGCGTGCTTTAAAAATTGTAGCGATTTTCTAATCTCTCTAACTGCTAAGGGCGCGACATGCTGCAACACTCTTCCTTTCTGTAGAAACTCCACGCAGTTGGAGTTCTCCGTCGCATACTGTCACCATCGCTTCCAGGGACTCCTTTTTTTGCATGCTGAATGCGTAACATTTTTTGTGCTCGCGTGTTTTTGTTTTTTTCCCCCCTACTGTAACGCCAGATGGTGAAATATGAAGTAGGTACTTGAACAAAGACAAAAAAAAAGTTATTGTGATACACTAACAACAAACTCATATACTCGCCGAGTTTGTCAGAATGATTGAGGCAAGTTTAAATTCATTCAGGACCCACGACGTCGTGAGATTATAGGGGGGCTACACTTCGTCATTCGAAAGCCAGTAGAGCATGCAGACAGTCGCCTACTACCACAGGGTCCCCTCTTCCTAGTGGCGTCAAATAAAGACGTTGCATTGCAGATTGCGTGGTTCAAGGTTCGATTCTCTCCGCACCCCTTGGTAAATCTCTCTAATTATGATAAACAGGGTGTCTAGCAAATTATTATTTTGAAATTCCCTGACTTTTCCAGGTTTTCCTTGACAATTTAAAGTGAAATTCCCTGAACACTGCAGAGGGTTAAATATATAAGACGATTACAACACAATGCATAGAGCATTGAGCACTGTGAGCATTATTTTGTACGGGCCTAAACCCAACTTGCATATATTCCGAAATATTCGGGTTCGTCTAGTATGGATAAAACGAGCACTTTCTTGCCGCCAACATCGTTAGTGAAGAGGCCATTTCCGGGAACACGATGAAAACGCAACGCTCAACTACACACGTCAATAATCGAATGGCAGCATGGCGCATGACTGCAAGATGCACACTTTCGGATAGTTTTGGTTTATTGCTTACATTGGATTGGGGAGAGAAAGAGAGATAAGGAGTTTGGAATCTGCGGCTTTTCCATTTGTTACTAAATCTAGTAGCTCTGACTGGATCAATCTTAGTGTTGCCCTCTCAATCCAACCCAAGGCTTGGACTGGATTTGTCGGATGTTCCCTTTGCAATGTGTAGCACACTCTACATCGGGGGAGCAGGGCCCATGCTCCGCTCTGAACAGAATTTATTGCATATTTTTCTGCCCTCAAGTCCTCAAGTCTTTGCTCAGGGCACTGGATGGTGTTTCCGGCTCATTTTCCCTGACTGGGCTCGCTTTTCGACAATATCCCTGACAATTCCCCGACTTTTCCCAGTAGTTAAAATATCCCTGACAATTCCCGGTTTTCCCGGTCGCTAGACACCATGGATAAAGTAGATTAATTATGGCTAAGTATGCCTCTTTATGCTTTGTATGCTTATGCATAGCCCACCATGGGTTATGTATGTTTCCTTGTCTTGCATGTAATGGCCTTTCGTTACACTCGAGCGTCATGCTTTTCTCATGAAATCTAGTCCACAAACACAATGTGTATTGAAAAATTGGCTGCATGTTTGGTCCTCCTGCCATGCATGTTTAAATGCGGAAGCTTCATAGGGTGGGTAGAGCTTTTAGTTTGGGCGGTGCCTAGGGCAGGCAGGGTTTTGTATGGAAACAGATTATGTCATGTCATTGTCTCTTTGCGACACTATGTGCACTTCCCTTCAGCACCACCCAGATACAAAGCCCTTTGTGTTAAATTTTTTTGGGTCACCAAGAGAGGGAAAGCACCCTTTCTTGCCCTTTCCACTTCTTGTCGTTCCGCACACTCTCTCTACACCATATGTTTCTGCTCCTCTTTCTTGCCCTTTCCACCCCTCTCTGCTTTGCATGCTTTCTCACACCACCTGCTTCTGCTCCTCCTATTTCTACGTGCTGGGTACACAGCTGTCAGCAGCGCACTCAGCTTCTACGTCGGCGACCAGGGTTCGATCCCTGCTACCGGTTGCCGTTTTTTCAAGATTGTCTAGCGGTTACAGACTGGCCGGCCTACACATTTCGTTCCTATGCAAATCCTGAAGTTGGTTGGCCCTATAAAGCTACCACCCTAAACAGAGAGCAGCATTGCGGTGATCATCAAGGGTGAAGCACACTTCCCTGCACACTTACGGTCCAGCCTGGCCTCCTGTGAGCAGGGGCAAGACATGCTCCAGGCACAGGTCCGTCAAGAATCGGTCCAGAAGAATGCTCCTCATGCTTGACATCAGGTGGTTGTACTCCTGAAGCTCCCTGACGGTAGAGTAACTGCATCGAACGCCGGGGGGCTGCGCAGCTGAGACAGAGATAGTTCACGGTTTATTGACGAGTGACGAGTTCACGGTAATGTGCTTAGGTCGAGGAAGCCACAGCAAAACCATGGTCTTTGGATTACCTGTTCCGGAGTCCACCCATCGATTAACTCAGAGAACTTAACGGATGGATGTGGATTTGAAGTAAATGTGGCGAAAGTCACCGGATGCGTATGCTTTTTCAGAAAACCAATAAAACCCCACAGACAAAAGGACACATCAGAAAGACAAGTGATCGGAAATGCCATCTACACTTCGAGACCCGGGGTTATGTTATTACGGAATAATTGAAATGCCACGTGAATTATGCTACATCTGTCTTTACAGAATTATCAAAATTATCAAAATGTTTCAGATCTTTTCATTTTTAACCGTAATTTTTAGAGCGCAGCTCTTATGGTGAATTCCGCTCGCAGATCTCGAGCGCTCCAAAAGCGCTCCATTTGGAGCGCGCATATTCCGCTCGCAGATCTGGCTCAAGTTGGTCATCTTCCGCTCGTAGATCTCTGGCAGCGCCCGCTCCACGGAGCGCCCCAAACTCCGCCGAACTTGCTCTGCGGGGTTTCACGGATCTCTCCGGAAGCTGACAGAGCGACCCACGTGATTTCCGTCTAAATCGGCGGTGCGCATGCGCGGAGAGATCGGCGGGCCGGTCGGGTCGTGGAGTTGGATCTGTTCGGGTGCGTCGGTTGTTTACTCTGGATTGTGACGGCTCGAACGCTTCTACCTCGCGTAGATCAGGGATAAAAAGCCGGGGATGTGGAGCGTGGCAAATCGTAAGCGTCTGTGATTGTGAGAGGGAGAACGAGAAAAAGAACGACAGAAAAGCCGGATGCAGACGCAAGGTTAGGCCTATTCATTCTGCAGCCAGTGATTGTTTACCTTTTAGAGCGCAGCTCTTAGGGGCCCGTTCCCGGCTTGAGCGGCGTCGGCGTCGCCGTCGCCGTCGGCGTCGGCGTAACCGCAACCCTCGTAACCCTCGTGAGGGTTACGAGGGTTAATCTCATGAGGGTTACCCTCACGAGGATCACGAGGGCCACGAGGGTTACTTACCCTCGTAACCCTCACGAGGGTTACGAGGGTCAGTTACCCTCAAAAGGGTTACCTTCACGAGAGTTACCCTCACGAGGGTTACTTACCCTCGTAACCCTCACGAGGGTTACGAGGGTTAGTAACCCTCATAAGGGTAACCTTCACGAGGGTTACCCTCACGAGGGTCACGAGGGTTATGAGAGTTACCCTCACGAGGGTCACGAGAGTTACCCTCACGAGGGTCACGAGAGTTACCCTCACGAGGGTCACGAGAGTTGCCCCCACAAGGGTTACTAGGGCTACCCTCACGAGGGTCACGATAGTTACCCAGGTCACGTGACCGCCCCTGGGGTCACGTGACCTGGGGATACCCCCGAGGTCACGTGACCCCCGTTGACGTCATAGCCACTGATGACGTCATCAATGACGTCACTGATTACGTCACCGGCATCCGCATCGTCATCGTCATCATCACTGATGACGTCATCAGTGACGTCACTGTTGACGTCACCGGCATCCGCATCGTCATCATCATCACTGATGACGTCACTGATGACGTCATCGGCATCGTCACGTGGCCCCAGGTCACGTGACCCCCCCGACGTCGCGTGACGTCCCAAGGTCACGTGACTCCCACAAGGTCACGTGACCCCCACGAGGTCACGTGACCCCCGCCACGCGAGGTCACTTGACCCACCCCCTCAGTACCCTTCCCTCCTCCTCCTCAAGAGCTGCGCTCTAATTCGGCGTTACAGGGAGTTGTAAACGGCTTTTTAACAGTGCATTCCGTCGTCGTTTTCCCGTGAAATAAAGCAAGAAGTGGTTAGGCAACGACCGCGCAAGTGATGGTTTGTTACCTGTGTTTATTAAAGTCGTACTACAAATCTGAACTCCACCGCTGGCAATCGCTGCATGTCCGTGCCCCGCCACTTCGAGGCGGCCGAAAGGTATGTGACGGTGCCGAACGCGGACGTTTTTGTTATTTGTGACATGGGCGCCGCTGTACGTATAATTTCGACCGGCCTGTGTCGCGTGTTACTTCTGCAGCTAAGCAGTGACAGTCGTCACTGGTCGTCGGAAAGACCAGCCGGCTGAGGCGTTGGTGGGCTTGTCAAGTTCGAGCAGCGGCCATTTTGTACGGCGGAGGGAGAAGGGGTGAGGAGGGGTGTGGGGGAGGTCGCTCCAAAAATGCAAGTTTATCTTCCCCTCGTCGATTCGGAGCGGGTCCCACGGAGCGGAATTTTGCTCCCTCGCGGATTTTGGAAAGCGCTCCAGATCTACGAGTGGAATTCACTATTAGGCGCCCGTTTCCGGCTTGAGCGTCGCCGCCGTTGGTGTCGCCGTCGGCGTAACCAAGGTCATCCCAAGGTCACGTGACCCCCAAGGTCACCCCAAGGTCATGTGACCTCCCTAGGTCACGTGACCCCTCCCAAGGTCACCTCAAGGTTACGTGACCCCCAAGGTGACCCCCACGTGACCCCCTGAAGGTCACGCGACCCCCAAGGTCACGTGACCCCAGGTCACATGACCCCTTTAAGGTCACGTGACCCCCGAGGTCACGTGGTCCCCTCCCCAAGGTCACGTGATCCCTCCCAAGGTCACCTCAAGGTCACGTGACCCCCAAGGTGCCCCCCAAGGTCACGTGACCCCCTCCCCGAAGTCACGTGACACCCCCCCCCCCCCCCCCCCCCGAGGTCACGTGACCCTCCCGGAGCATATTAAAGAATGAGGGGAGGAGGAGAAGGGAGAGGAAGGGTCTACCCTCCCCTCAGTACCCTTCCCTCCTCCTCCTCAAGAGCTGTGCTTCAATTCGGCGTTACACGGAGTTGTAAACGGCTTTCACTTTTTGTTCACTTTTTATTTGCTCTTACATGAACTAGTGCCACTTGTGGAGAGAAAATGTACTAGGGCAGAAACCACCGAAGTCTCCAGGCCAGTAAGTAGCTTATCTAAGGACCATGCTAAATCTCACAAAAATAAAAGCATTTTTTTTTTTTGGACAATCAACATTGTATAGATTAGGGGCACAGCCAATGGTACCTCGATAGCCCGGTCGAGTTGACCGCTGTGTTCTTGCAAAAGTGTACATGGGTGCCAGCGAGAGGACAATGCGTCGTGGGTCGGTGCATCTGATCTAAAATGACAACTTGTCGAGAAGACTGACTCAAGATAGCCTGCAGGCCACTCTTACAAAAACTTGGCACATCAATCTTGACAACTGCAGTCTATCGTTAAAAAATGTTCAACTGCTCCGCGGTCCTGGACCTTAGACAATGAAGCAAGCGACATACGTACTATGTACATTTCATACATACACACTACACATTTCTCAAAAAACACACACAAGACTCTTGTCAGAGGTGAAAAGAAGGCAAATAAGCTTGTTTCTACTTTTAGCCAATTATAAACTGTCTTTTCCAACACACTTCTTGCTCGGAGAAACTGCATCACATGCCACAGTCACGCAATCGACAGAGCTTGTGCTGCCCTCAACTCACCAAGCGGAGGCCGGACCCAGAGGTGTTTGAAGTATGTTCGCAGTGACGCACCGAAATTTTCTAGAACGATCTGTCGCCGTAGAGCTGCCAAAAAAATTCCAACATACCTGGGATGAAAGCAGGCTCTTCCGTACCTCTGCAAGGGGACACCTGCAAAATGAAAGAAAGGTCTATCTGCAGTACTCACTAAATGCAGGGTGCTCTTGTTCTAGACCGGGAGTTCCCAAACTTTTCAATATTAAGGAATGCCCATCTTTCCCGAAAGGTAGCTGGGGAGCCCCTCCCTGTCTCAGCATGATTACAAAAGTGCAGAGAAATGTGGACCTTGGTGACCATAATGCAGTGGTTCTCAACAACTGATGTCACAAGGACCACCTCTTGATCAACAGAAATAATGAGAGACCCCATTGGGGGGGGGGGGGGATGGGGGGTATTGGACGATTACAATAAAAAAAGAAAAGGTAGACGAAGAAAACTAAATGTGCGCGCATACCAGGGGTGGGCAGCATCGCGATACTATTTTAGAAAACTTTTTAGTATCTGTATCTGTATCAAGATACATTCGAAAAATGTATTTGCATCTCAGTAGTGAAATACATTTACAATGTATCACTTGTATTGCAATCCTTTGCCAGACTTAGGCATCTTGTTACATTTGTTGTCCTTTCTAAGATAAATTTAAAAGATAAAAACATCTGTTTGGTGCAAGTTCCTTCGTAGTGCATTCTACGAACCCGCCTTATAAAATGATACATCTCAGTCACCGACATTAAAAAAAAAAACTGGTTTGGAAAAGGTTACTTGCAAGAACAACAAAATCAGTACTCGCACAAAGCCCTCCTCTCTTTGCAATTTAGCAGAGAGAACACTGTAAAGGAGATGAGTGGAGAAAAAGTATGGCCCTGTTGCCCAGTCTTCCCATACATACTATGAGTGACAAAGAAGCATATACTACGACAGTTTGAGATGCGCCCTCAAGGTAATACGGGGTTCATTTCAGGCAGACGCCTTTTGTCAAGCATGGCACGCAGTGTTTACCGTTCTAAAACTATGTGATTGAACGGGGGTGACATGTTGTTTTTTTTAGTGGCATCAATAATCAAGAGCTCTAGGTAAGGGGAACAGAATAAAATGGCACAAGAAAAAGGAGCAGAAGCATAAATTACCATTTGGATTCGCCACAAACTTCAACCTTTGCACATAACACCGTTCGGGAACAAATGTATTTCTATAAGTATCTCTGTCTGTATTCCGGAATACTCTTTCGCCATTTCTGCAGAAGTATCTCAGGATATCCCGTTGCATAAAAGACAAATGTATCTCAGTGTCTGTATTTTTGGCCTTGAAACGCATATATCTCGGTATTGTATTCCCAAATACTTTTTGGAGTATCTCTGCCCAGCCCTGGCGCATACCAACTTTGAAGCTCTGAAACGGAAAATGATCAGCCCTACTTGCTCATTGCATATGGTTTGTGTAGTGGGCGGCGCTAGCACGACTGAAAAATAACTTTTTTTTTTTCTTTATTTATATTTACCTTTCGCTCGGAGCGGAAGCACCACGCCGCGTGCTCTCGCTCTGGCGAGCGCGTGATTAAAGAGTTCAATCCTCAATGCCGTAGTGATTTGACTTTCCTACATTTTGATCTGTTGAGCTTTGTGTGTGGCGGTCGAGACACGGTAACTTTTTTTTCACTTTTTCCAAAGACAAAATGAAGCAAATGAAGACCTTGAACCATCGGGCCTCCGCGACGACATTAGCAGAGACGACAATCAGATGGGCCGAAACGAAAAGCTGTATATCCGTGAAATCAGGGAAGCGCCACGAGTAACAATGTGACGTTCACTCGTTTATGCATCGCAAATGACCTTCTCTTCTTCTTCACGTTGCGTCTTCGTCGAAGCTTGCTGTCCGCCAGGTAATCGCATCTTTCCCGAGTCATCGGTGTGTCCTCCCAGCGAGCGAACGTGCGACCGACACAGCTCGCAGACGCAACAAAAACATTTTTCGGATACTTAATTGCGTTTCAACGGTGCCACGCGTAAAAAAGAAAAAAGGTCCGCCCATCCGTTGTCGGTCGGGAACACAAAAACACCATGAAGAGCGCCAATGAGGTGTTTTCATCGCGACCACGGTGCCTGGTACATGTCTCCGACCGGTGCGCTCGCCCCAGGCGGTGTCGCAGCGGCAATGGTAGATGGGGCAGACGCCTGTTCCGCTGCAGGTCACTCTCCGGCGTGGCAGACCACGGCAGCTTAGGCAACAACTTGCGATGTTAGTCCTTTTACGAATTGCCGTGGCAACGGGGTTTCCAGTCGCTTACGTCCCCCGCTGCTTCTGCGCGGCGCGGTCCTAAGAGGCCTACAAACCAGTCACAATCGCTCTCGGCCCGAATCAACGTGAGTGTGTGAATCGCCCTTGAGGGTGGAAACAGTCGAGGGAATTCGCAAGCTCAGGGAACCCGTGTGGGTACTCTGGGGAACTCCCGAGTTCCTATACTTGGCGTCTACTATATACTTTGCTGCATTCTTAAGGCAAGCATAGCTACCGCAGTGCTGAAACCTGTTCAAAGCTTCTTGCACGAACTTGTGCGAATGCAAGAGGAAGTCACCGTATTACAAAAGCATTTTATTTTAGGGGCAGGGATGGTCGACAAAATCAGGCAGCTCACGGAACGTGCGGGGTACTCAAAGCTCCCGGGTTTCTAGGAACCCAGTTTGAGTACACATGATGTAGACTACACATTTCTGAAAAAGCAAGGACTCTCGAAATTAATCGTAAAGTAACACCCGAGGCTGTGTGCAGAACAATTAATAAACATTCAAGTCGACCGGTTGTTTGTGGTTCATAATGTGTTCTAAAATTACTTCTTGTTCTGTTTTTTTCCAAAGGGGGTGGGTCGGTGGGGGGAGGGGGGGGGGGGCAATTTGGTTTTCTTTTTTAGTGTTAGGTCTGTAGTTTATAGGTCACCTAGGGGTTCTCAGGCCGGTGTGTTCCTCTGTAGGCCCTTTTCGAAATGATGCATGGATTATGTGTGGCCGCCATTAGTTGGTCATGCACTGTGAACCAGGGGTGGATTTATGGGTCAGGCCTGGGGGGGCGGTACACATTCGGCTGGCGGGGGGGGAGGAGTCTGCTGAGATATGACAAAGCAGTTGAAACTTTGCCCAGATCTATTTTGTTGACCCAATATTTGCTATGTCACCAAAAACTAAACTTTTGGCTGGTGTATATCAATGATTTTATTAAAACGAAGTTCACCTTGGGGAGCTTAGGAAGGGGCAAATTCCCCTTCCCCCCCCCCCCCCCTTACCTTCCACACCACAGTTACAGGCATTACGTTATGATTAATTATTACAGCTTGCCTGCACACTCAGCGTTTTTTCTTTACCCTTGAGATTAAAGTTCTTTCTTGAGGAGAGAGGGGATAACATCCAAAGTGTTCGATAATGTTATCCCAAGGGAATCTGCTCTTTGTTGCAATAACCTTTTGTGGTTTGAGAAATGCTTTCAGCAAAAATACAGCTCAATGTCCAACAAAGCACTTTACGGAGTGCATGCTCGGCTAATAGTGATTCTTGTGGCGCCAAAATAGAAACAAATGGAAGAAAGACGACAACCTTTCGGTCTCAATATTTCTATTTGATGCTTCTCAACCTGGACAGTTTGCAAGCACTGTTTGTGTCCCAATTAGATAATGAAAATAACTTGTGCATTGTCTCTTTCGTCCTGCTAGCTCTTTGGATAGAGAGCCCGACTACTGAGGCACATCTCTTAGAGCAAGAAAAGCCCAACTGTGAAAGGGTCAAAGGGGCGATGCAACCATTTGCATACTTTCATAAAGGCCGCCTAGAATTATTCCTCGACATTCGTAACCTACGAAAACATGTGGTGGTTTTCTACCTCACACTACGCAAGTCGCGGGAAAAATTTGAAGAAACCGAGCGGCGTTCGCCCTCTCAACTCGCAGCCAGAACGAGCAACCACGTGATCCAAAGCCGATTACAGACCGTCAATGTTTATCGTAGCCACGCGCCGGGGTTGGCAAAGCACAGGGCACGCGCCGAGTTCCGCATATCGTTAGGGTTCGACTGTTTTCCTTATCTGAGTGATTGGTCACGAGCCAAATCTCTCAGTGATTGGGTCGAGGCACTGAATGTCACGAGACCAAATAAAACGATCACGCAGCGCTCGCGACCACTGTAAAAACCGCATTCGCATGTCATTGCCGTAGATATCGCAGAGCTTCCCAACAACACCCGAGGGATCACACTGTCAACAACGCCGACACTGCGATCCCCACGATTTCGTCATCCAGATTTTGCAAAAAAGAGATTAAAAGAAAACGTCTGCCTTTATCCTTGAAACTGCGCGGCGGCAAAGAAGCTTCTCGGTCAGCAGCGTCCCGTGCGAGCATGCTCGGGTTCCCATAGTGCCAGTAAGCTTGTGTAAAGTGAAAAACGTTCCTCCCCAATATCGTCGCACGGCCCCTTTAATTTCTCTGAATAGAGAGTATTAAAAAAAAAATGTTTTGCATCCCCGATCGGATACGGATACAAACAATATAATTGCCAAATGACGCGTGCGAGAACGTGTCCTTGGTTCGATCAGAAAAATGCAATTGCGCTCGTCGAAACGGCACAAAAAGGCTGTAAATATAACCGAAATGAACCGTCGTTGCACACTTCAGAAGCGATACGTAAAGTTTTGGCCGAGGAAGATCGTAATAAACCAATATTAAAGAAAAACAAAAAGGTTCTAGGCGTACATTGGCAAAAGATGTTTATATATATCCTAAACAACTGGAAATAATATCTGCATAGTGGCTGAGTGTTCTGAGTGGTCGCCTTCTAGAGGAAATGTACGTATAATTTTGAGGTTCGAGACCTCTAAGGTGCGTGTCTTTTTATTGCTTCCTTTATTTTTTTTTTTTTAAATTCTAGCACACATTAACATATTTTATATACTAAATTAAATCCCGAGAGATAGCCCACCCCTAGTTTTGGCTTGATTAGCTATTTTCTTTTAAACATGTCAGTGTTTGAATAGTGAGAGAGCTAGATGCCGGATAGCAATGAAAACTGCGTCGGAAACTGTTCTTGCCAAAGCGCTACTGCAAGCACGAAGGAGATAGAGAGAATAGATATAAAAGCTTCTGAAGTTGAATTACCAGCAATCCCGAAATAACCCAGCTAAAATCAAGAAAAGGTTTGCTCGCTCTACAGACGTCTAACTCCTGGTTAGCTGAGTTGGTAGAGCACTCCACTGGAAATGGAAAGGACCAGCCAGATAAAATCCGGCTTGTCCTGGTTTGATACCAGGACCAGCCGGATTTTTTCGTTCGCGCACCAGTCACCTAGCTGTGTTTGGAGACTTGTGTTTCTCCTTTGTACTCCTTGTTCCCCTCCTCCAGGGATTAGTTTCGTCATTTTTGTCCAGCTCGTTTGCACCTTTGCATTTAATTGCATTATAAAAGAAGAAAAACGAAATACGCTAACTTTCAATGTGCAAAAAAAAAAAAAGAAAATTGAAAAAATTTTGTTTTTAGATTACCTATGTGTCTGTCAAAGATCACTGTACTTCCTAGTTAGCAATATTTGCTTATATCCCACCATATCTAACTAGACGCATTTACGCCAAGGTCATCGTTGATTCAAACACTACGATTACTAAGAAGGGGCCATCTTTCAGCATTTAAAAGAAAATAGCAAATCAAGCCAAAACTAGGGGTGGGTTACCTTTCGGGGGTAGAACATCTCTCGGGATTTTATGTTACCGTATAAATTATGTGCTTGTATGCTAGAATAAAAGAAGAAAAAAAGCAGTAAAAAAGACACGCTTTTCAGAGGACTTGAACCTAAAACTATGCACAATTTCCTCCAGAAGGCGATGACCTAGATCAGATCACTCGGCCATTATGACCACATTATTTCCGGTTGTTTTGGATATAAACAAACATCTCTTGCCAATGTACGCCTAGGACCTTTTTGTTTTTCGTTAATCTTCGTTTATTACGATCTTTCTCGGCCAAAACTTTTCGCGCCACTCTTCAGGCACGCAACAACAGTTTATTTCGGTCCTATTTCTAGCCTCTTCATCCCGTTTTGGCGAGCGAAATTGCTATTCTGTGATCAAACCGAGGATGCGTTTCTGCACGTGTTGTTTGGCTATTGCATCGATCGTATCCGTACCAATCGGATATGCAAAACGGTTCCTTAAAGGGACACTAGCAGGGTATGCTCGCCAATGTTTTTTATTTGTCCATGACATATGCGAGCCCAACTACTCAGAAATCAATTCGCGGCTCGAAATTTGTTTTTTTTTTTTTTTTTTTTGCCCAAAAACCGTTGACAGGGAACTGGCCGGATTGAGTCGTACTCACTCTCTTCTCCGTGGTCACGGGCCATTTTCTACGGTTTAGACACAACCACCAAATATATACAAAGTCGTGGGTCATCAAGGCATACAAACCATATTAAAAACAGAAAAGAAATATGACACATATATTGTGTGGCTTCTAGAAGCTGCAAATACGTTGATTGGAAGAAAAAAAGTTGCACAGCGACGTGACTTCCGCCAACTCTCTCCTCCTCTGTATCTTCTTCCTTCCCAGTTCAGTTTCGGTTTCGAGCAGTCGCATTTTTTTTTTTTTTTCCACTTTATTAAAAATCTGTGACGCTGTAGCAAAATATTGATCGGGTAGTCCTGTGACACCATAATAAATCGCCTGGCAGAAAATACAAAAATAAAATTCTGCAAAAAAAGTTGATTTTGAAAAATGCCCTATTTAGATCTGCTAACATCTAGAGCAAGGGTGGCCAGGCTGACCCGGCATAAGAGCCGCAAACAAAATCACAAAACTTACAAGAGCCGCGGGGGGGTGGGGGGGGGTCAAACTTTTGTCCAGAGCAATAAACGAAACTCGAACTACTTTCAATCTATCCGAGTCAAAAGCAGCCCAACTGTACGTAAGGTAGCCAGCAGTAGCTCAAGACTATACCTAACTGCTATCTGTCTTTCGATTTAAAACGCGTTCCATTTCTGTTTTGGGGGACGTGCTCGTGTGACCGGGAGGGTGGCCCGGGGAGGGGGGGGGGAGGGGGGGGGGGGGAGCCACGAGCTGCACTTTAACACGCGAAGAGCCGCGGCTTGGCCACCCCTGATCTAGAGAGTATTCCCAGAAGGTTTCATTTGTTCACAGTGCACAGTTATTTTTTTTTTATAAATTATTCTCAGTACACCAATGCTAAAGAAAAGGTAGAGGCTCGAGCACTGATTGCATTCTTCCCCAGTCCACTTTTTGGCATAAATCCCACCTTAATAAAACTATTGTTTCAGTATGAGTCTATCGAGAGACTGAATATTTTTGGCTAATATGCCGAAATTTTATGGAGCCAGTTACTATGAACTTAGATTTTGCATTTTCATGTTCCCTTATTATGAAAAATTGTAATTTGCAAAACTTAGTAAATGCGAAAAAAAAAAAAATGTTTTCTTCATAAGTTCTTTTTAGTTGAGAACTGCATATTTTCTGAAATATTTTTTCATAGCAACCGGCAACAGGTATCCCAGTATGCATTCCACGAGAAATATATGTGGTTATCAACCCCATTTTTAAACAATAGATTAATTGAGCAGATTCCATGTTTTGTGAGCATAGTTCCTCATAACATTTGTTCACAAAGCTGTTGCATGCCCTCCTTCTATATGGCTACAAATGCCACCTTCAAATATCACACCGATTGATTGAGCAGTTCAAAAGTTGACACTCCCAGGTACTGTCCCCCCTCAAAACTCTCTAATATTAAGACTTTGGTTTGAACCAGCTGGTTCATGATTATACAGTTGAACCTCGATTTAACAAAGTCACCGGAACCCGCTAATTACTTCGTTAAATCGGGAACTTCGTAAAATCGAGGAAGGGAGACCTCGCCCATAGGCTGCGCGGGGAATGCGAATTTCTTCGTTAAATTGGGAAATTCGTAAAATCGGGTTTCGTTAAATTGAGGTTCAACTGTATAAAAGGTTAAAAGCATAAAACAAGACACGACGCTTGCTCTGATGTTGCCACGTGATCAACGTTCTGCCGTACCTGTGCATGTGCCCGCATCTGCAAGAGGAAACGTTCTCGGCCAGGACATGGGGGAAGCTCCCTGGCTTGCTCCCAGGCGGCTTCCACGCGCCCGTAGCTCTGACGCAGCTGGTCCTGCACCCCGAGCCTATGAGCAGAGATGACCGTAGTCGCCGGCAAACTGAATGAGGATGAAGCGTCCTTTCTTCACGTTTAACAGTGGCACAAACTCGCTCTTAATCAAACATTTTTTTTCTTAACGTTTAACAGTCTTTGATAGTTTAACAGTCTATATCTTTAATAAGGAACGAGTTAAACTCGCTCCTTGTCAAAGATAGAGGGGAGACACTGCTCTCCAAGGTCAACAAAAACTTTAAAAAAAACAACAGGTTTTCGTTGTGTCTAACGTTCAGTGTGTACTTTCGCTAGGCCGCAAGGCCTATTTAAGGGTGTCTCAGCTTAATGTATTTTCAGCTGTGTTTGGTGTTTTGTGTAATCCATCCCCTCTTTTTACCTGCTCGTGGGTTACTATGCATGTTCTTGAAGTTTTGTTTCTGAAGATTCATAGGCACATATCATCTAGTCCTGAAATATTTTTGTAAAATAAGCATTATTTATCTTGAAAACATAATACAATATATCTGCACATTTTTTTTTATGTGAATTTTTTATGTGCTTTGCTGTCCCATGGAAGCCATATCTAGGGATGCCACAAACTTTTGTGGAACCCGAGGTTCGACGTCGAACCTTTGAACCTTTTGCAAAGTTCGACGAAGTTCAACTTATGAACAATATGCCCGGCTTCTACACAAATATTTTGAATTTCGGTAAACAAATAATTTAGAAAGTAGTTTATTACCAATGCTTACATGATATAAAAGCAAAACTGGGTACTTTTAATGCTTCGTAAGTTAACAATGCAAACCATGGTGATGCGATACATCCAAAACATATTGCACCTTTTCCTCTGCCAGGTGGTGTCAACTCATTTTCACATTTTCGCACATGCACTTAAAAGGGCACTCTATAGTCAAACTTTTATCGAACATCGCGTTGGAAGTTCGAAAAAGTCTAACTTGGACAAACTTGAACCTGGGTAAGCATGACATCTTTAGTCATATCTCTATTTGCACAAAACCAATCTTCACTGTTTTCTTTGTCTGATAGTTGCATAAATGAAAGTACAATAAGGGGTATAAACATGCTAAACATGGCACCATATATTTTTGTTACATGCCTCCTGTAAAAAAATAATTTTGAAAGTGCAAAACTTTCAAATTGAAATAATTTTAGAGCTTTAATTTATACCTTATTGGATTCCACAGACATTCTATTTATAGGTATGTTCATTTTCTAATTTCAATATTCGAATTTGTTTGAAAGCCTGCCCATAATCTTTGCAAAACTGATTAAGTTTGCAGTAGATGCAATACAGCTAGTAATAGATATTTTTTTTTTACTTCTAAAGTTGTCTGCGACGATGGCTCTGACACTTCCTGTCAGCCCTGACAAAATTCCTTGATGTAAAAATGTAAAAAGAGCATCAAACTGCAGATGCAACCCTTTTTAACCCGGTAAACTAAAATCTCTAGATATTTTAGCTATCTTCTTATTTCTTCTAATACTATATCTTAAATTATATTTTTTCTAACCAGTTGCAGTGTGCTTATCATAGACATTTTTATGGAATAGAAACACGTGAGTCATTTCATTCTACTAATTTTTCAAAACATCAAACATTTTTGTATGCTAAGCAGAATCATTTCTGTGAAAGCCTAGAAACTGCAATATAAAAAAAAGCCTCTCTAATTCGGTTCCAAACAGGGATCTTAGTACAAAGACAGTGGCGTACCAACTTGTTTTTGAGTGGGGGGGGCAAACCAGACCCTCTCCCCCCCCCCCCCCCCAAATCGAAAATTCGGCGCAACTTTTGTCCAACTTTTCTAAAGATTTGGCAATGATTCGGCAAAATTACAACGTTACCAGACTTAACATTGATATTTTGTTTTTTCTAACGAAAAAAATTTTGCTTCTTCTTCTTAAAATAAATACAACTTGTAGTGCCTATTGAAAGAGTTATGACTAAATAAGGTGATATTCTAGAAGATAATTGTATCGATGTCGCTTTTGTGTGTTTACTTGTAATTTTGGTGTATGCTTCGAGAAAGTGGCGTGACAACGAGGTTGGGTAGTAGCCGGCACAGTCACGAATCACACTACGAGAGCTTTGATTTTGAGGCTTCATCAGCGCACGCCTGCAAGTGTGTTTACATTGTTAAAATAAAGGCAATCACTGCGTTCTTACTTTCTCTGGTAGTCGCCGTTTCGTGCGCGAAAACGGATGCAACGGTTGCTGAGCCTTCACCAGAAGAGATAACAATATTGTAAATATGCATGTTTTTCGATTTGAGTCACTTGACGTCAGCTTTGCATGAAAGTGCGCGTTCCATATTCGCAACGTGCCGTTTTTAACCTTTAAAATTCCGGTTTCTGGTGTTCGGACACACACGGACGTTTAGGAAGATGGGGAGAGTTAGGAATGGTCGGATGTGCAACGTCGACCATGATAGTTCTGTGTTTAACGAATATTTTTCATCAGTGTTTACTAACGAGTGCTTGGACTCCGTCCCCACTCTCCCTGAAGAGCTTTACGAGCGCATGCATCCTATTAACGTTAACTCCGCCGGTATTATAACATTGATTGATAAACTAAAACTTACTTCGTCCGCTGGAACCGATAACATCAACTCTAAAATTTAAAAGAAACACCAGTGTTATTTCGAGTGAGTATTTAAAACTTATCTTTATTCAGTCCTTATCTCAAAGGTGCCTTCCATCTGACCAAAAGGTGGGAAGGGTAATTCCCAGTCTTTAAACAGGGCAGCCGCTCTTCCGTATCTAATTATCGCCCTAATTCATATATGACTTCAATTTCTTGCAAACTACTTGAGCATATCCTCTACTCCAATATCATGAGGCACCTATCATCCCATTTCTTTTCTTTAAACAGCAGCACGGTTTTCAAAAAGGTACACTCTCCGGCAATATGAAAGACCCACTGGGAGCGCGTGGCCGAGGCGGTGGCTGGCGGGGGCGCTGCGAGCCCTCCGGGCAATTCCATTCTGCTTCGAGGGGAGGACGCTCACTCGGGCTCAGATAAAGCGAAACGCGCTTATCAGTTTGTGCCGAGTGCCGAATGAACGTCCTCCCCTCGAAGCAGAATGGAACTGCCCGGAGCGCTCGCAGCGCCCCCACCAGCCACCGCCTCGGCCACGCGCTCCCAGTGGGTCTTTCATATCGCCGGAGACTGTACTTTCCTGCGAAACACAACTCTGCGACTTCATCCATGACTTGCACACTAACCTTGAACCTTGAACCTTGAAATGAAAAAACTGACGCAGTTTTTTTTTGTTTTTTTTTTCCCAAAGCGTTCGGCCGTGTTTTTTATCAACGCCTTCTTTCTAATAGCGAGTTCGTTTCACGGCACTCGTGCCCACGCGTGCCCACTCGCAGCGTGGAACGGGTTCGTTTCGGCCGGCGCTCCACGAGTGGTTGCACTCTCCGAGTTCGTTTCAGCGCTTACACCCCACTATTAGCATGCACTCGCTGCACCGAGAAAATCGGGAGTGCGCCAAAATGCAATCCCGTCATGCCTCGCTCCGGCGGGGCCGGCGAGGAGCGGGAGCAGACGACGAGGGTTCGTCTGCTGCGATGTGTCGCGGAGCCGAACGGAAAAAAAAGTAGATTTTCTGATAGAAATCGCGTCCCGCGGGAAACGAAATCAAACGCGAGTTTGAATTGTGAGCGTCTGCTATTTCACGGAGGAAGCAATTGACAACCCGTGATTTATTTGCAGGTTTTAAATCGCTCTGTTGCCGTACAAACGCTGTAATATACCAGTGTGTAAGGAAATGCTCAGAACAAACGCAACAGCGGCCCCCGAGATGTCGATCACCATCCGTGTGCGGGTGAAAAATTTAACATTTGTCGATAAAACTCCCCCAGCACCAGCAGAAACCTCTGACTGCCCAATAAGCATCAGAGAAAACTAAAGATGGTGACTTTACCCGAGGATTGGGCAACATCATCATGTTTAACATTTACCTACGCAGCTAACTTGCCCCGTCGTATTTTGTTCGAGAAAGCTCTCGTTCTCGACGCCCTCACCAAGGCTAATATCTAATCCACCTATAATGACGATACAAATCGAAAGTCCCAGTTTTGCTGGATATTCCAACAGGCTAGTTTTAAGCCGTACCCTTTTAGTGGTTCACGCATAATATCATGCTCAAACGGATCAAGCTTCTGCTCGGACAGCATCATCAGTTTTCTTCAGTGTAAACGGTTATAAGGATTGAAAGATCGCAACCAGCTGCTTTCTAGACAGCTGGTTGCGGAAATTTACGCCGTCTGTAACTATCCCTACGACAGCCGAGCCGCTTGAAGACATCGCAACTATTAACTACAGGTTGCAGTTGCCAACGTTTGTAGATAAACGTTGGTAGCGACTGCATTCTCGCATTCCCACGCATCACTCGGAACAGAAAGGCACTAGTTTCGGTTTGAAGTCGGTACCTTTTCTATAACATAGATGGCGACAGCATCAGTCTTCTGCACTCGATGCATTTGGCGAGTTCGTTTGAGTCCAGTTTTCCGTGCAACACTCAGTGAGTGCGATGCATTCTGGGAGAGAACTCGAACGGTGCCAGTGCGTGTGAAACGAACTCGCTATAAGCTATCATCTTTTTGCCTCGACCAAATAACCGTTTGCATAGATTCGTGACTTTCTTTTTTCCCGTGTACAGGTCACGTCCATGATGATCATGAATCTTCCTTAATAAATGTATCTCGTGGTGTTCCCTTGGGGTTCGTACTTGGGCCGTTACTCTTTTTAATATTTATTAATGACATCCCCATTGGGATTTCTTCAAAAAACCGCTTTTTCGCCGACGACTGCGTCATCCATAACAAAGTAACTTGTGTGCAAAATAATAACCAGCTTCAGGAAGATCTAGAGAAAATTAACAATTGGTGCAAAGAGTGGATTATGTCATTAAACAAGTATAAACGCAAACTAATCCACTTCACCAAGAAAAAAAACAAACACTGTCATTTAATTACTTCTTGTACTCCGATCTGATTGAGACCGCTACTGTGTATAAATACCTTGGTGTAAGACTAACATCTGACCTTCCCTAAAATAACCACATTGAAGTCATTACTGCCGATTCATCTGGAACTCTTGGACTAAGCAGACGTAACTTAAAAAGGGCTCCACCCTTTGTTCGTAAGCTAACCTTGGACACGTACGTCAGACCAAAAATAGAATATGGTTCAACCATCTGGAATACCCATAGACTGTACCTCATCAATACCCTGTAGAGGCAGTTCAGAACAGAGCTGCTCGCTTCATTTCATCCACTTATGACTTTTTTTTTCAGTGTCTCAGCGCTAATAACTGAACTAACCATGTCCTCTTTGCAGCTTCGCAGAAAAGTCTCTCAGCTGTGCTTTATTCACAAAATCTACTACTACATTCCCGACCTCAAAACCACTTTGTTATTACCCCCCGACCGAACATCTTCTCGCCTCAACAACGTCTGCACCATCAAGCACATTTCTGACTCTACTAACGCTTTCAATTGGTCATTCCTTTCTCAAGCCATCAGCCACTGGAACAGTCCCCCATCCTCCATTGTCACCATCTTGGACCCTGCTGATTTCTCCTCTGCAGTAAAACTACACCTTTCTTGGCCCATGTGATGGTGTGCGGGGCTAGGCAGATAGGTGAAAACCCTTACGCAGAGCGCCTGCCGGGCCAGACTTGTACGTAGTTCAACTACTTTACTCAAGTTACTGTAGTTTAACTACTTTTCTGGGTAGTTTAGTAACTTTTAATTACATTTATATTCTAGTAATTCGTAGCTTACTTTAACTACTTTTCCGAGTGACTTCCACTCAAATTACAAATTACTTTCTAATTTTAGTGGTTGTTTTGCCTATCAACACAGAAAAGATGTCGGAAGGTCAGCTGATATTTGCAGAGGGGGAAGCATGCGGAGCAGAAAAGGGGGGGGATGGGAAGGAAGAAAGTGATTTAGATAGTCCAAAAAACCCCAAAATTTTAACGAGCCCCCCCCACTGCAACAACACTGCTACGAGGCGCGGGGAGCGAACAGACACGACGCAAGAGAGGTCGAGTAACTGTGGGATTAGCTCCGAATAGTGGCGTTTCTTTGTATTCCGAAGCTCAAGGAGACTTGACGCATTTGAAGAAAGGGCTTGTCCCCGCTTCTCTCCAATGTAGGAATTCTTGCCCACTACAGGAGGTGCACACACTGCTCCTTTTACGGTGCAGGCGATAGAACCCCTAACAACGACGCTCACGCCAGATGGGCTGCTCGTGTATCACTCGAAGCGCGTTAACCCACCCCCGCGCCTGCGTTCACGCCGCTTCGCGGTGACGGTGTGCGGCTGCTAATTACAAATCTATTAACCCACCTAGCCCCCCCACCCCCCGTACACGCAGCTTTGCAGCGTCCGGTCGGCAACCCAAGCCCCGCTGCCCCCCATGCACTTCCGTAAATAGAGTCGATACGATTTAGTTTAGCGATGTTTCGTCAACAACATTCGTTTTTTTAGTGTTAATGGTAAAAAAGAAATGTAAATATCGCCAAATGCCTCGACAAAACAAAATGTTCGAGAAAAAAAATAAAAAGAAGTAAGCCGGCCCACACCATAAATAGAACCCGGGTCTGACACGTATGAGGCAGACATCTCACCACTAAGTTACGCTACCTCTTCGGAAACTCGCATTGCATCTGCTGCCTATGTTGACGGCGGCAGCGCCTATCTCCAAGCAAGCAAGCAAAACTTTATTTTGTGTAAGGGCCTACGTCCTGGTCTGCACGGCCCGTCCGGCCCATGTCTCGCGGATGGATTCCGTTAGGTTACCGTGTAGCCTTGTTCGTGGGGCAAGGCTCCACAAACCAGCCAATCCGGCGTGCGTGAGCACCGTTGCTAGGGTTTGTATCGCCTGCGCGTTAAAAATATGCCCGCGCGGGTCGGGGAGCAGTGCCCTTGGTATTCCTTGGGCGCCGCCGGCCTGTGTCTGCTCTGCCCAGTGGCGGCCGTTTCAGGGGGGGCAAAACGCATGCCTTGCCCCCCCACTCTGAGAACTGGGGGGGCAAGTGCCCCCTTTGCCCCCCCGGTTGGTACGCCCATGTACAAAGACAATAACATCAAAGCAGTGGTTTGTTTATTAAGTGATCACTCAAATGAAGTACACAGCACAAATTATTGAAGATATTATGAACAAAAGGAAGTTTCCATCGAACGCACTGCGCACCAACTTTCCTAATGCTGAATTTGGCAGAATTCCTAGAAATCTATAACACATGTCGCTGTAGTCATTTGCTGGTGCTCCCATTGGTTTTTGGAGGAATTTCCAGTATTGGCGAAGCTATTTCATACTCGCCCTGGGTTCTTAGGAATCCAGAGGTTCCCCAGAGTGCCCTCAGGGGTTCCCAGAGCACCCCAAGGAGTTCCCAGAGCACCCCCTGGGGTTCCCAGAGCACCCCCAGGGGTTTCTCAGAGTACACCCAGGCATACTCCAGAGCACCCCAAGGGGTTTCCCAGAGCACCCCAGAAGTTTCTCAGAGCACCCCCAAATTTTTCCAGAGTACCCTAAGGGGCTTCCAGAGCACCCGAGGGGCTCCCCAGAGTAGGTACCTCCATGGGTTTCTTAGAGCAACCCCAAGCGTTCCCCCAGGGTACACCCAGAAGTTCCCCAGAGGACCCCCAGGGGTTTCCCAGAGTACTCTCAAAGGTTCCCAGAGCACCCCAGGGGTTCCCCGAGTACCCTCAGGGGTTTCTTAAGTACCTCAACGGGTTCCCGGCGTACCATAAAGGGTTCCCCGAGCTCCCAAATTTTGTCAGCCGTCCCTGCCTCGAAGTCAAATGTTCTTCCAGCTTCAGCACTAATTTAAAAGATTCGAGTCATCCATTGGTGCATTGCTATGCGCCAAACTCTCCCTAGTATATGCACCAATGCTTAAGTGTGCAGACTTCCACACCGCTTCACTGCATCGGTATTGAGACCAGGAAGGCTTCCTCAGCTAGCAGTCAAGACAGATGGGAGCTCATCAAGGCCGAAAAGTTTGAGAACTCCTGCTCTAGATTACTGTACAAGCTCTAAGCACCCGTGGGACATGTGGTTCCATACCTGCACTGTGCCAGCCAGTGCACGCCGGGAGAGGTGGTGCGGATGGAGGGCACAGACCGGGCTCTCTCCGAGGTCTTCTTTCCCGATCCTTTGGCAGACGCAAGGCGGCCACGGTGCGCGACAACGATGCCCCTCGCCGATTCTCTGTCCTTGGCACCCTTCTTCGCCTCGGGACACTTATCCTACAGAGAGTGCAAAGGTCAGTGAAACTCGTCATCTAAGCTTTCCTCCAGTAAAGTGTCGATGCAACATTTTTCCTGCCCATTTCGATTGGGGCTACAGGGCATCGTCCCGGCATCCAGTCATGTAACCACCACCTTGTACTATTTGCAGTTGTGTCGTTATAATTATGTTGCGTTTGTTTAGACAGCGAAACGTTTGTTGACCCCAGGGGGTATATGGTGTCTGAGATGCATGTGAGAAATTTAGCCAATGCAGTACAACCGCTAGCATGTGGTCTTTAATGCATATCACATACTGGTGATTCCACGACCGCACACCGGTACGACGTTCATTCAGATCGAAAGAGGCAGGGGTGAGAAACAAACTTCAGATTTTGGGGCTACGAGGCAAAATAGTGTCTTTCATTATAACTTCAAAAACCATGTGAAAAGATATCTTCTGATGTGTCCAACATAATACATAAGGTTTTTGCCAATTTATTACCACATAACATTGTGTTTAGAATTGTTAATGTCTTTTTAGTGTTTTTCTTCAATGTAGTTAATGTATAAATATGATGTGTAGTTTCTTTTTTGTTTTGTTTGGTTTGTAAATGTCATATTAATACAATTTTACTGTTGGTTTCTTCTGTCAATGCTTTTTTATTATTATTTATTACACGTGTTTGCTTTTCCACTGCTAGCTGATGCAGTGTTAGGGTGACTGGGCCTCATCAGGCAGAATGTATCTGCCTTTTGCCCTGTTCTCCTGAGACCTCGCGTCCAAATAAAAAAGGAACAAGCAAACAAACAAAAAATGAAACATAAACAGCCCAAAAGACAGACAAAAAGATTAAGATGAGGGGCTAATGCCATCCTCATTGTATACAGCTGTATACAGTATAGTTATACACGGTGAGCACACAACACCTCTCCTGGCTATCCTCTTTTCCTCTGGACATTAAAAAAAAATGAAATATACAGTTAGCCCTCCTTAATATTTTAGCACAAGCACAGCAATCAACCAGCATGGACAACAAGCTTCTAAAGAAGACGTACCACTTGAGATGCAGGACAGTCTCCCCGCTGTAGACCTCCATCGATAGATCCGCCCTGTCAATGTGGAACGGGTTAGTGGCAGAACAGGTCAACATCTTTAATGGGCCACTGCAGCCAAAAATAATATTTTACCTACTGTAAAATTTCAAATTTTGCCCTCCACCAAGAAATTGCCCATCTCACTTTTCTCGCTTAATATCCATAAGCTAAAAGAAAAAAAACTCTTTCCATCCTCGTCGACACTGTCACGATCCTTCTTGAACGTGGACGGAGGGGGCCGAAGCACCCGCCGAGAAGAGACGACACGCAGCCTGGTTGTGAGGGAGGACGATGACTGACCGGGGCGGCGTGCGCTCCACGGCGTTTATTTGGCGCAGGGACCAATGTTGCCCGCCAAGCCTGACGGCCACCGACGGGTGGACGGGAGAAGGCACTACATGCTTGTCACACACAGTTCATGCGATTCTCGTCAGACATCAACCGCACGATCTGCGATTTTGGTACATGTGACAAGCACATTCGTAGCAGGTTCCTGCGTGTTTATCGCACCATGGAACCCGAATTCGCCACGTTCACCGACGACATGCGTGCGCAACATCGGTTTCCGTGACATGCGAGTCCGCAGCAGGTTCCCACGTATTCACCGCAAGGTGAAACACAAATCTGCTGTGTCCGCAATTTGCGGTATAGATTCCCTCGTCACATGGTTGACGGCGGGTGTTGCGGTGTCTGTCGGTCATTTTTCGTAAATTTCTGCTGTCTCATCCCCAAAGGTCGCCCACTCAATATTTTTCACTACTCGGTGCCTCCTTAAAGAGTAACTCTGCTCGATTTCGGAAATTTTGAGATAGTGGGTGATATAAACGAGAAAAGTACTCCAAAACAACCCTAGACCGTTTGTCTTATTAAAACCAAAATATTTTTTGTGCGATCTTGTTATTTACCATAATTGCAAACCACAACTGAAACTTCGGCACAGCCGGGCAACATTCTACCCTCAACGTCAGTTGCATACGCACCCACGTGGGATACAAGTGGTCACGTGATCTACTCGCGGTAACCCAGAAAAGACGCAGATGCGCGGGGAAGGGCGAGGAGCGAGGAGGGAGGACAAGCGAAGCCGCGGTGAACAGGCAACGCAAGCAGCGACGAAGCAGGCCATGTAGGTGGCAACCCAGGCGGCTAGTCTGTTGGCACCAGTTGGCAGGGTTGGCACGTATGTCAGCGAAACTCATCCAGCACAACCCTCTCCCTCCTCTTCTTTCTTTTTCTTGTTTTTTTTGTTTTTTTTCGTCTGTCTCGCCTCTTTGCTTGCTCAGATGCGGAGCGCGTTCGTAGCACCGCCTGGTAAGCTCTCCCTAGAAAAGAAAATACCAAGAAAAAAACTGCGTATGCAACAGACGTCGGCCACAACGGAAATACAACATTGGCTGTGCCGCTCGTCGCCCGCTAAATTAGCAGATTTCGGCGACTTCGCGCATCTCAGTCTTTGTCGGCCGGTTTAGTGATCTTTTAGGTGGTATTACATTCTAATATTTGACACTCGGTCTATCTAGATGATACTAAAGAGAGTCGCAGTGTTTGTCAACAACCGAGAATGAAGCGGAGTTTCCCTTTAAAATGGGTGGACGTTCATAAGGGATTTTGCGGTAGACGGCCGACAAAACTCCCCACTAAATTTCACCTGGATCCCTCAAGTGTAAGATGTATAAACTGTGTCAAAAGAAGACTGGTTTCATGCCTCCTCCAGGCATGAAACCAGATGCAAGAGGTGGCACAGCTGTTTCATGTTTAACACATTCTCTCTTTTTCCAACTCCTCACACACTCACATATTTAATTGTGACACTTACGCCAACACTCACATCCACTCATGCATGCTTACACTCACTCATAAACACTCACCCATTCATTCACTCCAATTTACATTCACTAGCACACGCTCACTCCCTCGAACTCACTCGAACACCTTAGGTTGTACTTATTCACTCACGTGCTCTCCCACTCCCCATAGACACACAGATTTAGTCATAAATACTAAAACTCACTAATACACACTCACATATACCCACACTTACACATTCACTCATTCATACACATTTGCTTACACACTTTACTCACGTTCACCGATACACAAACAGCCAATGGGCACGTTAAGTCCGTGCTCCAGAGGGCAAGAGTTTGGTGGTCCGTTCACTAAACAGGAGGGAGCACCGCCCGAGACAGATTCGAGCACGCTCCTCGTGCACCGGGTATTTCTCAGAGCGCAAGTAACTTCTTCGCGCTCTGTGACGTCGCGCCTACGAAAAAAGTGGCTGCCCTCACGGAAACGTTGAGACGAGAGGCGCTACCGGACCACTGCCCCTTTTTCAGTTGATTAGTGCTTAATCCAGCAGGTAAAAATGATTTGATATGAAAGCCAAGACAGCAATTAGCGTTCCGGAAAGGTTTGTTTGTGCATCTCGCCTATGAATTCATCTATAGGTGGTGTTCACTGAGCCTGCAGGTTCGATTTTGCCAGGGAGCGCCACCGTCAATCTGCCATCTTCGAGGTCGCGGTTCGACTGGCTTGGGTACGCGGTCGTACGTTGGTGGTGTGTGCTAATTTCATATAGTTGAAGAAGCTTCGTTGAACAAAAGAGAGAAAAAGGTGTATCTCGGGGGCAGGCTGTTTTAGTTTCCTTGTTGCCGCCAAGTACCGTGCGTAAGGGCTGAACCGCATGTAAGCATTTTAGTGAACGACGGGACGAGACGGCGACGACGACGAAACAAGCGACAACGACCCACTTCGCTGTCGCTCAGTCACTCGCGCGATGAGGCAAACCGCATGAAAACGACGGAGGCAAGCGACCAAGGCGATTAGCGACGTTTTCTAGATATCCAAAAACTGAGCGACGCGACGACCGATTGTGAGAAATCTCCATCGCTCGTCGCCGACTCCCGTCGCTGTCGCCGTCACTCGCTAAATCGCTTACATGCGGTTCACCCTTCAATGTCACTCGTCGCGTAGCTCGGTTTTGGGATTTCTAGAAAACTTAGCACTCATTGCCTTGGTCGTGTGCTCCCGTGGCTTTCATGTGGTTTGCCTCGTTGCGCGAGTGACCGAGCGGCAGCAAAGTGGGTCGCCGTCGCTTGTCTCGCCGCTCGCCAAATCGCTTACATGCGGTTTTTAAATCACTTGGGGTAATGAAAAAGGCGCCGGATTTTTCATAAGCTGCGTACTCTGTGAGCCACACATATATTTCTGCACAAGAACGAACACCAAAGGCACGACGTATGTACGACACAGAGGCAATGGAGCAACACGGTTACATGGCCGTAGTGCAGAAAATCCGCTAGAAAAAAAACAAAAAAAACTAGCAAAACAAAACAAAGAGTAATCACACCGTGCTACAAAAGCACCAAAGTAGAAAAATCAGTTCTTGCAAGAGCTACCGCCGTGGGCACGGCGCGCGACACGGAGCGCTTCATGGAGCCAAGGGAGCAATGCAGACGCGGTGAACGAGTTCGATAGCGACAAAAACGAACTAAAACACACAAAAAATACTCCTACGGGGCTTCAAAAGCACCATAGTATAAGAATTACCCCTAGTTTCGGTCAAAAAGACCCTTTAAAGTTGTAAAAGGCTGCTAAACCACGCTCAAAAGGTCCGGCCAGACGACACCCGCAATAGAAAGAGACCTTGAAGATGGCGACTGTGGTGGGCAATGCCAGCGAACCTAGCGAGTGACGTTAAGTGAATGTCACCTATTGAATGGTAGCGTGCCGATAACATAAACTGATATTCCTTAGATTTCCATTGCGTTTTCACTTCTCCTATGCCCCCGAGTACAGTAAATTTACGTGGCCTCAGGCTTGCATTAAATAGTAATAATATTTTATTTTCGAGGGCATCAAAACTTGCCCTGGCGTTACATTCATGGTCGCATTATATTCGTGCAAATACGATACTTCGATTGGAAAGCCGAAACATCAGTTAGCATTGCAGAAAAGGTTTGTTTACGCATCTCGCTTGAAAACGAATTGACGTGGTATCATTAAACGGTAGTGTGCCGGTATCGGCGTAGTACATTGACGGGTTCCGTCTCGCGCTGCAAGAGGGAACCACGAACCACATGACAAGTTTGACGGTTTCCAGCGTCAACGAGCGAGTTCAAAAATACTGACTTTATTTGAATTTGAACAGCATGCGTGGCCAATATGCTCAAAACGAGTCTTCAAACCTTTCACGGATATTAAAACATTCGTAGAAACTTCCTAACGACATTCTTTTTTTTTTTTCGAATTAACACTCCTCCGCTCCACAGAACCCAGCTAACTAATTTACCTTTGAAATAATTTCGGCTTCTGCCACCTGTATTCACGAGATGCTGGGTTCGTCGTAATTGTGCCGTCAGAGGTGGCTCGGTGACTTGTCAATAGGTTCGGCGTTTCGCGCTCCTGCACGCTGTGCTCCAATTAGTTGCTGCGCTCGGAGTATGAAACTCGGGGAGTCGGAGTAGGAGTGAAGGAGCGCGGAGTTAACGTGCCCACTCACTCACATTAACTTAACTCCCACTCACTCACTAAAGAGCACACACTCCCACTCCTCCAATCATACCACATATGCGCACACACACACACTTGTATCCTGGCAATATAGTGATATAGTCGCCTCCCTTTGGGGACAGAGGAGTGGAAGAACGGCAAAAAAAAATAACCACAACTCTGCTGTCAACATTGCGCCCTCCATTTTAACCGGCTTCAAATGCCATTACCGGAATCCGCAGCTTTGGTGGGCGATGGGAAAACATATTTTCCTAGTTTTTCTCGAGAACAACGAATCCACAACCAAAAAGGTGCGAAAATTATGCGGTGCGTAGAAACCCTGACAAGCATTTTGCTGGCTGCAGTGGCCCTCAAAGAGCGCGTCCTCACAAAGCTCCTCTGCCTCAAGCCTTGGGCCCTGGCCAGGATGTTCTCTGCCCTCCCCAGCTCCTTCGTCATCTTCTCTTGAGCTGAAGTGTAACGAGAAACACAAACATGCAGCAAGTTAGCTGCGGCAAGAGAAGTGCAATGCACCAGTGAAACTGGAAAGTGTTTCCCCATCGGATCATCTGACGACCACAAGTAATCCGTAGATTCAACCCAAAGTGCTTCCTGCACAACCAATCGTGGACCAACAGTGTTTGGTTTTCTCTTTTCATTGCACCTATCCACGTTCTCGGATGACCGAGCAGGCAGAAAACACATAAAAGCATCTTCACACCTTTCCCGGCTCTTTTGGTAGGGCCCCAATCGTGGCGTTTTGGAGACAAGGCGAGTTTTAGTCTGCTTTCTTCCAAAACAACCCAGGGATGCCCCTCCCGCATAGCGACTTCCGCCCGCAGCCCCACACTGGAAGCGCACCAAAAGTGCCACCCCCGGGGGCGTGACGTAACAGTGTTGAGTTGGTGTGCAAGTCGTCACAAACGACACGTACTGTACGTACCACATTCCAAAACTTCACGTTTACACAGCTGCATTGATTCAGAGATTCATATCCAGGCTGTTTGTAGGCCTGTTTTGAAAATCTCTTCCCCGTTTTCTCAAAATGCATTTTTTTCGTCACAACAAAAATGTTTTGCTTACGGTATCGTTGGATCCAGAACCTGGACCCGAATACTTTTGTTTCAGAATTGAGTACCTTAAAAATTAGAAAGTGCAACAAGACTACTATTTAAGGAAGATGTTGACTACAAAATTGTCTAATTGGCAGAAGCTTTAATGACTCATTTTTGTTAATCAGCAAATAAAATAAATTTTAACTCGTGATGACCTTTTTTTTTAGAATGATGCTAAAATTAAAACTATGGTTTTGTTGCTCTCTGCTGTTTATAAAACATGCTGATGTACTTTATGTAATATTTCTTTTATGGTCACACTAAAAAAGTTGAGCAGTACAATTTGTGATAAAGTTGAGGTACTCTTGAAAAATATTCTAGATAACAAAAATTGAGCTTATGCTTGCACTTAGCACAAGAACTTAAGAGCAGACGTAAAAAATTAAAAAAAAATTAAATCAGAAATGACAAAAAAAAATGTTCAAGGCCAGGGTTTCCTTTTACAGAAAACAGAGATACCAGACGTCTTTTTAAAACAGTATAAATTCTTGTTATATTGACTACGTAAAACAAATGTGACTTGACTGTCTTTGGCCAAAGTCATCCACGACATACCCCACCATGATTCAGTACCCACGCTTACACGAATGCGACTCAAGTGCATCGACTCCAATCGTCCTCGGAATAGATCCAACGTGTCAATGTTTGCATGGATGCGCATCGAGTCATACGCAAAGGTGGCGCCACACATCGGCACGCCTCAAAATTAAAGTCACGTTTCTGGCAGCAGCCACACCACATGACCCCATTCTCCGACATTCCAGGGCCTTCGCCCGTTGAAAGGGCGAAGGCCCTTTCAACGGGCAGAAAGGTCATGCCCGCCGTCTTCGATGCTCCGCAAAACTGCCGGGACGCACGATACATCAAAACCAGGGGCGGATTCAGAGGGGGTTCCGGATGTCCTGACCCCCCTCTTGAATTCTGCATGTGTAAAAATTTAGGGCGTGGAAACGGCAAAGGGGGAAGTTCTTAAGCATATGATACGCTGACCAACACCTGACCCCCCCCCTCAAGAAATACCTGCGTCCACCCCTGATCAAAACCAGAGCACTCTGGGCTCCGGGACGGGCCATTTCGGAACAGAGGCGACGTAAGTGCGCACGGTCCGGTGAGAGAGATCGTTTCCAACTGCTCGCAGGACACTGCCGCACTGCGCCTCGCCAGGCCGTGCCAATCGCGGTCGGACCCCGAGGCTCTGGCACAAGCCAACAACACCAAGGTGAGGGCATGGAAGGAGGAGCTCGTTCTGCGGTACCAATGCTCAGAACTCCCGGCACTGTTCCTGCTTGCGCCGGAGCCTCTAGGAGCTCCCTCAACAAGCCGGTCGTGATTGGCAAGGCCGGGATGGGGGCCACCCTAACCGAGCAGCTCACTTGTGACGATGAGAAAAGCTTGTGTCTCTTTTCGGGAGAAAATTGCGGACGAACACCGGGGACGGTTTTCTGCCAACGAGATTGGAAGCTGCCATATGTTCTCGGCTGCTCACCAGCTCCCGAAGCAAGCGCCTTCCCACAGTCCTCCCCGTTCCAAAATGCAGAGTGACCTCCGTTCACGTGGTCAGAATGAATGCGCATTCGTCGTCTCTACCCCCTCCGTCGGGTAGCTAAGGTGAGATGCGCTTCCCTGGCACATTACACCATTTACACGACTGCAATGAATGTGACAACTGGAGCTAATGCGCTTAAAGGGCGGGTGCAACGACTTTAAAATTAAAAGAATTTCCATCTCGTCATTTTTACATAGTTTATCGTGTCCCGGAGGATAGAGAAAATACCTCCTTCATTAAAAAATGTTGCAATTCTGCTGCATAATCGCAAAGCAAAAGTCGAGATTTTTCCCCCACCTGCAGCCGCGAGTGGCAGCCACGTGGCCTCACTCGAAACCGAAACCAAAAGTGGACTGGGGAGGAAGGAGAAATACAGAGGAGAAAGTTGACAAAAATCCCGTGGCTGTGCAACTTTTTTTTTTGTCGATCAACATATTTGCAGCTTTTTAGAGGCCACAAAAAATGGGTATCACACTTCTTGTCTATTTTTAATATTGAGTGTGTGCCTTCGATGACCCACGACTTCGGCTATATTTGGTGGTTCTGTCTGAACCATAGGAAACGGCACGTAACCACAGAGAAAAGAGTCAGCGCGATTCAAACCGGCCAGTTTTCGATCGGCGGTTTTCGGGCAAAAAGAAAACGAATTTCGAGCAGCAAATTGTTTTCTGGGTAGTTGGGCTCTCGTATGTCATGTACAAATACAAACCTTGGCGAGGAAAAATACCGTCAGTGTCCCTTTAAGAGAAAAACGACAATAAACCTTTACTCGAATTGAGCTAGCTTGTAGGGTTGTGCAAATAGAGTCAGACCCGTTTATAACGAACAGCAGGAAAGGCTACGATCAGTTCGATATAGCAAGTAGGTCGATACAGCAAAAACCATTTACAACGAACTTCCACGATGCGTTCGTTGTAAGACGAGAGCTTCTCTTTCTTTTCTCATCTCTTCACTTCCGCCTTTTAACAACGCGCTAAAAGGCTCTTTATTTTTTTATTTTTTATTTTTTGCATGCGTCCAGAGTTTGTTTTAAACTTATCTCCCCTTATTGAATCGCTTCTCTTGTGGGCAAATGCTTCGGGATGAATAATTTCTTTTTTCTGTGCGTGTGTGCAGAGTGTATTTTTTAGCTTTCTCCCCCCTTCTGAATCACTTCTCTTCGCTCAATTTTGTTCGCAACATGAGCTTTTGGAATTTTCTTTCTTACTACATCTTTTTGGGGGGAAGGGACAGGTTAAAAGATGATTGTTTGCACGTCTTTGGAAGCCTTCCTGGGGGGAAAAAGTTTGATGTAGCCAATATGTTGTTCGTTATAAAAAGTACTTTTTACATGCATTTTTATTTAAATTTTCCATGAGTTCGATATCTGCAATAATTCACTGTACGTGGGTTCGTTCTAAACGAGTTTCACTGTAGTGGTTTGAATCGAATAGCACAGCGTCATCCCTAGCTTCTGCACTGTTGAAATAACCAGCCGTCTTGTTTTTCTCTTGCATTGTTAAAGCCATGAATGACACAGCGCTATTCGGTTCGAACTACTGTTCGCACAACCCGACTAGCTTGTCTTCGTTATAGGGGCTTTGCCGCATGACGTTTGCTCCGAAGAGACATTTTCTAGAGCCGACAAACGATGTACAGCAGTGCTGCTCTATCGTAGGGTGTAAAAAGTTATGGTGTCCCTATTGAGAAATTAAAGTGCCTAGTTTAGCTTTATACACAAACTCAGCTCTGTTACGTCGCAGCACGGTGGTGGTGCGTCAACCGCACTTCCGGTCCGGGGCTGTGGGCATAAGTTACCATGCGGGACGTGCATCCATGTGTTGTTTTGGAAGAAATCGGACAAAAACCTGCCTCCTCGTCAAAACGCCGTAACTGGGCTGTACCAAAAGAGTCGAAAAAGGTTTGAAGATCAGTTTCCCTGTGTTTTCCGCCTCGTCGGTTAGCACGAGAACATTAATAGGTGCCGTGAAAAATAAAAACCAGATGCCATCGGAACATGATTACTTATGTGGGAAGCACTTTAGGTTGAAGTCACGGATACTTGTGGTCGTCAAATTTATTTGTTTTGTTCCAACATGAACGCGGGAAAATCGCCAAGTTGTATGTCTTCAACTTCAAACGGTTGCCTGATTGTTCGAACTGTCGTCTGCTCTTTTAAACGTTTCTGCTTGATGTCTGCTCGTTGAAACGACTGTAGCCCGTACAACAAACGTTGGCCCGGTAATTGCAATAAGTAAGTGCAGGCCTCAAAAGACTCTAAGTTTGAAGGTTATTTGGGGTAAGTATACTCTGTGTAAATAGTAGATACATGGAGATGTTGATCATTGTTACCAGTGGCCATCACTGACTTGTTATGCCTCATTCACTTGGTCCGATTTTGCTTGCAATTTTGAGTATCGACATCGACCATCTCAGCTGCGGTTCACGCTTTTGCGGCCCGAGCGACGTCACAACTGAAAATAGCGAGCAGAATCTCATCGTACGAATTACGCTTTAGCGTGCGCCCATTCTGTGGCATCCAAGCGGAATAGATCGCTGCATGTCACATTATTCACACAACGTTTTGAAGTGTAACAAGCCTCATTAATTTTGTTGAGGTCACTGCAGAAGTCAGACATTGCCAGGAAGGCAAGGAATCAACAATTACAACGTGGGGACTCACACTAACGCCGACAACATCACCTTCCATTCGTTTGTTTATATGCGACGGCGAGCTTCTTGTTCACACTCCATCGCGCATGCGCGGCACCGGTGGCATCCACTAGGGGTGCTCCGGTTTGTTTGTAAACACGAGTTGGTCTATATTTGTGTTTCCTCGCGATGCCTCCTAAGACTCCCTTTTCAAAACATGTCCAAATCGAGTGTGTTCTACAGAGCACCATAAAAGGCTGCACATGCCTTATATTTCTATAATAAAGGTGGGTTCAATAGCATTAAATTATGTGCCCCTGTTTGTAATTGAAATAGTATCTTTAAATTTATTAATTATAAAGTTCTAAACTAAAAGTAATTATTAGCCTAATTATATCAAACACCTATATTTTCCTAAATTCGCCCTTCAACAGGAACCAATATTACATCAACCCTTTCTCTGTGCGATGCATACTTTTCACAGGAACGATTTGACCCGCATTTTGTTAAACACCCTTAACATATAGCTGAGTGCTTCTCCCAAGGACTTGACTTTCATATAATATATATTTTTTACAGAAATATGCAAAATATAACCCAGACCATCACTGCATTAAGTGACATGGAAACACCCAACAACAAAACCCTTGAGGTTATCAAGTTCCATCTGTATTCCACTGGGTGTGCATGGACACTTAAAAAGGGTAAGCTGGTTCGTTTGTCGTCACACAATGTTGAAAAGCAAGATATCGACCCTCCAGGCACAACTTCCCTAGCCTTGTTTTCGCTGTGAGAGACCTTCCTCGAGTGGGGGCTTTCTTCACAGTAATGTGCTGTGCACACTGTTCTCAACTGTTGGCAGCAAGGACATCCATTGACAATCCTTTGTGAGCTAATAGCCCGGGGAAGGGAATGGGGGAAGGAGGCAATGCGAGGAAACCGCAGAATACTGCAGAAAGATTGAGGGTGGCTGGTTTCAGGCACATAAACATTTGGGGTAAAAATGACCGATATGTCATCGACTTTCGAGAGGCCGACGATGTCTCCTTCCTAACTAACCTTCATGCAGGAGAGCCTGGTGGCCATTGGACCGTGGTTCGTCCAGACCCGAAGGTGCCTCGGTCCTTGAAAGCAAGACGCCCAGCAACAAACTTTGCATAAATGGATGGATGCACAATGGCCTAACTCTTTTAAGGGGGGACACTACCCAGAAAAAACAATTTCTGCAAAAAGCTTGATTTTGAAAAAATGCCATAATTACATCCACCAACATCCAGAGAGTATTCCCAGAAAGTTTCATTAGTTTACACTGCATAGTTATTTTTTTATAAATTATATTCGGTCCATCAATGCTAAAGAAAAGGTAGGGGTTGGAGCACTTCGAATGCATTTTTCTCCATTCCATTTTTCGGCATAAATTTCACTTTAGGAAATCTATCGTTTTCCTATTACACAATAGAAAATTATTCTTAGGTGGTTTTTCGTCACGGAATTTTGTGAGGAACATGCCTGGCTGGTTAGTTTTTCTACTTTAACATTCTTTCATGCTAAAAAAAAACTACATTTGCAAAAAAAGCACAGACATGAAAAAAGAATTTTATCTTTTTATGTACTTATACTTACGAACAACAATGCAATATAGCAAAATAACTAGCTGGATATGTGCTATGGGTATTCCTATAACTATATTACACATAAAAATCACAATATTTTTTTCTAAGAAAACACGCTGATATTTATATTGTAACGTTTATAACAAGTTTTAGAATAGACATAGGACAATGAAATTTGGCAGGAATGGTCTTGCCACTCCACTGCAAATTTGACTGAAATCAAGCAAGCGGTACAGAAGTTGACTTTTCTGGGTATTGTCCCCTTTAAGTCGGGCGGCAGCTTGTGCCGCCTAGCCAGCATGCTTACAGCTAATTACGTTTAAACTAAACAGTCCAGCTACCACGTTGCCACACTCACTGTGAGAGGAGAAGCTGGCACATCTCGCAGGCCTCCTCAGTCGCTCGGCGAGCTTCATCCACCTGATGCTGAGCATCGGTCAGCGCATTTTTCAGCCTGCGACACACGAACAGCTTACTGGCAGTTAAAGGGACACTGACAGAGTATTTATGCTCGTCAAGGTTTTTATTTCTACATGGCGTATGAGAGCCCAACTACCCAGAACGCAATTTGCGGGCTGAAATTTGTTTTCTTCCCGCCCGAAAACCACCAATCAAAAACTGGCTGATTTGAGTCGCGCTCTCTCTCTTCTCCGTGGTCACATGCATTCTCTACGGCTTAGACACAACCACCAAATATAACCAACGTTGTGCATCATTGAAGGCACACACTCAATATTAACAATAGATAAAAAAATATGACACCCATTTTTTGTGCTTCTAGAAGAATGCAAATAAGTTCATTAAAAAAAAAAGGTTGCACAGCCACGCGACTTTTGGCAACTCTCTCCTCTTCTATGTTTCTTCTTCCTCCCCATTCAAGTTTTGGTTTTGAGCAGTTGCGTTTTTTTACTTTATTAAAAACATGTATGAGGCTGTAGCAAAATATTGATTGGATAGTCTTCTGACACCCTAATAATACAGAGGTGTCAGTGTTTTTTAAGGCCTGTTCACACGTACAATCAGCGTTTACTTAGCGCTACAGACACAGCGCCGAGTAATATCGGCCCTGTATCAGGACTTCATCACATGTCAGCTTTTTCCTGCGTACACACACAATGCAGTGCTATCTTAAAGGGCAACTCCGGTCCATACTTTCGATTTTGGGATTATGACCGTTTTTAGTGCAGTCAGCGTCCCTGAATTGCAAGGTGTAATTTTTTTCTCGTTATTGTGCGTAGTTCTAAAAATATCGACGCCTCAAAGTTTTGTTTGCGGCGTGGCCAACAAAACTGAAACTAGCCGCTTGAGGCCCCGGCAACACTGGAAATCAGCCACCATGTGAACGTGACGTCAGGATCGTTCTCGTTCAACGAGTATGCAGGCCGAGCGCCACCTACCTCTGTTGCGCTAGCCGTCTAAAGATAGGAGGTAAGCTGATTTTGTTTTAAATCTGTATACGTGGTAGTTATCCAGCATATGTAGCAAGAGTTAGTGCGTATACCCAAAAGCTAGCGACTGGAAAACCCATGAACTCGGTTGGTGCCCTACTCGGCGGCCGCCGCCGTGCGTGCGCTATGCCGTACTGATCGCCTGTATACCCAAAAGCTAGCGACTAGAAAACGAGTGAACTCGTTCGGTGGCGTACTCAGCGGCTGTCGCCGTGCGTGCAGTCTTCCGTACTCGTCGCTAGGCCTAAATTGTCATCGGGGCTCCGTGGATGGACCGGCGTTGCTCTATGCTGCGCTGCCAGTGATGTACAGTACACTGGGGGCCCTCTCGCTTTCGCGCTGCGGGTCAGTCCCAGACATAAAGCTTTGAGGCACTCCGGCGTGGGCCGCGGCGCCCGAACACACGTGTGCTGGGCTGTACACCTTTGTTTTTTCGTCCTTTTTTCCTCGGGCGCGTAAAAGCCGAAACCCAAAGTCCACTCGTCGAACAGCGTTCACCCACACCTTCTCCAATTTCCGGTCCGTTGGAAACTTGTGAAAAAACACCTCCAGGTTGTGCAGCAGGTTGTTTGAGCAGCCCACAGCGCTACAAGACGTACTTGGCATCTTTCGAGGAACAGCTGGGCAGTCTTGGGTGCACCGAGTTGCCTGCTAAAACGAGTCTTGAAGTCCTCACAAGCAAATAAACAAAAGGCTATACCAAAGCGCTACACAGGCTACAGATTAAAGCAACGGCTTAACACGCCAATCACAAGCCGAAGTGGTGGTAGCGGCTCAAAGAAGCGCACTCCGCGCAACGCCCGGACCGGAGGAAAAAAAAAGAGAACGATACTGACGTCACGGCCCAATGTTGCTATAGAGATCAGCAACCCGCTGGCCGCCCGCTAAGGAGCAGCGGCTTGCGGCGGGTCGCATTTTTATTATCGGCATTAGTTGAGAAAGCGGCGTCCCACGGACGTAATATTTTGGCTGGGGTCGTATTTTATGTCATTACAGCGATACCAGTAATTTATTTCATTTTGAGTTTTGGCCGGAGTTGCCCTGTAATTAGAGCCGATCAGTGTCAGTAGTAACACAGATATTGCATCATCATTTCGTTATTTTGGCACCGAGAGGCATGCGTGAACCGGCTTTTAAAACAATGAAAAGGACGGTATGGCTTATACCATCTAATCCTGCCAACTCCCTAACCTGCTCTGTACCTACCTAGGTAGCTCACTAAGCTGATCTAAGCTAAACTGGAAAGTCAAGCCTGGAAAGCCGAGGTTCACGCATTTGCGTCTGCTCGAGACCGAGTTATTGCAATCTCTTACGATGAGAAAAACATGTGGCCTGCTGACATCATCTATGAGGTGGCCCCAGAACTGCGTTTCGTTAGAGCAAAGGTTTTGACACATCTGCAAGATCAAATGTATGTACCATCTACAAGAATCGGTTGTTTGTAACAGTGTGAAAAGTTTTTAAAGCCAATAAGAAAAGAATGTCGTGTGAAAAGAAATAATAAATATACGAAAATTGCGAGTGTCTCACGGTTACTCAATAGACAACACCAGTGTATTTTCCCGGTCGTTAGGAGGCTAGCTTGAAGAGAGGGTTCATCTTAAACCATGAACGGGGTGCGTTTGCGATCCAATGGCGGACGCCTCCTGCGGAGATTAGTCGCAAGTGTATGCACGCCGCATTTTCAAGTGGTGAGGAGGACAGCAGGCGGAAAGGCGGAGACGTTTGCAGACAATCGACGGTTTTTGGCACCTTCTCGCGTCTGTATTGCAAACGCGGCCCATAATTAAGACACGTGACCCCGGTCGAGCAGCTGGCAACTCTCTAATATACATAGAATAAACAGACGTCACTGCCGCGGCTTATGGGATACGTCGCCGCCATCACCAGGTACTGAGATAGTTTCGGTTTCAGGCCGCCGTCGGCAAAGCTGGCCGCTGCTGCATCGTTTTCGGTGCGCTTTTCTTCCTTTCGTGTTATGTGCACTTGTGGTCATAGTGGTGGAGTAATGCCGATATGCGATATGTTCGGTTGCCGCAACAGAAGCAAGTCATCTGCAAAGGAGCGTAACACAATGCCAAATATAAGGCTGCTTTGTTTGCCAGAAGTGAAAAGCCGACAGTTCGAGAGCACGAAACTGCTGTCTGAGAAACATTGGAGTTTCTGGCTTGCTCACATACATCGGAAAGATTTGAAGAACATCAACAACGAATGTGTCTGTGGTTGTTGCTTCATTACCGGTAAGGAATACATGTGTAGCAAACAAGCGGGCGACACCATCTACACCGTAGAGCAACGTGCACCAACGCACGCACTGCAAACGAGGCAGGAGCCTCGCACCACGAGCGACACACACGCGACACAGAGCTCCGATGGAATACGCCGGCTGGAACCGAGGATCGTCTCATCTGACATAGACATTATCTCGGACTGGCCCATTTGTAAATATCTATCTGTAAATTATGTAAATAACAAGTGTGTCAGCAAAGAATGCCTCTCGGTATGTTGACCACAAATTGGCGACACGGACAACCGCACAACGTGCGCTGCGAATGTGGGATGCTCTGCCACGATGGACATCACGCAACCAACTCAACCCGATCAAGCATGTCCCCGCAACGTCCGCTTCACTCTCCAAAACACTACAAACTAGCGCGTCTTTCACCGCTATTCCGCTAGAGGGGAAGCCCATGTAGCGAACAAGTGGGCGACACAATCTACACCGTAGAGCAACGTGCACCAACGCACGCACTGCGAACGAGGCTGGAGCCTCGCACCACGAACGACACACACGCGACACAGAGCTCCGATGGAATACGCCGGCTGGAACCCAGGCTCGTCTCATCTGACATAGACATTATCTCGGACTGGCCCGTTTGTAAATATCTATCTGTAAATTATGTAAATAACAAGTGTGTCAGCAAAGAATGCCTCTCGGTATGTTGACCACAAATTGGCGACACGGACAACCGCACAACGTGCACTGCGAATGTGGGATGCTCTGCCACGATGGACATCACGTAACCAACTCAATCCGATCAAGCATGTCCCCGCAACGTCCGCTTCACTCTCCAAAACACTACAAACTAGCGCGCAAACAGCGTCTTTCACCGCTATTCCGCTAGGGGGGGGAGCCCATGTAGCGAACAAGAGGGCGACACCATCTACACCGTAGAGCAACGTGCACCAACGCACGCACTGCAAACGAGGCAGGAGCCTCGCACCCCGAGCGACACACACGCGACACAGAGCTCCGATGGAATACGCCGGCTGGAACCCAGGCTCGTCTCATATCTGACATAGACATTATCTCGGACCGGCCCGTATGTAAATATCTATCTGCAAATTATGTAAATAACAAGTGTGTCAGCAAAGAATGCCTCTCGTTGACCACACATGCATGAGTCATCCATAATACATAGATTGCTGAAATCTTACATTCACATTTTGTGCGCTTCGCCACAGCGGCTAAGGAAGCTCTACAGCATCTGGTAGTGTCCCACTGCATGCTGCTCTCTTTGCATTCACCCTTGTCGCCCAGCTTCCTTGTCTCTGTGGTGTTCATAGCCCAGTTGTGTTGATAGCATTTTGGCGGCGGCGCGAGTTTTTACAGTTCAGATCCTGCGACTTTCAATGCCTCAGCTACAGGCACATCTTTTAAACAGGCAAACCTTTGACTCGCATGAATGATACGAACCCAGACTGGGTGCCCACCCAGCATCTGGGCCAGTGGCATAGCTAGGCCACTTGGCACCCGGGGACCTTACGTCTTTCATAGCCCCTCCCCCTCCCCCCCCCTCCTTCACTCACCTAGATCGCAACTTATAAAGAGGGGGAGGGGGGATGTTGCCAGAAGTGGCACCCCCTCCACGCAACTGGGACGCCCGGGTACCTGGGGCCCAGGGCCCCTAGTCGGCCAGTCATCACCGGCCGATCACCATCGCCGCCGCCCAACGACGGGCGTGCCAGATGCCCGTCGTTGGTTTGGCACGTAAAACCCCCAAATTTGACTTTTAGGCCTCTTGTGTTGGTGTTTTGACGGATGGATTGATGTGTTGCATGCCTAAGAAGTTTCGCTCCCAGGTGACTGGGATGTCGATGATATATTATATGGGTTGCGGAGGAGGGAGGGGGAGGGGGGGGGGGGGGTTCAAGTGCATGTGTACAGTATAGGGTCGGCTGGATTCCGTAAGGGGGAGGGGGGGGGGGGTGGGCTGAAGCGCTATAAGCCTCCCTCCTGGATCATGGATCACAGGCGTACCAACTGGGAGGGGGGTGGGGCAATTGGGGGTGCTTGCCCCTCCCCCCCCCAGTTTTCAGTGTGTGTGTGTGTGTGTGTTTGGTGGGGGGGGGGGGGGGGGGCGGGGGGGGGGCAAAGGCATGTGTTTTGCCCCCCTGAAACAGCCGCCACTGGGCAGGGCAAACACCGGCCGGCGACGCTCAAGGGATACCAAGGACACCGGCCCTGGGTGGGTGCACGGGTGGGGGGGTCTGGTTTGCCCTTTATTCAAAAACAAGTTCGTACGCCACTGCCCTGGATACGCCTGTAAAAGGGAGACCCCGAGGTATCGTTCTACACGACGTGATCGTGCGAGGGGCGACGGCAATGGGAATGCGGGGAGAAAGCACGACGGTGCTTTCTCCCCGAGATCGTGGGTTTTGGCGTACGAACGCCATCGGATTTCGCCGGAAAGGGGCGCTAACAGAATGAACAAGCCCCGACGCCGCGTAACCTGCCGACCACCGCAAGATCTTGGACCCTCTGCTTGCTAACGTGCGACAGGCCGATCTCAGTGAGGAGTCGGTACATGAGCCCCCTTCCTTCCTTCCCCCTTCTTGGAGGACAGACAACCGGAGTACATCTCTCATGTAAATAAATAACGCTTGCAGAGATGGAGTTACCTTGTCAAGACGGTCCATGCCGTGCTCTTGCTGGCATCGTCGCGCATTGCTGGAACCTCTGGAGCTCACGGAATTAGTGCTGCGTCAACACAGCAATCAAATGTCTCATTCACGCAGCAGTGCTGAAGGTGCTTTTGGCCTTCAGTAGTACCGTACGGTCATATATGGTTTAGCCGGTTGATAGTTTTCTTTGACATGCGAACCTGCGAATCAACCGCGAGATCACGAACGCATGCAAAACTTGAAGCTTGAAGGGCTTGAAGCCGCCGAAGTTCTCGTAAAACGGCTGGAGAGAGGGTCGGGTATTGCCGTTTTATGGTTTCGTTTTGTTTAGTTTCTGTCAGTGGTTTCTGTTGTGTTGGCGTTTGGCGTCACAGACGCCAAAATAATATTTAAAATTGTTGCAGCCAGGCTTTGAACTGGGTGGTAGCTTCCGCCGCCTAGGCATTGAATATTGAAACATTGTGTAATCCTCTGTGATGCCTGTGCTGAATTTTGTATTTGTACACTGAAGCTGAATGTCTCTAGAGCGATCATTCGAGCGCCTCTTTGCTGCAATAAACGTTTTCTACAGCTACTATTACCGCTACTACGACGACTACACGCCATCTTAAATTAAGCCAAATGTTTATAGCAAAGTTTGCAGAGACATGCATCGATAAATAGAAAGCTTGTGCTACTGTTCCCTGCACATTATTACCAAAACATTCCACCACTTCACAGCAGGTGCTCCACTACAGCCTAACCTTCATTCACATACCATGAATACCCTGGTGCAAATGCCCGATTGCAGAAACCATGAACACTCTTGAATCACAAGCTTTGCCCATCTGGCATTGGGCATTGTTGTGTTCGTTTGCATTGATGCCCTCGCAGCAAAGTGACTTTCACCAAATCATTCAAAAAGCATCGTTCTCATTTGTTTATACTCGCCATTCAATACCAAGGCAGGCCTGGACAAGCCTCCCACGGGCAGCAAACCAGAAGTTAGAGCAAGCCAGCTAACATGAACCTATCTTATAGGTTATCAATTAGTTTGTGTACCATGCATTGGTGCATAACTATGAGCAACCCTTTATGCAGAGCGCAAGTTTGTCTGCTGCTTTTGCTGGGATTCCAACGCCACCACCACCTCTCCAAAAGAAGCAGACAAACTTGTGCTCCACATTGTTTACAAGTTCTGTAGGCTTCTACATTGCTTTATTGCGTCAATACCGAGACCACGAGGGGTTCCTCAGCTTTTATTTGAGCCAGATAGCCATTCCTCGAGACTAAAAAGTTCGGAGTCATGCGGTTTAGAGAAGCTCGTTTTAGCGAACGCCGTTTTACCGACCCCAGTTTATCGAATCCATTTGTAGAGAACCCAGTTTAGAGAAAATGGCGATGAGCTTCCTTTTAGCGAATTCGGCCGCGGCGAAGCGGCGTGTACGGAGGTGATTTAACATTTTTGTAATGAGCCGCCGTAGACTGCCGCCGCGAAGCGGCGGGAGCGCAGCAGGGGGCTTGGGTTAACACGCGCACCAGTGATGCACGCGCGAAGTAGGAAAGCCGTTTTTAAATATTGTTCCCTTTTCGATAAACGACGTTTCTCTAAACTGAGACTCTACTTTCTCTAAACCGTGCTTCGATAAAACGAGCCCGTTCTCTAAAACGTGCTTCGATGAAATGGCATTCGATCAACTGTAGTAAACCCAAAAAGTTTCTTAGCATAACTTTGCCAACGGTGAAAGCTACTGCCATTACTTCTTGCCACAAGCAGTTCTCCAGGACCGCGGCTCGTTATTCTGAAACGGAGCACTGCACTGACAGTCTCCAAATGAAATTGTGAATTGTAGCCGGACTCGCAAACAAAGACTGGGAAATAGTGCAAGAGGAAACGCTCTCGCAAAAAAGTGGTCTGTGCAGTATGCGGTTTTAAATGCGTCTTAGGGGAAAACTCTCCGCACGGTACCCTCAAGCTCAGAGAGCACAGAGGACACCCTTGTCGAAAGAACAGACATGAGACTCCAGGGAGGCACGTATTACACAAACCTTTAATGCCTGAAAGTTGACTGCTATTACAATACAATAAATTCAACACATCACAAGGTTTCTCAGTATCTTTGTCGTCGTCCAAGTACAGCCAGCATCGTCGTCTTTTTTTTTCTTCTTCTCGTCGCGCATATATAATATATATATATATATATATATATAATAAAACCATCTACAACTTCTTTTCGTGTGTTGTGTTTAGTGTGAGAAGGCCCCTGAATAAGCAAGTTTCTCCACATCGCGACAGCTTCGATCGAACACGGATCCCCAAAAAGAGCAGCAGCGAAACAGCAGCGGCAACGGCATTGGGGTGGGCGGAGCCCCGCGGACAGGGGGACCCCAGTTTGAACTAGCAGTCTGAATCACAAGTGGGCTCCGTGTCGCCAAACATACCCTTTTTGTCGCGCATGAACAGCAGCAAATAGTAGTAGTAGTGTTGTTGGAGGAAGGGGGAGGGGGGCACGTCGGGGGGGGAGCAAAAAAGGGGAGGCCACCCCCCGTCCGTCCGACCCCACGACCCCCGCCCCCCCGATTGGAAACACGACACTCAAAAACCGAAAAAACAACAACACAGAGGACTTGGAAATGCACACTTGGTGTAATTGTTGTTGTTGTCACCACAAGTGAGAGATGTCCCCAAAATCTTTTCTTTAAAACACAAGGAGGAAACACAACCTGAGATTATACATCGTCATTATTCTTTTTTGTGTGTGTGTGTGTGTGGGGGGAGGGGGTGTACAGTTGCATGGCGGGGGCCGCTCCTTGCATTGCATGGACCTCAGCGCAGCCGCTGATATGAGTCTGTGCTTGGGACCGACGCAACTGGTGCTACAAAACTATATAGACTTCGGACAGGACACGCACACGCACACACACAGAGTCCCTTGGGCACACGCACATTGCACCTTCGGAGGAGAGTCCGGCTTGGAATGCAGGGGGGGTCCGCACTTTGTTCGCCCTCTCAAGAGGGAGGGAGGGGGGGGAGGGGTGCCCCAACCCCCTCGAATAAATTAGCCGCCGAAATCACATCTTTGGAAACCCTGAGCAACTCAGACACGAGAACAAAGAAAAAAAAACACGAATGAACACTCACACAATTGTCGCGGCGATAGGAATACTAGTTTCGTCGTCTAATAACCCCCCCTCCCCCTCCCCTCCCGGTCATCATCATCACATTGGCCGCACATTTCGTCAGCAAAGGCCCCCCCATCTGCCCTGCCCCCCTCTTGCGCCCCCCTTCTCTTTTTTTTTATCTTTAGGCCCCATGTATTTTTAAGTAAGGGCCCATCTGGCAGGCTACCGATTTTCACACACCGGGGAACGAAGCACGAACCCCGCTCCGGGAGTCCGCAACCCCGTTTTGACTAGGCGTTCCTGCTTTGGCACGTCCGGGGGGAGCCCCTGATTGTCCGCCTGCTTGCTGGGGGGGGGAGGGGGGGGGACGGGGAGAGGGGCGGGGCACGAGAGGGGGGCGGGGGGGGGGAGGCCCCCCCCCCCCCCCCAAGGCTACTTTGAGATCACCAGCCGGCCCGACTACTGGCCGGCCCGCCCCTGCACTTGAGCCACATCAACGAGCGCAAAAACGACGAAGAAAAAAAACGAGAAAGTAGCACAGGCACGTCTCGCATCGCCTCTTCTTCGTCGTGGCGGGTGGCGTCGTCAAACGGCAGCGCGGGGCAGCGACACGACGCATTTCCTCCCTCCCCCCCCTCCCAACGCGAAACTTCCCCGCACGACAACAACACAATCAGTGCGGCGAAACAAAAAATAAAAATCCATCATTGAACACTTTCGGAAAAATCACCTGGACGTACTCCTAGACGGAGGGATTGCTAAGTGGGACAACTCATTGTAGTTCGCAAGATTCAGGCCACAAACGGAGCTCGCTTTGATGAGAGAGATGACAGACAGTGTTGATTATTCTTCAGGTGTAAATGTTAGCAGAAACGCAGCACAGCAGCGGCGGCGTCACTAACACTCTGGTGGAGGTAGTCTCGGAATTTGGCTCGCCGGTCGAACGCTACACCGAGTCCCCAAGATGTGCAACGGTACCCTCCCCCCCCCCATTTCCCCCGCAAGTGAGTCCAGCCATAAATGCCTGTAATCCAAGGAGCCAAGAACGTGCTGCGAGTTTCCCCCCGGGAGGGGCGGCGGCACTGCGCAGAGGCATAACCGTCCCCAGCCGGCCGGTTCGGAATTCGGCGCTTTGTTCATGCTTTTGATCATTTGGCATTGCTAGCATTCTTAGGAAAGACGCGCGACGGAGCTACCCCCTCCCCTTTCCCGTCGAAACTGCTTCAAGCCGGGGGAACAAGGCTGAGTGGCGGCAAGAGACGCTTGGACCAGGGAAAGATCACATCTAGGTTTTTCACGCGGCAGCAACAGCACCTCCTCAATGTCCGTCAAGTGCAAAAAAAAAAGAGACAAAAGAACACGTGGGAAGATTGCCCCCCCCCCCCCCCCTCCCTCCCTCCCCTTCCCTTGTTTTGCTGTGCCACGTGGAAGTGCCTCCGTCTTTGTAAGGCACAGAGAAGAAACAATTGTTGTCCTTGCCACCTACACCCCTTCCCTTCCCCGCACCTCCCCTGGCTGTGTGACAACCCGCTTCTGACTGTCCCATGGGGCCGACGACCGCGCAGACGCGCGCCTTGTGGGAATTGTGGCAATGCTCCTCCCCCCCACCCCCCCAACCCCAACCCGACAATAGTAGAGCCCTCCTGCGGGCCACACAAAATGGAATGCGATGGGCAGCGAGCGCCCAGACGTCGGAAGCACCAACTTTGGCGTGCAGGAGGAACCAAACCCCCCACCCCCCCCCCCCCAACCAGGATATATATGTCGCCGCTGGCGGGATTCGGCGACGACGACTTCTTCCAGCACGGAGGGGGGCCCCCTCAACTTTGTTACACAACTGGGGCCACCCCCTTTTCCACACTGGCACCATTCTCTTTTTTTTTCTTTTTTTTTCTTTTTCTTTTCTGAGCGTGCGCGTACGCGCGCACACACGGCGGCGGCAGACAAACACAGCCCCCTCTACTTTGACTGCTTGCCGGACTCAACCCCCGCAACGAAAAAACAAAAAGGCGCACCCCCCCGAATTCCCCCCCACCTTTGAGCAGGCAGTCGTTCTGGAGGAGGGGAAAAAGACGAAAAAGAAAAAAAACACCTCTCTACGCGACGACGCAACACTAAGTTCCCTGGACGATACCACACGCACACGCACAAAACACACGCGACAACACTGTACAGGCAGGCGCAATAAAAACGAGAGAAAAAATATGCACACACGCACACGGGTCTCCACTAGAGTATTAGGTGCTTTAAGGTTGAGAGACCGAGCGATCCCTTTCCCAACCCCGCCCCCCCTCCCCCCTCACCCCGAGACATGAAATAATGCACTTGTATTCCCCACCCTTCCCCAAACCGACCCCCAAATCCTTGTTCCACCTTCCAGTGAGAGAAACAGACGGGGAACACACACCGTTGCAGTCAGAATCGCCGTTCCCCCGCCGACCCCAGCCGCGGGCATTAGCACCGCAGTCGCTTCACGAAACGCGGGAGGGGCCCACAAACGGGAGGGAGGGGGGGGAGGGACAGCCCCCTCCCCTTTGCCGGAAATGGCACAGCTGCGGAACACGCACTCGCACGCCCGCCCGTTTTCTCTTTTAAAAACAATGGGAGTGAGATAGAGACAACGGCGAAAGACGAAAGCTGCCACAACGTACGGAACGGGCGATGTTTGATCGTTGCTTCAGAGAGGGAAGAGCAGCAACCTTTGGATCTTGCGAGAGCGTCTTTAAGTACCCCCCCCCCCCCCCATTGACCCGCACAAACAACGCGAGAGGGGTGAGGCAAGAGGGGGTTGGGTCGCGCGCCGGCGAAAGAACGAAAATGCTGCGCCGGCGAGAAGGTGGGGGGAGGGCGGGATTTATCGGAGGGGGACCACGTATTGCACAGACACTGCATAGATTGCCACGCCGGAACGCATCTCCCCCCTCCCTCCGATCGAGGGATTGAGCCAAACCGCCGGTGCAAAGAAAACAAAAAAGAAAAAAAGAGTCCGCCGATATGTGCCGCCAAAGAGGCGAGGGGGGGGGAGGCCGAAAAATGCATGAGCAGAGGACGGGAGGTTGCTACTTTGCCCCTTATTGCAAGGATCCGCGGGCTTGGATTGTGCTCTGCACGTCCCGATATGTTGCCGCGCCCCTCCCCCACCTCACCCCCCCCCCCCCCCCCCCCTTCCTAAGGCCCCCTCCCCACCCCCTCCCCCCAATCCACCGCCGGCCCGCATAACGCACCTCAGAACGCGAGAGAGACGAGGAAGTGATGTGACTACCACCAGCGCGGCAAGAGGAACAGATAGAAGATGGGGGACAGGGAGGCGGGTGTATCACACTTTGGCAGTCATCATTTCTTTGTGCAAGCCGGGACAAGGCAGGGAAGGGGGGGGGAGCGGCGTCGCACGGCCTCACGGTGTAAAAGGTGGTCGATAGACACTGTACGCGGTATCTCAATATATATATAATAACGTTTGTGTGTTGTTTGTCGTGTATATACTCTTCTTTCTTGATTGACTCCGAGAGAATCGTTTTGGCAAATGGAGGAGGGGGCGGACCACAACACGCACTCGGGCCCGCCAAAAGCCTCCCGGGGACGCACGCGTGGCGGGGCTCGCGGAGCGGCGGGGCAGGGGGGAGAGGGTCAACGCGGCTATCACAGTGGGGGAAGGGGGTCGAAAGAAAAAGGGTCCGCCAGAAGCACACTCCTTCAGCGTCGTCCAGAGCGCACTCACATCGACTCCCCGCTGAGCAGGTCGCCGGGCAGGAAGGAGTTGAGCGAAGACTGCTGCCCACCGGGGTGGTCGTCGCCCCCCTGGGGCCCCTGGGGGGCCTGAGGGGCGGCCCAGAGGCCTCCCCCCGCGCCGGGGAAGGACCAGAGGTGGGAGGCGCCCGACGACGACGAGGTGGGCGGGGCCGCCGTGGAGGCCGGGTTCCAGGGGGCTTCGGGGGCCTTGGGGCGGGAGCCGTAGGGGAAGCGGTGGAAGGAGGGGCCGCCGCCGCCACCCCCGGGGGCCCAGCAGGGGGGCCCCTGCTGGGTCCCCTGCGCCAGCTGCAGGAACTGGGCCACCTCGGCCTCCGACGGGATGTAGGCCAGCATGGTGGTGTTGGAGAGAATGCAGTTGTGCAGAGCCGACTGGGCCTTGGCCGCCTCCTCGCGGCTAGAGTACTGGGCCAGGGCCAGCCCGTGCTTCAGGAACAGGTGGAACAGCTGCAGGGGCCCGTGCTGCATGCACAGCGTCTTGAGCGTGGACCCGTCAATCTGCAACGAGAGCCGGATGCATGAGAGACGAGTGCTGGCCGCTTCAGCAAGCAACCGCAGCGTGCACAGAGCGTGCCAAGAGGGCAGCTGTCAGGCACTTCCTCGGAGGAGTCTCAAAACATCAAGGAAGTGAGGGCTCATACGCATCACTGCTAGAAGACCGTATACTCCGACATGACGCACCTAGAAACGCCTTCCAAAAAAATGGCCCTTTACACCAATTGTTCGGAGGTTAGGCTTCTCCAAAGCGGCCCCTTTTGACCACCGGACGCAACGAGTGGCGGCCGCCCGAGATCCATCTCTGTGCCAGACCACGGGACGAAGATGTGCCGTGCATCCTCTCCAGACCAGTGACCAGGACCAGCGAGGCGGTGCACGGTCCTCGGACGGCACGTGGTAGCACGCAGCGTCACGCGAGTTTCACTACCGAAGGATAAAATTTCTGCCCAGAGGCGAGCAGCCAACCCAGCGTGTCCGACGATAACCGTGGCACGCCAGAGGCTCGGACAAGCATTGAGCGTCGACGACACCCGAGCCTGTTTCGCGAGCCAAGAAGCGCCGCAAATGCCGCAGTCCGCATACCCGAGTGGGGCGGCGAGGGTGGACGGAAAAGGCACGTGCGAGGGCCCCACCTGAGGTGTCAGATTCTTGAGCACCAGGAAAGTGCAGCTGCTCTGGTCCCAGCCTGTGAAAGAGGAAACGGTCGTCAGCCCGAGGATAAAGCGTGTCGCAGGAAGCGCGGGGTCGGGGTCGGGACGGTACCTTGGGTGCTTGAAGAGGACAGTCCGGGCGGGGGTCCCCTCGTCTTGGGTGCCCCCCAGGGGTCCGAGCTGGGCATCTGCTGCTCAGAACCCATGGAGCCCCAGCTCCCTCCCTTGTTGCCCTTGGCCGAAGACGAACCCCTGCACGCAACATCGGCACCTCGTCTGATGCTGCTTCTCCCCGCATCTCAACTGTCTCATGCCCCACTACATTGACAAACAGAAGCACACACCTGCAAGCCTCAACCAAGTGCATGCAAAGGCACCTTTGGCAGGCTTGCAATCGCTCGTGTTAACATCGGGAGCATGGAGAGTGCAAGCCAGGCTGTCGCGCGATGTCTCGTGTCAAGGTCATCAAATCATATCTGGCAGTTTTACGTGTCAAACATGGCATGGCCCAATGGAGGACCGAGGAGTAATTTTGAGCACCCGGGATCTTTAGATGATGCGCAACCGAAAGCTCGGTTACACGCCCTATTGCACCTTCTCTGCAACGGGATCGTCGGGTTGCAGGCACTTCGACCGTATTAGAGCCCCGGCGCCTGGTGTTGCGTCCAGGCCGCATTCAAAGGACGGCATATTTGAGGGCGATGTTCAGGGCACACGATCAGAACGAGCTAACAATAACTGCCTGCCAAGACCGGCGATCTCGATGGCGCGGAATGCACATTTCAAAAGAACTGCAGGCGCTTGCCGCCAGCACGCGCCTGGCAGCTGCGCACGCGGCGATAGTTGCTGGCGAATACTCCCTACAAGCCGTACGTCCCGTACGAGGCAACCCGTCCGTTTGTCGAGCATAGTTTTCCACGTCCAACCCAGCCCAGCAACGCGTCCAGTCTGCCCAGACCAAAGGGGTCCACATACGTGTGCATGGCAGGCGTGAAGGCCCACGTGCTCGACGTCAGGGACGCCAGAGAGGCCGCGAGCGAGCCCTCCGTCGCCGGCGGGCTCTGCTTCCAGCCGCCCCCAAACAGCTCCGAGTCCTTGATGGTGTTGAGGGAGAGCGGGGAGCGCACCACGCTGCCGGGGGTCAGGTGGGGGTCGTCCTCGGCGCTCTTCATGGACGACGCCCCCTTCCAGGGCTTGCCTGGCTCAAACTCCGCCACCAGGTCTCCCAGGCTGTAGGCCGAGGACGCCTCCTTGGCCTCGGGGGGGCTGTTGGAAGGGCGTGACGATTCGGGCCAACCGTCCTGGCCCCGGGGCGCGCCCCCGCCGCCTCCTTGGGCCCAGGGCCCATCGGGGGGCCCCAGGAGCGGGTGCAGGGCGCCCTTGGAGGGCCCCGGGGCCCGGCTGAAGTCCCCGCCCCCGGGGGCACCGTTCTGCTGCGGCGGCTTGTCCTCCTGGTCCAGGGAGGCCGGCAGCTTCCACTGGGTCAGGCGGGACTGGGACGCCGCCTCCTGCGGGAGGAGGAGGGGACGCTGTAGCCGCGGCGTTTTCGGCCGACGTTCACATCCACGGATGTCGCGACGTTGCAAACAAATCAAACCGTCGCTCGCCGCTGTTCCAACAAGAAAGGAAAAGCTGGGGCCGCCACCCATGACTACTGCCGCAGCGGACTCCCTGCAGTCTGGTTGGCAAAAACTGGGCCCTCTACAGTCAATCCGCCGGCGGAGTTTGTGCACACTGACCACGAAGACATAAAGATGGAACACGTTCTAACCTCGTGCTGACGCGGAGATAAAATGCAAGAATATAACGCGGAAACATCCAGTCTTTACATCAGCCGCGTCTGGCCACCAGATTGGGATGCACCGTATGCCCACCCTCCAGACCGCCGGCCAAGATCACCGAAGAAGTGCAGGCGCAGCTTCGTGAAGCCGACGACAGCCGTCGTGCCCACGTCCGGACAGGCAGCGTGGGACGCGACATCGAACGAGTTTTGACCCCACAAAACTTCCAACTCGCGTGGCATAGTTTACGCGGCACGACAACGTCGCACACTGCACGCAGACACGGTCGGGACGTCGGACTCTAAGCGCCTCGCGTTTTCGGGGCCTCGTGTTCTGACAGAGCGATGCGCAGGGAGCCGACGGTGCAGCGAGGCCGGCCTACCTTGAGGTTCAGGTCTCGGAAGTCCGCGTGCAGGGGCTCCTGCTTAGGGAAGGGCTCCTGCTGCTGCGGGGGTGCGGGCAGCTGCTGCTTGAGGAAGAGCGCCTGCTGGGCGGCGATCTGGTTCTGCAGGTTGAGGATGCGCTGCTTGGTCTGGGTGAGCTGCACGTTGAGCTGCAGCGGGGGCGGCTGCCCCGGAGGCCCCTTGGCGTGCAGCACCTGCTGCTGCTGCTGCAGGGCATGCAGCACCTTGATCTGCTGCAGCAGCTGGTAGAGAAGCTGCAGGGTCTGGGGCGCCAGCGGCTGGTTCAGGATCTGGGGGCAGAGGGGACCCGCTCGGGTTAGAGCGCTCGCCAGCTCTACTTCCCCGTGTTCGTCGAACCGTCGCGTTTTTTGAGGAACAGGATGGACACCAACTCCGGCCTTGTCAAAGGCTATGCAAAACATTATCCTTTCGTATCTTTTTCCTGGTTAGCAATCTTCTTAAAAACAATTCCGAAATGCTTCGAGACCCTTCCCGAATACTTTCTTCCTTTTTCTTTTCCAAAGTGAAACGTTTTTTGGCTACCATAAAATCCAGAGATGCCACACCCTTGAAAGGTAATTCCATCCTATTCTTGGCTCGATTTACATATTCTTTTAAATAAAGAAAGACTCCTTGTAATGGTGGTGTTCAGATTGATGATGGCCTTGGCGTAAGTGCATCCAGTTAGCTATGGCAGGATATAAGCGAATGTTGTTGACTAGCAAGTATGGTCGCCTCTGGTTGATTGCTCCTCGCCGTGCGATAATGAGTTTCACAGAAACGCATGGTTTAAAAATAGCATTTTTTCAACTTTTCCCTCTCGGGACTTTCCGGTAGGATCCCCCGGATATTGTGGAGCCGCGGCCCGCGACGCCCTATAAATGCAAGGTGCGCGGCGTTGCGTTATGGGACGTCGCAGACCTGCATACCAATTCAGTGTCCCCCGCTAAATTTGGCGGGGAAATTGTTGTCAGGTGACCAGCCGTCACGCGTTTCCCGTATGCACACAATTGCCTAGCATTTTGCTATACAATTTTTTCACACTAGCATTTACTGTTGTGGTGCATGCACCAGTCTTTTGTTTGGAAGGTCGTGGTTTGGACCGGACCGTTTTCGAGAGGCCGACGCGCGGTTACCTCCTTGCTCTTTCACTCCGTCGTCGTTCCACCTTCCCTCCTGCGGAGGGAAAGAGCTTTCCAGCACCCTTCAATTGACTCGCCGCAACCCAGGTAGGAACCCTCGCGTTAAATGCTAATGCATTTCATCGAGGTCAGTGTAGCGACAGCGGTAATTTCGGCATTCCGCAATGTCTCCTGTCCTACTCTAACAATTACGGCCACCCCCGCGAAAGGTTTGTCCCGCCCCACTCACCTGCGGGTTGAGGTGTCCCGCGTGCACGGCCATCTGGATCTGCTGAACGAGCAGCCGAAGCTGAGCCGCCGAGGGGACGTTGGGCAGCCGAGCCCCCATGGCCCCTCCTCCGCCTCCCTGCTGAAACAACACACGTCACGGGTTGTTAGCGCAGCAAACAAATTTGACTAAGTCTAGCTAGTCAAACAAAAAAGAGAGGGCAAGCCAGCAACAGAGAGTCGTCCAGACACGGCACGAAAAGAAGGAAACGAATAAACGCGTTCGTTTTTCCTTCTTACGCAGACAAAACTACAAATTCGTTTCATGCCGGGAATATAGCTCTAAAATTTTTTTTCTTTGTAAATTTATTTTGACATCCTCTTTCTATCCAGGCCGCCTAAAAAAAAAAAATTGCCTTTTTTTCTTTTGCTTCATTTTTTTTTAAAACAAGAGCTCTATGTGCGAACCTGCCACGGGCCTTTCTTGCTGGCGTCACTCTGACCGCATGATGTCAGTCACACAACACGACCTGATTGCGTCACGTGACCTTGCGTCGCATAACACCGACTCGCGTAACGTCAATCTCCCACTATGATCATTGAAGAAATTTTCCAGTCTCACCAGAGTCCCTCTGTTTGATCCCCATCCCTGCCCGTTTCAAACTGGACGACGAAGAACCCAGGCTAGCAGTTGCACTGCACGGGCTAGATTTCTCATCTACAGCTGACACGCCAGACGCACGTTGAGGCCAAATACCTTCAGGCCATACAAACATACAGAAAAATTTATTATAAAAATTGGATGTGCATTAGAAATTGAATAAATACGGTATACAGTCAACAACTTTATTTTGGCAGGCTTCATAGTGCGGCAATATCACGGGTGCAAAATCTCACAATTTACGCTGACAGGCTATGTATTTGTAATAATTTAAAAGTTGAGAAAGGTCCTCGCAAATATCACCCCAACTCCAGTGTATTGGCCTAGGTTTCTTTTTTTTTTTTTTTTTTCGTCTTTTCACCTGGCACGTTTTATTGAATGCTTTTATGCATTTTTTTTTTTTTTACCGTAACCATATATTACGACTGAGCAAATCTGCCACGGGGGTTATGTTTCTCCTTAGATTTGCTGGAGAGGATACTGAAACTGTCTCCCGCTTGCGCTTTATCGCAATATACACGTGCGAGCTTACCGATGCAGTTTTGCCGTGCCAAACGTGCGAGTGCAACATACAAATGTGAGACTTGCATACACACTTTCTTGCAGAAATGGCCACTTATAGGGACTCATGGATTGGAACAAATGTAAGTAGTTTGTAGTTTACAGTTGGCTCATTGGATTTACGTGTACTAGCCTGCACTAGTGCAGAAGTGTGGCCCATTACAAAAAAGTGCAGGACAATGTACTTCCGGTTCTGTTTTCAGATAGGTTGCACTTGCACATCGAATATGGCGGTGCAGCCGGTGCACAAAGTGTGGGTAAATCGAATGAGACAAATATCCCCCCCCCCCCCCTCCCCCCAAATGCTGCGAAGCTACTCACAGGAGGGAAATGCTGCTGCTGCAAGATCTTCTGCACCAATGCCGGGCTCAGGCTGCTGATGCTGTTGCCAACTGTCAGACTAGAGTTCTGCCCTCCTAGACCGCCACTGTTCAGCAGGCCGCCCTGGTTTGAGCCCTGCCAATGCACACAGCAGCGTTACCAAAGCGTCATTCTCAACTCCGCCACGTAACAAGGTTTGACGCAATCCCAGTCGTCCGCGACGCGCGTAATGTGCACTCTTTTTTATCTCCAAGCGCCAGCCATTTACGGAGAAGACGGGAGAAAATCGAGCAGTCAGCCTTCTTGAACTTGTGGCCTGAACCAACACTACCTAGAATAACGAAGGCCCGTAAACCTCCTCCTCCTGTTCCATTGCGAAACGTGGTCACTATCAAACGCAGTGAATTGGACACAAGGACCGGCCGAACATCAAAGCAACGTTTGCGTCCAATTTACACTCTTTCGCAGACTCACGCAGCAAACGTTTGTAGCAGCCGCACGGCTGGGTCGAACATCAGCACTCGGAGTCCGTGCTTGTAACTAAAGCGGAAGGCATTTTAACGGAAACTAAGCTGGGACTTGCATTGCATCACCGTATCGCAGCAACAGAGGCGACGTGGAACCAATATCGCCAGCCAAATTTAGCGGGTCGACATTTTCTCTGATCTAGAGCTATGCCACTATGGGCAACATTGCACAATCACGCGGCAAGCGTTGACTTGCACCGGGTTGCGCAACGTCCCGTCGCGCAACACAGTGCCGCGTACCACGTCGCCACGCTGCTTACGTGTTCTGTACATGGGACGGCTCCGAAGGAGTGCCCCCAATTTCTGCGATAAACCCTTTTCGAAATTTTTAAATAATGCGTAGATTATGTGCGGCCGCCATTAGTTGGTCGTGCACCAAGAGCAAGCGCGGGACGGGAGCACTCCTCCAGCATTCGGACTGTGCTCTGACCGAAACACATTCCACGCAAGTGCTGCGTCGGAGTTCGAACGAAGCGCCTCTGGAGGCGAGGAGTTTGCACCGTCAACTCTGTGGCGTTGCGCCGTAGTTAGTATAATGACCTGAAGGAGAAGGTCCCACGCATTTCGTATGCCTCGAACGGCGGGGCACGGGCAAAGACGTCGATGGTTCCTTCGCGCTTGCATTGCTGATGACACTTTTATATATTCTGTCGAGACCAACTATAACGAAGTCGGTTACAATGAAATAGCGGCTACAGCGAAGCGATCACGATTTCCCGTTCCCTTTGCACTTCGTTACAACCGAAGTTGGCTTAACGAAATAGCGGATATAGCGAAGTGATTTTCGATTCCCGTTGACTTCGTTATAACCGGTCTCGACAGTAGGGACAATATTTTTTGTAAGATCTGAATGTAGAGTATTTTTTGGCCTCGTCTTGCTCGGGAAGCCGTAGAGCCCTCCTCATTGCAACTAAATAAACGCGCCCAGCTTATCAACCGCTCTCTTTCTCGTTCTTTCTCTCGTGACCTCCGGCATCCGCGTTCACTGCATTCTGCTCCTGTCCTTAAACCCCACCACCCGCGTCGTGCACGTGCCACTTCTTCCCCTCCTCGACGAAGGACCCCAAAAGTCTCCTCACCTTGACGGGAGGCGGCTTGAAGCCCTGTCCCTGGGCGGCGCCGTAGCCCGCCCCGAACACGGGCAGCCCCTGGAAGCCCGAGCCGCCGTGGAAGCCCGGGAACGGGGGCTCCCCGTGGGGGCCGTGGGGGTCCGGCCCCCCGTCGTCCCCCCGCATCTTGGGGCCGCCTCGACCTCCGCAGTCCGAACCGTCCAGCAGCCCGGAGTCGGGCACGCCGCCGGCCCTGGCCATGGCCTGCAGGTCCACTGCAAGTGTGCACGGAAAGCCGTCAGGCACCACAAAGTGGCAGCATGGCGCCCGGAACGCCTCTTCGATCGGCATGTTTACCGCGTCCAAAACACGGTTCCTCGGTTTCCGCCAGACTTCAAAAACGCGACGTGCCATCGTCAGCTGTGATCCGTGCTTGGGAGTATGTGGCAGACGCCCATTCTGCCGCACGTTGCACTCCAGCTCGAAGACAAAAACGCGCGCATTCTCTCCTATTCTAATCTTCTGCCAACAAAGGCCGGGATCGCAACGTCCGTCGACCCAATGTTCCGACTCCCGCGACGTCTTTTGTCGCCGCTTCCGACGCGCGGGCAAAGCGGGACGCTAAGCGTGCCAATCGAAGACGCGTTCCCGATACCGTGTCGACGGCAGAAGGACCCTCCAGTTCGTGGTGCGCCCACAGGCCGGATCTGGAACTTCCACTTACTCAGCGTATCCTCGAGGTTCATGCAGTTCATTCGCAGCGCATTCTCCACGTCTTCCTTCTGCAAAGAACGGCAAGGGCGTCAGGCACCTCGGGGGTGAGGTGGGGGTCGACGACAGTGTTACAAGCACTTCGGTTTCTCAACAACCCATGCCGACATGCGACGGCAGTGTGCTCTTAAAATGTGACTTGCAATGGCTAGCTCCCTGACCCAAACGAGTGTAGACCTCGAGCCGCACGGGGGTCTCGGCGACACGAGTCTTTAGTGACCCGCACGCCGTCTGCTAACCATTTTCTGGCCACGCTCTCCACGAGACTATAGTCCATCTCACAATAATTCGGCAAACCTAGGAGGCTACGGCCCCCCCGACCCAATAATGCTTCGGAGCGAGGCACGTTAAGACACTTCAAGGGGACCTTGCATGTCAATGCGCCAAGGAACCGGCTGTCGTCTGCTACAAATCCAACAAACTTCGGACTAACGTCCACCGCTGCAACATGGCTGTCTGCTAGAGTGACAAGCTCTTGGAGAACAGTTCACAAGACGACCGTAGGCCCAATTTACTTGCGAATTTGTGGTGGGTGCTAATGCCAGTGCAATGTTTTGAGCGGAAGCGATCGATTACAAGGCTGCCATCACCAACGGCCACGGCCCTACAACGAGGAAAAAAATCAGGAGCAGATACGGACGTGCAGTCACTTTCTTATTTTAGACTGAGGGTCATAAATTGTCGATATTTATTCTGCATTTTATTATATTCTGGATAAAGATGGAATCCCGCAAGTTTAATTGCCGTTAAGAGAAAAAAACCTAGAACTTCTCGTCGCGGACGGCGCTGTTGCTGTGGTGGTAACGAGGCTTCTGCGGCCTCGACCACGGAGTGTTATCACGCGACTTTCTCCGACGGTCTTATTGGGTCGCGGGAGCCGCAGCCTCCACAGTTCGCCTAGTTATGGTGAAACGGAGTAGGATAGTGCAAACCCAAAGCCTTTTGCCCCGTCGCATTGGTGCCTGAACATCGTAGTCGAAAGAGACAGATCAAGAATAATATTGAGGCGCACCTTGAAGCCCATCTCCGAGAGGAGCCGGAACTGCTTGCTTGCATAGATGAGGTCCTTGGTGAGCGGCTTTCCCCCCTGCTTGGACGGGCCCCCCCAGGTGCTGGTGTCGATCTGGCCCTCTGCCCAGCTGGGGGGCCCCTTGGGCTTGGCCCCCCAGTACCCTTGGTCCCAGGCACCCTTGTGCTCGTCCCAGTCCGGCCAGGGCCGCCCCTTGGGGCCGCCCCACACCCCGTCCTTGGGCACCCGCAGCATGCCCGGGGGCGCCCCGCTGATGGGCTTCACCGACGGCATGTCCTTCCAGTGGGACACCTTGCCCTGCCGCGTCGGGTTGCCCCACACCGCCGTCCCGTCGTCGTAGTGCGTCACGGGGGGCCGCCGGCACGGGGGCGGCGACGGCTCCTCCCAGCCCGACGGCTCGCCGCCCCGCTTGCCCGGGTTGGGGGGCGGCGGCCCCACGGGGGACCACGTGCCGACCCCCTTGGGGCCCCCGGGGCCCCCCCACGAGCCCTCGTCCGCCCCGTGGCGATTGCCGCCGCCCCACGGCCGGCCCCCTTCTGCGTCGGGGCCCCCCCAGCCAGGGGAGGGTCCCCCCCACTGCTTCTCGGGACGGTTGTTGCCGTTGTCCCCCCACGAGGGCGCCGGGGGCTCGGGGGCCTGCGGGGTGCGGGGCACCCCCGTCCACATGTTGCCGTTGCCGTTGTTGTTGTTGTTGGCGGGCGACTCGTCGTCCTCGCCCCACGTGCCCCCTATGTGGCTGGTGGGGGTGTGGGGGCCCCAGGGCTGTGTCGCCGCCTGCTGGCCCTGTGGGGAAAGGAGGGCTTGGCATCCGTGTTCTCGCAAGATGGTAGGCTTCCCCCCCAGAGCGCGGCTTCTCAAACTGGATTTCCAGAATCCCCCCAGACATCCCTCGTCGGTTCCCCAAATTCCCTCGAGTGTTTTCCCACTTCAATCACTCTTTTAACCTTGGAGGGGAAACATAAGTCTGGAGCAAAAAAATCCATAAAAAACTACTTTTTGGAAAACGGTGACCTCGAAATCTAGCTATTTTTCTTTTGAGCTGCCAAGTTTCTTATACTGAAGATTAATGTTTGAGCCATAATATTACCTTATAATACCTATATAAGCTGAAATTGCACCGAAGCTGATGTTAAAACAATTTTCTGAAAACACAAATTTTGGAATTCTAACTAATTTTCAGAAGGGATACCTGAGCATCAAGGGCAGACAGAAAGAAAACTCTTTTAGCACCATGTAGCTAAATTGTCAAGGCATGAAGATAAGTAACTAAAAAGTTAATGACACCCTGCTCTTCGTAACACCAGTTTTTATACTTTTTGAATTTCCCTCTTAGAAATAAATCAGAAATTCCCCCCACTTGATGAAAAAAAGGAACGCTGTTCTTTTTTCCGTCCAGTAAAAATGTAACGACTTCTCGTTCCAGTTCCAACAACGAAAAATGGAACGGCGTGCGTTCTTTCGAAAAGGAACGCTGTTGCGTACAACTCTGGTAGCCACCCATTGAGCACCGAACTTCAATGTGTTGTAAAGTCACTAATAATAGTTCATACTTAAAAACTGCTTCCAACATTGCATTCTTCATAATTTGTAGGTATCCGACCATACGTTAAAACATTCTTTTGTAAGAAAATTATTTTTCTCCGTTGATTTTGGAAACAAAGCCTGGTTGATTATAATTATCCTGAGCAGTGCCCTACTAAATAAAAAAAAATGGATAGATGAAATCAGCTCAAAAGTCTAAACAAGCTCGTGCTGTTCCATTGGGCTTGGCCAAAAAACTAAGAGAGAAGCCTTAAGACCAGCGTTCCCCCTTCACTACGAGTCAAACGCTTCCTCGTACACGCCCTATTCTCTAAGGGCTCCTCTCGGCCAGCCACTGGCACAATCCCCGCGAGAGTGCCCACCTGACTGGTGGGGGCCGGCGGGGGCTGCTTGGGGCCCCCCCTGGAGCTGCGCACGCTGCTCTCCCAGATCTCGGTGCCCGTGTTGGCCTTCCACTGCGGTGCCCCCGGCACCACCCCCGGGGGGCACGGAGCCACGGGAGGCGGCTCTTTGGTCCCGGGCTGGGGCGACGGAGGCGTGTCCCAGGCACTCTCCTGGTTGATCACCTGCACGTCCAGACGCCTCGCTCGCACACTGGGTCCAATGCAGACGAAGCGGCAACAGCGTAGGTTCAAACAAACTGCGGTTCCTGTCGGAACTCGGTGGGTGACACCTAACGTCACGTAACACCACGACGACCACGTAGTACTGTGACCCTCGCACAATCGTACCTGCCCACCTGTGGACTTTCTAAATTCCGGAGGCAGCGGAGGGGGGGAAGGCAGGGCTCTCGTCGGTTTTTTTTTTTCTTATTTTGAAAACCCAGCAGATTCTATTGGGTCATCCGTGGCCCGCGAGTAGCACCGACGAATACCCGAAGCAAGGTCCACCTTACTGTAAGCCTTTCCACCGTGCAAAATGCTCGCATCACACGTAAACGTGGTGCAAAATCCAATCTACCCCCCTTCCTTGGACAGCACAAAGCACGCGAACCCCAACGTGTACGATTTCAAAAACACGCGAAAGCATTTCTTTCGAGGTTTCGAGCACGCCGTAGCGCCGCGACCAAGGTATAGACGTCCAACGGGCGCGTGTGTCGGACAACGTCAGATGTGGTAACTCGTTACGAAGGATGGTCCCGGGATCCACAATCACACGGCTAGTGTACTAGAAAAGGCGACAAGTTTGGATTTGGGGTCGTTGGATGGACAGATACTTGACACGACATCTCTGCAGACTGCGGTACCCCCCGCCCTCTTGTGGTGGTGCAAATTACCGCGCCCAACAATAAGTTTTTTTTTGTTTTTTTTTATGATTTGAGGTTAAGATTTGTAATATTTTAACATGAGTACCAATTCGTAAATTTTATGGGAAATTCGGGAGGGTAGTCAGGTACGCTTGATGCAACGACATTGCATCACGCGACACCGCGACTTCGCCCGACAGCCTGAGGTCACACGACGTGATACACCCCGCCTGGGAACCAACGAAATCGGCGGAGAGGGGAGCACGAAAGAGGAATGCCTCCTAGATGAGAAGGCCGTAGTGCCGGTTTTCCGACGTCGCCCCAAGGGGGCGAAGGCAGGTCACGAATTGTCCTGCTCCAGTGTTTGGTCGAGCTCGCACACTTGCCGATTGAAGAAAGTCTCGGTCGGAACGTCGAAAATTCGGCAGATGAGCCTCGGTTAGACGCAACGCTCTCATCCAATCTGTGCCCCCTTGTAGGCTTCTTGGGCAATGTCGGAAGTTCAGCACTGCGGCCTTCTTGACCCGGTGGTCGGAGTATGTTCGCACCCTCGCATTTCGCCAGTTCCCGGGGGCCTGCGGGCAGCGCGGCACGTGTCTAAAGGCCCGTTCACACTCTTGCGACTGACTTCGACCGAGATAGACCAGACCGGTTTTTAATCCTCTTGCGACTTCTTAGGACCAGGCGCGCTGCTGCGGAGCTGGTCCTAAGAAGTCGCAAGAGGATTAAAAACCGGTCTTGTCTCTCTCAGTCGTACTCGGTTGCAAGAGTGTGAACGGGCCTTAAGACAATGCAGTCTGCCACTCGTATCTCGTTTGCACCCTATGGCACGGAGTGGCGATTCCGAGTGGCCGGTCTTGAGGGGGTGGGAACGTCAACTTTAGAACCGCTCACTCAATTGTAGTGACATTTGCAGGTGGTGTTTGCACCCGTATAGAAGGAGGGTATGCAAGGTTTCAGCCCTGTGAACCAATTGTACGAGGTACTATACCTCTAGAACGAAGTGAAGCATAGCTTTGCATGGAATCTGCTCAATGAATCTATTGTGGCAAAATGGTGTTGATAACCAGATAGTTTTCTCGTGGCATGCATACGGGAATACCTGTTGCCGGTTGCTATGAAAAGAAAGTTCAGATATTAGGCATTTCTTTTACAAACATTTATATATGTATGTAAAAGAAATGCTTACACATTTACCAAGTTTCTTAAATTACAATTTTTCACAATAAAGGAACATGAGAATGCAAAGTCTAAGTTTATAGTAACCGGCTCCGTGAAAATTTCGGCCTTAAAGCCGCAAATATTAAGTCTCTCGATAGTTTCATACTGAAACGACAGTTTTATTAAGGTGGGATTTAGGCCAAAAAGTGGACTGGAGAAGAATGCATTCAAAGTGCTCGAACCTCTACCATTTCTTTTAGCATTGGCGGGCTGAAAACAATTTATAAAACAAAATAACTATTCACTGTAAGCATATGAAACTTTCTGGGAATACTCTCCAGATGTTGGCGGATGTAAATAGGAAATTTTTCAAAATCAACTTCTTTTTGCAGAATTTTTTTTTATTATTATTATAGTAGAAGGACACTACACAGAAAAAAGAAAAAAATCTGGCCCCCCCTTAAAATATAAGGTGTCCAGGTCGCGAATGGACCGGAATGTGCGGAGGTCACGACTCCACCCACCGTCTGTCCCCAGCCCTCGCTGTAGGCGGCCGCCCTGCGTAGCTCCGACACGTGCTCCGGAGGCGGGGGCTTGGGCGTCTCGGAGGGGGGACCCTGTTGGGGGGCCTCCTTGCTGCCCCACTGGGAGGGGAGAGGCTTGGCCGGGGAACCCCCCTCACCCCCGGAAGACGCCTGGGGGCCTCCGTAGTCGGGAGGCGGGGCCGGGCCCCGGGGGGCCGCGCCCCCCCACTGGGCCGAGGCCCCCCAGCCGCCCTGCTGGGGGCCGGGAGGGGGGCCCCAGCCGCCGGCAGCCGAGGCCCCGGCATTGTTGAGCGAGCTCTCGCCGCCCCCCAGGAGCCCCAGGCGGGGAGGGGGTGCCCGCCGCTGCGAGGGGGCCTCCTCGGAGCCCCCCACGGCACCCAGCAGCTGCTCCGACGACCCTTCGTGGGCACCTTCGCCCTGCGGAGGGGGGACACGCACGTCAGGGATGCCGTGCAGTTTGTGCAATTCGTCGAGCAAGGAGTTCCAAAAAGGTCCCTTCGTGCATGGGAACGGGTACTATGAGAACACATTCTACACCACTTATTTCTATGAGACGGTGAGACGGCGCACATACGGCACCGAATCTTTTCCTTATCTGCCAAGTTCAGAGAAACCAAATCCAAAAGATTTTCTATGATGGGGGAGAGGTAAAAAATAAATATTAACAATGAATTTACATGAAGGTAACGTCATTACATTTGTATAGCACTTCTCATACTACCGAGATACAGCTGGACCTCGCTACCATTGCTGCCGTCTGTTGCTATGGCAATAACCACCATTCTTCCAGTCGGAGCTTGGCATTCTGGAGTCGAGGCACCAACCGCGCAAGAAGCAGACAAACTCGCTCGCCGCACAGGGCGACAGGATAAGAGCAGCAAGGAGGTCTTCCAGTGGTCCCACTTCCAGCACGAGCTTCTAACATTCGACGACAATGCGTCGTCTAGCAACCTCCAACTGTACATACCTAGCCAAAGCACGACGAAAGGCAAAAGACACGCACGCACCTCAAACTAGGTGCGGCTAGACACTGTCTTAACCTAGAAGAAAGCGAGTGAAAATCAGATCCAGTGCCCGATCTGAGTTTGGTCTCCATCCACGACATTGCGCATCATGACCACGGTGGAAGCAGAGAGGTGTCTTAACGACAACGCTTTGCGGCGGAACGAGCGTGTCAAAGGTTCTCTCGCATTCCAAAAAAATGCCGCGAGCTGCGGATCAAGAAGGGTCGGTTCACACACTTGCAACTCCTTTGGAGCTTGGGCCTTAAAATTTCCTAAAATCTCTCGGAACAAAATGGCACCATCTATGAAGTGCATCTGGAACTCTACTTCACTAGAATTAAGGTTTTACAGTATTTGCATGATCAGACGTATGTCTGATCTAAAGACTATGAGAAGTAGTCGTTCACAACATTGTCCAGTTTCTCGAGCAAAGAAGAAAGAATCAGGGTAAAAAAAAAAACATAGAAAATGAGCGGACACTGAAGGTGCTCTGCGGCTACCCGACAGATGAGTTTTCTCTCGTCGCAAGAGGCTTTAAGGTACGCTGTCCCAAGGAGTCGCAACGGGGCGACAGGGCCGTCCTTATTCGAGCTCATGTTTTCGAGACCACGTGGGGCACAACTGCGCCTGCGCGAAGGCCCTTAAACTGACAGTGCCTCTGACCGGAGGCGCGCAAAACCAGAACAAACGTTTCCCTTCTTGGCCGGCCTTGTTCTACACCAATCTCCTCCACCGTGGTCGCGACGTTTGCCCTAATGCTACCAGAAACCGGTGCGAGCCGAACGTCCAGTGCCAAGACGGACGTCCGCCCAAATCCTGGCCGCGCTTAGGCGGTCGGTCCGGACCCTCGCGGGGGAGGGGTCTGCCACTCACCCAGCAGGAGGAGGAGGGGGGCCCCCTCTGGCGTGGGGCCCCCTGACTATTGCCTGCGCTGCCCGAGCGGTGTATCACAGATGGGACGCCGGATTCCCCCCAGGACTCCTCTCCTGTTGGAAGGGTCGGCAAGAAGAGGGGGGTCAGTCCCGTCTCCGTTCTTCTGCCCGGAGAATGGGGGACCACACCAACCTGAGCCTTCCTGGGAGTTCCGGCAGGCGGGGGATCCCCACGACTGCGGGGGTCCCTCCCGGGTCTCGGGGGCTGGCCGCGCATCCCAGCCCTGCACGAGGGACGCCATTTCAGAGGGAGTTCCCCTCAGATTTACAGGCAAAAAAAACCTCCAGTGCTCTTAACGACATTTATTTGTTTTTCCTTTATTTTCCGGACTAGAGCTGACAGACTACGGGTGTCTAAAAGCTTAAATTTTATGCGGTGCGGACCACCCACAGGCGCACACTGATAATTTCTTCAAGATTGTTCATTATGACGCGATATTACGGACTTTGTGAATGACACATTGTGGAAATAATTGATGTATGATGCAAGCTGCTTTATGCACTAAAAAAAGCATAAATATTTCAATGCGTACCATGTAGGAGTATTGTTTTAAGTGCAGAATATGAACAGGGTGCGGACTATAGGCCGGGTACAAATACTCCATCTAAAAGAGCTTCTTTTTCAGCCAAAATTTGTTTCTGTGGACTACATATATGCAGGGAGCAGATTATTACCAGGAAATTACCACATTCCTTTATGCATACTGGGGGTACAAATACGCTCAATATGAGCGCCATTTGAGGAATGCAGCATGATGAAGCCAGGTTTTCGTCACTGTTTAAGTTGCCGTCAAGCTGGACGTTAGTGCGAGAGTGTTACCCCTCCCTGTTGAAGCGAAAGGCGCAGGAAGACCGGTAGGCCAAAAACTGTTGCAAAAACAACCTCGAAGACGACGCACATGTCGTCGACCCCGGGACACCCGAGGGTCCCAACAACTGATCTCTATTGAAGCAGGCTAAATCGCGGATCACCAGCCCGTTGGTGGCACCACCGGCGGCCATTACTTGACACCAGGCAATATGTGCAAGTCTATGGGAGAAACACACAAATGTAGGAATACTGAAGCTTGTATGCTGTGCTTAAAGGCAAGTATATTATGAAGTGATGCGATCTTTATATCGGGTGTTTGGAGGTTGAATCGGAATTTGTCAAGCGTTCGAATGCCAATTAAAAAAATCAAACATGCCGGAGCACCTCTAGCTGAGCTGTCAAACTTGCTCTTGTAGTGAAGTAAACAAAGGAACCTGTCGTAAATAAGACCGTCCTTGGGGAAGCCCAGAAGTTGATAAATGTCGAAAAAGTTCCATGTTGACAGCAGCTTTCCGGGAGTGAGCAAATTCCAAGTAGCAAAGCCCTCAAGCTTGTCGTCTGCTAAACCCAACTTGTCGAAACCGCCAGCGACTCCGCGGTACCTCTAGGTAACTCTCGTCTCATTGAGCTGCACTACATTTCTTGCCCAGCGGGGTCCCTCTCAACCACAAAACATTTACTTACAAAAACTGTGAGGGCTGTCAGTTTTAATGTTTGTATACATGCAGGCTTAACGGCATTTTTTCTCGTTTTTCCCATAGAGTCCTATGCATTTGGTGATGTGAATCAATGGCCTCCGGTGGCGACACCCGGCCCCAGCTGCCGAGGCCGCGGTCCGCGATCCAGACTGACAGAAAGCCCCATCTGTCTCGACGACTGCCAGAAACGGTTGAAAGAAAGCCAGGCCGCAAGTGGTGCAGAACAGAATGTATCGGTTCACCTACATTGAACTTTCTTGCCTCATGTAAATGGCTGTTCCTCTTTATCCCTTGTTATTTATCCAACTATCCTTCCTCTTATTTTGATTCTGATCCGAAAATTGGACGTCGAATTTGCATTCGTTTACCGGTTTCGGACCACCGGCGTCGGCCTTGGACGCTGTTGGACGGCCGAAAAAGGAGTCCCCATTCGCCACCGTGCATGAGCAGTGCTTTACATATTAACTGAGGTTGGTCGATTTGCTGGTTTTCTATGCTGCCCAATAAGTTTCTGCTTGAAAACACACCTTTACTTTTAATAACTTAAAACTTCATTACGAAAGACAAATTGAAAACTCAACCACCGAGATTGATGTGTGCACTTTCAGTACTGTTAGCGCAAACGCAGCTTTGACGCTTTTTTGCATTTCACTTTGGAAGGGTGCTGGCAGTAAAAAATTTACCGCCTAGGCTAGTGGCTATGCGGAAGAAAACCGGAGAACCGGTGATGGCCTGTTTGCGCCAACAGCGTAGCGGTGTGTACCTCGCTAAACATAAAACAGGCCACTTGGTGGGCAGGTATTACTATGTCATTAATCTCTTTTCATCCGCCTGCAATGTGTACTGCTTGCCGGAAAACTTTGTTCAGCCTTCGGTGAAACACTGTATATAATAACTGGTCACGAGAGAGAGACAAATTAATATGCGGCCAATAAATGCCCGCTAATGTAGAATGCAACTCAAAAGTAAGCTTTCTTAGGGAGCAGAGCCAATTCAATTTCTCCTTTTGCAGGCTTGAGCAAAAGTCGAAGAGTTTTCCCCCCACACAAGGGCAAAAGCAAAACATTTCTAGCAAACATTTATAGTTGGAAGAGAGGCGTTATTCAAAGCACCAGTCATTCACAATTTGAATTGGACCTTTCCGAACATGCTCAATGCTCGTCGCCTCCGATAAAGACTATAATTCCACATTAAGAAAGACAAAAACTATTAAACAGGAAGCAGGCAAAAAAAAAAAAAAAGGAGCGACATTTTAAATTTTTGCGGCACAACTCTATTTTTATTAAAACAAAAAATTTCGTACAGGTTCCAGCTATAGAAGCAGCGCTAAAAACGTCTGCGCAAAATTCCTTCGTAAATGCGAAATTTCCTTCAAAAATCGTTTAGTGCAATCCATGACCCAATATGCAGCAGTGGTAATTCTATTCAAACGAAATTATATTTTAAATCCAAACATATTGCTATAGGGAAAACATTTTTTTTTCTGTGTGATTGCACTGAATGTTGTTTTTCGTCCAAAATATAACATAAAACTTAAGAGGCATGAAATTTCGCCAAGAGGAAGAAAGAGTTCTGTTTTGTCGAAACAGAGTGCCGTCACGCTTCTGGTATGCCAGAAAGGGTTTCGCTTTGTAATTGAGCAAACTTCGTTGGGCCTCCGTCCAGAAAGGGAAGTGGACTTTTTTTTTTTTTTTTTTTTTTTCGGAGGGGAGGGGGAGGGGGGGGGTTTGTTAAGCTGTTGCAGCTGCTGAACCACGTCACTTCTTCCCAATGAGCTACGACTACTCGATTGTTTGGGAACTCTCATTTTTTTCAGCAGGTGTTCTGGTTCTGCAGTTCCAGTTCGAGAAAACTTGCAGACAGCTACTCAAGCAGAACTTCTCGTATTTGCAATGAGGTTCATGGGAATGGCACGTAACCGCCACTGGTAAACACGGAGGATGGATCAAGTTAACTGCCTGGCATTGGCAGGGACACTGCCTCATCTAAATCTGCGTGCAATTTAAGCAAAAACATATTGTAGTAACATTTTATATTGTTTTAACCGGAATATGCCATATATGGTACACCATGCAGTGAATGGCCAATTTTACTTTCCAGTCACGTTTCCGAGTTCGCCAAAAAAATTGTTAACAAATAACAAACTGAACAATAAAACACTCATAAATGTGTTCGTTTTTGTTACCTTGATATGTCGCGCACCCTACAAACGCTGCCATCCCTCCAACAACCCCTCCTGCGTAACAATACACGAGTTAAACCGGTGTATCATCATGGAGAGCAAAAAAAAACAAAAACGGATGCCCCAATCCAACGGACAAACACGGTTTGTCTTTGGAATTACAAAGGATCGGACGACAGCAAACAACCTGGCTTTGGCCAGGGAAGACAACAGCCATCAAACAAAATCAACTCTGCTCATCTGCCTCGAGCTTCTGTGGGTAACCGAAGCCGACGCGACAATGCGGTAACTGAACTGCAATGACGCTATTACTCAAGCGAGAACAGACCGAAACAAAAGCGACAGTGTTTCAGATCGCGACAGCTGGACGGCTCGCACTACGTCGTTTGCGCAATTCTGTTACAACATCTGCAGCGCATTGACTCCTCTTGCTACACGCAGGATGGATGAGTCGCATCTGCAGGTGGGGGAAGGAAAACATGGTGTTGACAATGTTGGTGCCGAATGTGCTACGCCTGGAGCGTCGGCACACTCCGTTTCCCTGGTCGTCTTGCGGACGCCGCCATTTTGCTGCTTAGTGCGCCAAGTGGGCACAATGGGCGACTGCTACGATTCCAAGCTGTGACTTCGCGAGCTTCAGGCGGTGTTGGCGGGCGCAGGCGACACTGTTCCGCTTCGTCACAAGGTACTCTCACGTTTTGGGGGGGGTTGCGATTTTAGGTAAAAGCGTCGGATGACTGGCAACGATGAGCTCAGGCACCGAGATGGCTGGAGAGTCGTTACACCCAAGTGTAGCTTTTGGTTATGGCGAGGTATCCGAGCATACGCTGCTTTCAAGCTCCAAACCCCCTTCATTTTTTTTTTTTTTTTTTTTGCCAGAAGCAGTTTACTTATTGGACAATTAGTGAAAAGGAAGCACTCCCACTTGGAGGAATGCCGGCAATCGAGGATGAAAGTAGCTGTGAGCCGTGCAACATTAAAATGCTATCTTTCAAAAATTTATAAAAAAAAACAAAAAAAAACTTTTGTGTGTGAGTGTTAAGGTCAGCGTAGTCTTTACACCGCTGAAGGGGAGATGCCAAACAAAGCCGCATGCTCCTGCATGCGTCCTTGACAGTGCCGAAGCGCAGCGCAAACCATGTTGGCAGCGTTGCATAGAAAAGCTGACACCGAGTATAAACAAAACCTAATGTTCGTCAGCAGCCCTAGGCACGAGAAAATCTTTCTTCGGCAATGCAATTAAAGGGGACTCGTCACCCAAAGCAGGAAATATGTTTTATGGTCCCTCGTGTAAGTTTTAACGACTGACCTAAACCGAAAACTGTTGGTACTTCCTTCTCCATCTTCGTCAAGAAGGTACGAGTGAACTCACACTAACTCTTCCTTCTTCAAGTTAGCACACTGTTTTGCGAGGAAACACAAAAATGTTAGACTTTATTTTTTTTCATCTCAAAGTTAGTATTTGTTGTTTTCTGAAACTATTGTAAAGAATAATAGCAAGGGTGTCACTACTGGAGTCAATTCGACAATTACAATTCCCAATACAAATAATAGAAACGGATCCTTCAATGTGTTGCTCTTAAAGTACTGTACCAAGGACACCTGCCTGTAGCAAGGCTAGAACTATGTCATATTTCTAGAAATTTGAGGCGCAAAATAAATGATTTTGCTGGAACAGAGACAGCCAGCAAGGTCGTGCGACCTCTCAGTCCTGGATTTTTAGTTTAAAAAAAAGCAGCTTTTTTTTCTGCTTTTTCTTGACTGTCTTAACCACTTCTTTCCCATTTAATAAAACTTAAACCGATTTCTCCCTTTCTTAACACATTGAATCCTAGTGAACACCGTCTGCCCAAGAAATTGGTGGCCGAGATCAAACCGCGAGGAAAACCTTTTGTTCCATCGTCGAGGTAGCGAGAACACTGGGTTCTTGGCTTTTGCTGTGAACAATCTGGACCCCAAAACGTGGCCCAACGTGCTATGCATCAAGACCGCGCCTCTTGCAGAGTGACGACGTTTAAAAGCTTTTCTCAGCTCCAATGCTCTCGGCATTCGCTTTGTACGCAAAGAAAGAGTGGGTTTTGTTTCTGGGTAATCCAGAAAAGGTTGACCCATTTACTACTGTCAACCTCGGTGAGGGGGAACCTTGAGAGTGCATTCCTGTCCCAAAACTATGTCTCAGCAACACAAACTGCGCTAAGCATATGACCACAATCGATGCGAGACAACGACGCGTCATTTCCGCAAGTAGTCGGAGGTTCATCGGCGCTTCTCGGTTACGACTGGAAAGTCTATGGGCTAATTATAAGCAAGCGGTGGGTGCATTCGAATCCCTCTCGCCACAAACGCTAACGCCGAGCAGGTTTGCGCCGCCTCGTGTGGCAGCTCTAAAACAAAAACGCACGCCGCCGTGCTCTGTCCGTTTTTCTGCAAACATTGCGAAGCAACCGGATGACCAACCAAAAGTGCAGAGTCCAACCGAAACCCAACATGACAGATGAGCCGCCATGTCTAACTGCCTCGGCGCTGACGACCGACAGTCGTTAATAATCCCCCTGGAGAGTGAGACTCCGTCTTCCCCACAGACTACATTCGGGAAGTTAAGACAAATGCGACATACGAGCCTGAACAGCGTTGCAACGCCCTTTTAAGTCCACCGGACTTAAAAGGGCAGTGCTACGATCGTCGGACTTCAGCCAATGAACTGCAAGAATTAATTGTGTCACCTGTAAAACCAAAAACAAAAACGAAAAATTTCTTGAGAGATTTTTTATTTTAGGAATTGGAACACATCCATTATATGCGGGTCGGGAACAACTTGGGGCTACGCGTTTACGACAGGTTGCCACGCAGTCTACCGCGCTCAACCCGTGAGCCAGCCTTTAGGGGGCGACCGTCGTACGGAGTGGCGACGTCGGCAAAGTGCCGGAAAAGGCAGACTCACCCCGGTTCCCAAAAACAGGTCGTTCCTCTTGTCGTCACCTTGCATCTCACGCTGGCTTCTGCAACCATAAACGACAAGGGCATCAATGCGCGCCCGGCACACCCTCCCCCAAAATGCACGACCGGCAACTTTGATCGTGGTCGAAGCCTTCGCCACACCAGAGGCCAATCATCGACACATGTTCGCATTTTTTCTAGGGTAGTTCTACACCGCATGGCGACGCTGGACACCAGTAGGTTTACGAATGCTGAGGTGCAAAGCTCTCACTCTGGAGTGAGATAGACTCAAGTGCGTCGACGAGTCAATCTTGCATTAGGGTGAAGGCTTGCCACTCTAGAGTAGACCGGAGTTACTCCCGCGGGTCACGTCACGTGGTAATGCAGATAGGGCGGCGCTGGATGCAAATCAATCTCACTCCAGAGTGGAAGGCTTTGTACCTTGGTGTTCCAAATCACACCAGCATCCGGCATTGCTCTAGCTGCATTAGCCATGACCTGCAGGAGTAACCTGTATCAACTCTAGGGTGAAAAGTCTTTACTGCGGAGCAGAATCACTCATCAAGTTGCGCCAACTTGAGTAAAACCTTGGTGTTTGAAGACCTACCAGCTTCCAGCGTTGTGCCAGCTGAGTTATCATGCGATATGACCTGCGAGAGTGCCTCCCCTTTACTCTGGGGTGACACTGACTCGTCAAATTGCATCTGCGCAGCATTTTTTCTCTGCCTCCCCCACCATACACTTGAAAAAAAAACAAAAAAACTTCTATTCATATTACTCTTATCAAATCTTCGAACACGGCCACGGTCAGCCGAAAGCTACGCTCGTGGTGTCCGCGCTTTTTTCATGGAGATCACTCGTTTGTTTCTGCCTCGTCAAGTTTCTGAACGAGTGGCTCGCCGAATTGCACTAGTGCTACCAGCAAGCAATAAGACATGCATCTGGAATTAAACGCCACTGTGAGGGCAGGCAGGCTGAATGGGGGCATTATGAACTCACACACGATGTCGGCACAAGATGTTGGTGCCCGCCGCTATTCCTTGCAAAGAAAACAGGTATTTGGTGGTGCAAAATGGTTGTTGAGCCGACATCAGTGCAAGCCGAGAATAGTGGGTAGGCGCAGGTTGCAAATACAACACGGTTGTGACGCAGTCATCTACCATCCCCAGAAAGCAACAAGCTCAAGAGGACATGACAAAGCAGCATGAAAATCTACCAACATGTGCTCGTCAGCAAGGCAAACATGGCTAGTCCAAACGAAGCATTAAGGTTCAAAAGCGCGGTGAATACACAATATTGCCCCCTTAAAAAAAGTCTGGACACCTTAATGCAAGAAAAAACAAGCTCAGCCTAAATTACTAGCACCACGGACAAATCGAGGTACTACAGTGAAATCAGCGAAACCGGTCACGTAATCCGGAACAATCGATCTCGCCGAAGCGGTGCGCATTCGGTTTCAGGCTCGCCGTTGGCAGCGCGACATACGACAGGCTCGCACTTGGGCTAGATGGCACTACTTTTTGATGGGGAAAAATGTTTTTTTTTACAGATTACACATGGACCACGGGCAACGCGCTACCGCGAAAATATACGCGAACCGGGGTCGGGCTCACGGGCCAGCCGTCTCAAACAGTGCAGCAGCTGACGGCAAACGACGAAGGGAGGGAGAAAAAAAAATCGATGCCTGCGACGTCACCGACACCGATCAATTTCGGCAGCCCCGACGAAACCGGGCGGGCGGTCCCGGAACGTTTTGCGACGTCTCGGACTCCGAAAAAGGGGCTGGAAGTTTTAATGCGCCGCTTTTCGGCGGACCTGGTCCGGTCGCGGCATAACATACGCAGCAGCGGAGACGTCGTCTGCGTGCCCCACAAAAGGTAGAGGGGAAGGAGGGGGCTCTGTCGTGGCGGCGGGTGCTACAAAAAGAGGGCCCCCTCTCCTCGAAAGCGGGACTCGGGGACCCCAGGTAAACAAGGGCGATCGACGGAGAAGCTTAGCCCCGAACACCATCTTCGAACCGGGCAACGAATATTTAAAAAAAGACTCGGAAAAAAAGAGGTTTGTGTCGCACTAATCAGAAGCGGAGAGTAGGTCAAAAATAGCATCAGCTGTTGAGCTGGGTTACCCGTGTCCGGACCGCGGCGCGGGCCCGCCGGTCGGTCGCGGGCCCCAGGTACGGAAACGGGGCCGACGCGGCGGTCCGCGGCGGTCCGGCGCCAGACACCGCGGTCTACGCAGCGAGCGAGCCGACACGACCAATTCAAGGGCAACTAGGCCTAACGGGTCCGCTCGCTCACAACAAGAGAAGCGCCATTCCGGGCCAACGTCGCAAGCTGCTCACCCCCCCTTCCCTCCGTCGCCCGTTCGCTCACCGGCCCCAGAGCGAAGAAGGGAGCGCGGACCCGACGCGGGATGGAAACTCACTTGTACTCCAGTTTGCTCGTCCGACTTCAGCGGTTCGACATCCATCTGAGCATTGTATATTTGGACACGATCACAAGGAACCATCGGTTACACGAGCAGCAGCCATGTTGGCTGCCTTGACTCGGGCAGCGGAGGGAGAGGGGGTGGTGCGCACACGCAGCCCGCCGCGCCGCCGTCGTCAAGCAACCTCGCCGACCCTCCTTCCCCCTCCGGTGGACTATGGACTCGTCCGTCGGACTGCTGGGAGCGCTGGGAGAAACGTCGGCGCGCGGGGCTGTGGGGAGCCCAGATTTACGAGAGAAAGCAACTCTAAACCCACAGCGATCGCTCGCAGTTTAATGGTGACAAACTAATTACTCATTTACAAGCGCTCGTTGCAGCGCGGTGAGAAAAATATGAGCTGAAAAGACTAACTAAATTTGCCAAAACAATTGACGTTTTTGCTTTTTTTTTTTATAAATAATCTGCAAAAACGCTTTCCATGGACCCATAAACCACGTGATCCAAATTGAGCAGTCGGAAAACACTTCTAACTCAGGGCACACTTATGGTCTGCGCGCCGCGTGCCGTCGCGCCTGACAGGGCGACCCCGTTCTTCGAGCTGCCGTCGCCGCCACCGCAAGAAGTTGGCCAGACCGGGCCGTTTCCGAACCCGGGGTTCGCCAAAGTGTTCTCTGTTCTGGGCGGTCCCGTGCTAAACGGCAGGCGGCCAAAAATTTGACGTTGGCTAAAGGCTTGTCACCGGAACAGGGGCGCGAAAAGGCGAACGATCACGTGACGGTTTTGGCAGGGCAGTTGAGGGGGTTGGCGGCACCCCCCACCCCATCCGTCCCATCGGGGATACCGTAGTTCAACTGGTTCAGCCGTTCCACGGGGACCTTTTTCTGGCCTGTTGTTGTTGTTGCTGTTATGAGGCGTGAATGGCCGCGTCGGAGGCGCATGTTTCATCACACCGGTCCGATTGTTACGTACTCTATCTGCCCCGTATGCTTTGCGCGCGCGTACCTCGTCGGTACGAAAAAGTTCCTGTTCCTGTGGATCTCGCTGTAGGCTAGAAATAAACGGGCTGAGCAAGTTACGAAACCTTTCGGGAGGCACGTTGAATCCTTGGGGCGGTTTTTGTTCGTTTGTATATATTTATCATTTCTTCGGTTTGATAAAGTATGCGGAAGTGGTCCATAACCGCCTCGTTTTCAGAAAAAGAGTCAAATATATGAACAAAATTTTATAACATGTTCCTCAGAAAAAAAAAAAAAAAAGAATTCCGAGATACCACGAAACACCGTGCCATATTTGTGAGAAAATAAGTACGTTCGTTTATTTAGTTAGATTAGGTATACGAATAATAAAAACAATTATTAAACCGCCATTTTTTTTTTGGCAAAAACTATTTATTGTTGAGCGGTCCCTGCCCTAATCTAGCGCTAACAATAAAAAAAGATGCCATTTTTTTCAATATACCATTAATTTTTACAAGTGATTTCCGAAATGTGTTATGGAAAATAAGGCCCGTTCCTCCCGCTCCCAGTAGCGGGCTTCGTTGACAATTTTCAATAATGTTTGCATGTTGTTTTTGTTTTTTTTTTTTTTTTTTAGTTTTGAAAATTTGACATTTTGTCCCATCAGCTAGCTCTACAGTGTGGGCGGAGACTGCGCACTCGGCGATGTGACGAGAAAAAAACAAAAAAAAAACACGGTTCTCCTACTGAAACCCAAATATCTGTTAGGCCATTTTCCCTTTCAAACTATTTCAAACGTTTATCTCGTATTTGTAATTTCATCGCCTCCGTCTTGCCCCCAATCCAAAAATAAAAAAAAAAAAAAAAATCTTTTAATGCTATGTCTGCATCCTGCGAGATAAATCTCAGGTAGGGACATCTCTTTTTGACTATTCCATTCCGGAAGTCTCTTGGACGCACTACGGAAATCCGATGTAACACGCGTGAAGAAGTACCCGTGAACGCCGTGAACAGAAGGAACGGTTCGTGTTTGTTTATTATTTTGCGATTTCAGAACGCAAAGAAAGCTGTTGTGTTTTGAACCCGCAATGCCTCGCGCCGCGTGGTGCAATGTGGGGTTGACGGAGAGCGGGAAGGGGGGGGGGGGGGGTTATGAGTTGTGCGCTCGACGAGTTGGGTACGCTGTACTTGTATCCCGGTCACGTGGCTGTGCATTCTTTTTTCGATCAACTTATTTGCAGCTTTTTACGAGTCACAAAAAAAAAAAAAATGGGTATCATATATTTTGTTAATTTCTAGTATTGAGTGTGTGCCTTCGATTACCTACGACTTTGATTATCTTTGGTGGTTGTGTCTAAACCATAGAAAACGGCACGTGACCACGGAAAAGAGGGTGAGCGCGACTCAAACCGGCCAGTGCTAGTTCTCGATTGGCGGTTTTTCGGGCGGAAAGAAAACGAATTTTGAGCCGCAAATTTTTGTCTGGGTAGTTGGGCTCTTATATGTCATGAACAAATAAAAACCTTGGCGAGCATAAATACTCTGTGAGTGTGGAGAATCGTGTTTTTCGGCCCGGGTAAATAGATTATGCAACCGATAGCGTAACAGACTCTGTGAGGATGTTACGCTAGCGGTTGGGATAGAACGCGAAAGTTTGAGTTCATGAGGTTATCTGTATCAAAAAATAAAGATAATTTTTTTTTGTTGCGTGAGCTATACTGGCCGAGGTTGAGCAGTTTCGCGTGGCTTCCAAAGAAACGTGCTGCGCAGGCGCGAGAAGTAGTGACGTCACACAATGCACAGTTGGCGCGCCGGAACCGCCGCCGTCGCGCGCGCCTCGCCGGTCTGTGCTAGAATAAGTCTGTGCAATCCAGAGGAGTGGCGTCATAGCCGCGGCAGACACACTGGCGCCGCCGCGTGCCCAGCTGTGCGCCTCCGTTGCGCAGTAGCCAAGTCTGACGCTGCATCGGAGCCGCTTGATAGCGCCTCTCATTTTGTGCGCATAAGCTCACGCTACGTATACCCTAAGCGCCTGTAACATATACTTCAGTAAAAAAAAAAAAAATGATAAAAATAATTTTCAGCCAGGAAGAACGCACTATTGTCTTTTTTACTGACAGGTGTTTTTCACGTGTAAATCCCACACGTGTCCACAATGTCAGTTGTTGTTTTGATGATATTAGGCTTAGGTGGACGTCGGCTCATGGAGAAATTTCGTCTATCTGTATTATCTTTCTACGAAGCTCGAGCTTTCCGCGATGCATATGTTTATCTACCTGGACCAAAAAACGCGGTTATCTTTTTTCGAAAACTCCTTGTGAATGAAAATAAATTTCAAGCGGTGAAACGATATCGAAGAAAACAGAACAAAAACATTTATAGCAACGACAAGTAACAGTGCAAACGAGCTGCTTTAAATCTAACGTAACCCTTTCCTCCAAGATTGTATTGTCTGCATCGTTCCTCTCAATATCGAAAAAAAAAAAAAAAAAAATCAAGGAATGCGCACGCGAATAGCGTTTTAATCGCGCGAGCGGCAAGTTCTAGAAGTTCGATATCTGGTCCGGAACTCTAGCGCTACATTTTGACAGAGACTGACCGCTAGGTCACTGCAGTTCGGCGACACATGGTTTATCTCGTGTTGTCAAAGAAAAAGAAAAGAAACACTGTAAATGTTTTTTTTGCGCACACGGCCTTAGTACAATTAGTACCAACAACTCTATGGTACCAACCCACTCGTAAAAACTAACATTTACCGGTTGTGTTGTGTTTTTAAATTGTAATGACGCCACTACTAACCCTTTAAAAAAAATCAACAAACGTAGGAAACAATATTTTTAACTTTTAGAGTTCTGTGTTGTCAAACCCCCTTTTTCCTCTGCTCCTGGTTTATGCGCTCTCGCTTTTTTTTTTTTTTTTTTCTTCAAAACTTTAAAACTTTCTAACCTGTTTCTTTGGAGTTCGTTGGTTGAAAGGAAGATCCGGCATGATGGGAGAGAATCCTATTTTCGGTTAGCAGACGACGGAAAGTGTAACTTAAATAAGTAGATTAACAAAACTGTATTATTTGAATTAGGCGGCCTTTTGTGCCATCTATACAATAACCTATAAAATACAAAAAAGTATAACAAATTTAATTTATTACACAATATATTTGTTTATATATCCATCCCAACACATTAAATGTATTTTGAGCATAATTAATGCCATTTGCGTAATTCGAAACTTTCGTAGCGCCTAGAGCGGGAACGCGGCTAGGAAATGGTGTTTTTGGGCGGCCATTTTTTTCGTGGTCGACATTGGTGTTTGGTGTGTTTCGCAAGACAAAAGAAAGCCTGTGACAAGAACATGGGGCGCAAAAAGAAGAAGCCGGCAAAGCCATGGTGTTGGTATCCTTTCAGCCGACATTTTGAAGTCAATCGGGAAACCTTATTAAAAGTCTGCGCGTGGTTTCGAGCGCGAGTGGCGGCGAACTTGGGAGTGTGGTCATCGCGTCTGAGCAGTTACATCAAGTCGACTTGGTATGCGTAGATGCCGGTTCGTACATGTAAACATTGGGAAATCGTTGGCCGTCGACTGAGTTTTTGGAACTTGTCAGGCGGTACTAGCCTCGAGTTGCGTGAGGCTTTTAATATTCCCAACTTCCAAGTCTCGAAGTTGGCTCGGTCGCTGTGCGCGCAGCAAGTCGACTCATGTGATACATCTAAGCGGTGTTCCGTCAACGTCGATACTTAGACGACCAACTGTACAGACAGCACGCATCAGTGTTGCTTTATCAGCACTTCTTGGAATCATCTGTACTTCATACTGGTCATAAACGGTGCTCAATCGAAATAACTGAGCATTGCAGAGTCGGTCTTGCCCAAGGTTGCTAGATAAATCAGTTGCAGAACTGCCCGTGAACGCCATTTCTATGGACGTTTGCAAGCAGCCGCGCTTCTAGAGCTGGTCTGGCCACCGTGGATAGAAAACGCTTTGGGCGCCAACCTGGAAACTGTGGGTACGTCTCGGCAATTCTTGACCATCAGATGATCAGTGATGTGATTGCTGCGCCAATTGCACCACACTGCGCCAAGGCGCTAACCCTGATACATCCTGCTACATTATGCCGAAATATGAGTAATCTGTGCCAAGCCTGCGCCGAAGGACCAATATCTGTCGCCTTTCAGAACCGAAACTGAACTGAGTACTGTAATTGAGCATGTGAGAGCTAGGTGGTGCAAGCGGCCATCCGACACAAAGTGCCTTGCATCAATCGTCCATCCGGTCTTGCCTGGTTTTTTTCTGCCGTCTCTCGTTTTGTGCTCTTGTCGTCTCGTGAGTCTCGTCTCATAAACGATAAATGCAAGCGTTTGCGGACGCTACGACACTAGCGTGCCGGGTACCAGGCGTGCCGTCATGTTGTGAAACGAAACCACGTTTTTGCGCGGCGGGAGTTACTTTGTGAGCTGAAGCACTCACTCCTGAAAGCAATGATCGTGGAAAAACTATATTTGGTCCCTGCCTTCCAGTCACTGTGATTGCATGACGTTGGGTGTTGCCGTCCCAACATCGCTGCAGATATGGCGCTTTCTAAACTGAAACTTAAGGACCGCCGAAAGGTCATCAACATTCCTGTTCTTGTTTAAATCATACGCTGCTACAAAAATCTCTCTTTAACTCAAAGACTGCTGTGTCGAAATATTGATTACCTAGGCTTCTCTCGGGGGGCTTTCTTTTGCAAGAGACCCCGGTACGTGAAAAGTCTGCTGCGAAAGAAAGTCGGTGAAGAGAAGTGAGCTAAAGCAAAAAAGACAATGTCTGCACGCTGAACCCGCACAGCGCGCTTGTTTGTCTTGAATTCAGTCGTTGCACAAAGCGCTTCAAGAACTTTTTGACCCTGACTCGCAATGTCTTGCATCGATGCGCTTATTTTCTTTTTTTCTGTTTGTTTAGCTTGTGCCTCTCCTGCCGGCCTGGCAAACACTCGCCACTAGACTGTTTTTTGTCGTATGCTGGCCCGTTACATTTTGCGTACGATTTTGGGAACCAGTTTGTGACGGAATAGAGTGGCATGGTTTCGGTTTCGATCGAACAGTCGTCTCCGCTTGCGCGACGAAGCATGCGCAACTGCACGCCTGCCGAAGTTGCCCTTGCGTGCATGCGAACATTATTGCATGACATTTGCAATCCATTACTTTACGTTTGCTTGCTTTTGACGAAAATCTGGCACGTGGGAACCAGTAAAACGGTGGCAAGCGGTTTTTCGGAATTGCTCGGCACTGTACACTTGTGGGATGTCCCAGCAGTAAAAAGACAAGCAGCGAGTTCTGTCACATGTCACATCAGAACACAATAAAACACAACACAATGTGCCCTTCATTTGTCCAGCACCTAAAATGAACATTTTTTTTTATTTTTCTAAGAATATCTGCTTTAAAAGACACTTTTTGCTGCTCCGAAGCACTGTTTTGGCTGCTTTAAAAGCCATGTTTTCTGCTCAAAAACACTGTATTGGCTGTTCGAAAGGCCTCTTTTGCTGCTCCAAAACACTGTTTTGGCTGCTCCAAAAGGTGCTCCAAAACGGCTTAGGCTAATCACATCACTGGATGATTTAACCACACCAGCAGTAAGATGACGGCGCTTAGGTGCTGTGCTTGCAAGCGTCTATACACCATCTCGTGTTTACAAACAAACCCAAGTGCCCCTAGTGGTGTTCATGCGCAATAAACTGTGGGCAAGAAGCGCACAGTCGCCCGTAAACAGAACACTGGAAACCAATATTGTGGCGGTGCGAACCCCTCTGCTCTTTTTCGCATATTCCTATCCGCATATTCGTATCCGCGTAAAATCAAGCGGATACGAATGTGGCGTCACTTTTTTGGTTTAAATATAATTGAAACTCATAAATTTGTGATTATTCTTCATTCTTCGTATCTTCTCATTATAGATGCAATAGCGAGAGTTTAATTTTCGTTAAGAAAAAGAAGCCTAGAACTACTTTTTGTTGCGGAGGGCTTTGTTGCTGTGGCGGTAATGAGGCCCCGGTGGCCTCGACCATGGAGTGTTGTCACGTGCCTTGTTCCGGCGCCCTTATTGCGTCGCGGGGGCCGCAGCTTCCGCGGTTCGCCAAGTTTGTGCGAGACGGAGTATAGGTGCCGCTTAGAGTGACACGCGTTAACGTTGAGGGGGGACTTTCCCAGCATTCCGTAGCACCGAGTCTGGAGCAGTTCACGGGTGGACGAGACGTAAGCTCTGCGAGGTCGATATAGCACCCGTAGGAAAAGCGAAGCCTGTCTATGTTTCCTCCCGTCTTGATCATCAACATAAGGTGGGCATTCCTAACTCTATCACAACCACGTTTTATTCATCTTTCGTTCCCCGTACATCCCAGGAGTGGAACCACCTTCCCCGGTCGATCCCCATTATCACGGACTCTGAGCTCTTTAAAAGTACAATAACTAATTACTTTATTACTGAGTGTGTCTAAATATGTATTATGTTATTTGCATTAACCTTCTTGTTGCTCTCCCCCTCTGTAATGCCTTCGGGCCCTGAGGGTATAATAAATGAAATGAAATGAAATGAAACTGAAAGTCAACTTTTTGTTTGTCCATCATCGAAGCATCTGTAGGCTGCAAAACAAGCTCGGTTTCGATTGAACGCGGGTGTGTAAGCCAGCCTTTCCTTTTGAGTGCGGCGCCAATGCCGTGTCTTTGTCATCTCGCTATGTTTAGCATTCCTTCGCCGCATTCGCAAAGCGATGCCCGGCGATTCGTTTGCCTAAGCCCAAACACTGAGCGGTTCGCGAGTGCCGAACGGTCCTTGACCACCGAACCAGGTACTGCAACCGGGAGTTTGACGACGAGAAGATCCTGATCCAGCACCAGAAGGCAAAGCACTTCAAGTGCCACATCTGCCACAAGAAGCTGTACACAGGGCCTGGCCTGGCCATCCACTGCATGCAGGTACGTACGACTCCTCCGTGTACGCCGTTCCGTCGTCGACGCCGAACAAGACTAGTCGCGATGCAACGGCGCAAAAGTCTGGCGGCATTTTGCGTCGCGCCAGCGGGGACCAAATTGAGGGCGCGTGCCATGGTATTCCGAGGGATAGCGCACCTAAAAGCAAGAGCAAGTCGAGTAGAAATGAGGAGTGGGCAAACCTTCAATGTGATATCAGAAAAACGAAAAAACAAACTATTTTTGTATTTTTTTATTTGCGAAACAAGTTTTCACATTGGGGGGTAGTAGAGCATAAGCAACTGTCCTTGGCCAGCAATATTTGATTATATCCCGCCATAGTTAACTAACCCTAGAATCACTGGATGTTCCCAAAGTACTGAAACTCTCATGCTTGACAACACCAAAATGGCAGCTCAATATATCTTTTTTTTTTCTACTGTGGTCATTGTGACAATTACTGTGAACGGCGTTGGAATTTCTGACCGACTGTTTATGGCATGAAGTTCTGGAAGCATTTCTCGTCAATGTCAGCATTTAGAAAGCATGTTTTATGGGTAAAAACAAACAGAAAAAGTTCTTTTGTAGGTACTTTTATTGGAGATTAGTATGGAATGACAGGGGCGTGATGTTCACACAGTTTTATCTTGCAAGGTTTTACGCCACAATTAATATTGTTTTTATACAACCATGTTTCACCAGTGGTTTCAGGTAGCACGTCCCGGACCTTGGCCAGACTTCCCAATTGTCTCGGATTTTGTGGGACCGTCCCTAGTTTTCAAACAGAGTCCCGACATGCCAGAGTTGGTCTTTCACGTCGATCGCTCACCGCGACCTTAGTCGACAATCGCGAAGAGAGCAAGTGGGGGCCCTGGAGAGAGAGAATTCGACGGGAAACCGGGTGGTCCCTATGAGACTTTGCTTGAAAGACGTTTCGTGGGTCGAAGGACACTTTGACCTTCGATTTGTATAATTTCAAAAAGGAAAATGGACTAGCGCACGCAGGAAAACACGGTTTTCTGTTCTGTGTCCGTAGGCGACGCGGATTAATTCCTGCAGTTTATTGGCCAAAGTCAGAAAATCGTTGCACCGCCCCTCTAAGGTCCCGTTTTCCGCCACGCCCGTGACTGACTGCCATCTGCTTCATTGCAACCCCACTTTTCCTGGCATGGTTCCTCGCTGTCCTGCTGACGCAAGTTTTGGTGGGGACGCCTGGCTTTGCAGGTTCACAAGGAGACCATTGACAAGGTGCCCAATGCGCTGCCCAACAAGAACAGCGTGGACATTGAGATCTACGGCATGGAGGGCATCCCCGAGGAAGACATTCGCGAGCACGAGCGGCAGAAGCAGGACCGAAGTGAGTCTGCAGAGCCCAGAGGGACGGGTGGGACCGGCCAGAGCCTTTTACGCCGAGCGTGGCCAACGGCCGGAGCTCGTAGCCTACTAGAACGGGCGGACTTCGTGATACCACGGGTTGGAGGCTTTTGCTTTGGGCCACTCCCCTCTGCGTACGCTAGTCCAAACTCGCAGTTAGAGGCTGTCTCGTAAACTTGTCAAGTTGTTACTCCTGCAACGGGTCACTGCATCCATTCGTTATTGACTTTAAAAATTTAGAACTTGCGAATAAGCTTTTTCTTTCTAGTCTTAAAGCAGAGTTACGTTTTCTCGAGTGAGCGAGAGCCGGGCAGCTGAGCACGCGGGTGTGCAGCACCTCCCCTAGATGCCGTCCTTCGCGGCGCAGAACTTTGGCCGCAGTCATTTTTGAGATGCGACGGTGAAAGTGTCGAAAGTATGTTTTCAAGGCAAGAGAAACGAATGAAAGATTGTATAATTTTAGGAAATTGTAGCAAATGAGGAAACCTCGAGCCGTCAGTTGCGTGCGCGACGCCAAAGACACTTACGTCAACATGAAACACTTTTGTTGCGATGCTACGTCACCGCATTCTAGGTGTGCCTAGTTAGGAGCTAATACGAAATTCGATAACACAGTGGGGTGGAGGTAACGTCCCATTGTCACGTTCCATTTCCTCCCTGTCAAACTCCCAGCCGTGCCGTCTTGGTCGGCATTTTCGAAAGAATGCCAGACTCTCCCAGCGTAAACGGCTCTGGTATCGACTATTGAAGGGGCCCTTCGGAACGTTCTGCGATGGTCTATTTATGGCGGTAGCTCAATCTACAGGCCCTAAGGATCCTAAAAATCATAAAATTACGGTCATGCGCGGCGGATTTCCCTATTAAAATTGCTATCAAAGTCCCCGGCACGCCCCCCTTTCTGAGATGACCCCGGAAAACGGGAGGGGCATCTCTTTACGTGTCAGCCAATAGCAAGCGAATGATTCCGGCGTCACTGCGCGCCACCAACGTGGCTGACTACCGACTCGCGGAGGAATCTCTCCGGACTTTGTGCTCGGCAGTCGTCGTTCGTCGCACCGCACTGTCGCGCTGCTACTGCAATACGCAGTCGCATTCCACAGATGACAAGGAAAAGTTTGACTCGTTGACGTGGAAGGATCGCAAAGCTGGCTTCGGAGTCGGGATCCACGGGAAAAAGGAACACGTGTCCCGCAAACGCACGCCTGCAGACGCCCCGGGAGGCAGACGAGCCGATGCGCCGACGCATCACCCCCTAGCAACAAGCTTGCAAGGAGAAAACACAGTTCGCTGGTTTTGGAGCGATAATTGCGGACTATGTTTCCCGCACCACAATCAGTTTACGTTTTTCTCAAACTCTAAATTACAACAAGCTTAAAAAGTGTTGCAATAATAATGTTCGCATTCACCGCGAGATGCAGCATTTCCATTGATCAAGTTTTAGCGATGGGCAAGGAATGGGGGATTGTCTTCCAAGAGAAAATAGTCCTGATATATTTCTTTTGCCATCTGCTTAATAAACACTTTTGTAGTCTAAAACTTTGTATACATATTAGCTTGCACCTATTACGCAATATAACAACATAAACAGACGATCGCAGAAAGCTCCGGAGGGCCCCTTTAAGCGCGAAACACGTGTATGACGAAACCGTCTGATCCGTCGTCCGACCAGGCAATACGATGGTTGGAGGCGAGGGTTTTCAACGCTCTCCGATGCTACGAAAACCCTCACCCCCAAGGTCATTCCGGCAGTCCGCACGTCGGATTGGAAGGTTTCGTCGTACATGTGTTTCACGCTTTAGCGGTGAGACGTTTCGTTGGCACTTGCCTGCAGTTCCCACCCGTGGCGTCACAACCGGGATTCGCCTTGCCGTAACGTCACGAGTGTGCGATCCTGGCCGCTAATTATCGGTTGCAGTGATGGAAGCGCCGTGCCATTTGCACCAAGTTGTACCAAGAATGAAGGTTTGCCACATCTTGCGCCAGAGTGCCATTTCTGCTAAGAATTGTGCCACTCCTGCGCCAAAACAGGCTTAAGCGAAGTGGAAAATAGATACATATTTAATGTTGGTCGACCCTACTGTGCAAAGCAAACGTATAGTTTGCTTCATTTTGCGTCAGGTGTACTAGAACCCATACCTGCAATAAAGTTTATTCATTCATTCATTCCCGCGTCAGAGAACGGACAAAGGCTCGAACACGTACGACCATGAGCACACATACTAAAAGTGCAAGTCACGGGGCATTCGCCGCACTTGATTCGTTTAGCCGACAAAAGACCACACGCAGGAGGATTGACGAATGCCATGATGTCGGAAATTATGGCTTGTACTTAATGCAGACATACTTTCTTTGATCTCGATTGTAGGTCGATCTTCGAGTTACGAAGCTACTATAAGAAAGAAAGAAAAAAAAAAAAAAAAGGTGTGGGTCTATGTTTGAATAAGTAAAGTAGTCGAGTAGTTCCCGTGCAGCTGTCGATCAAAAGAGCAGCAAACTTTGACTTCACTCCGGTTCCGACGCTGCTCAAGAACGTCGTCGCTTTTAAAGCACGGGTGTAGGTTTTCATGATATTTGTGGGTGGTTGTTTTTTTGCAGTTTATAATATTAAAGTCTCGAGTTTGGTAGGTTCACAAAACTTGGGGAACACATTTTTATTGATAGTCATGTTAGCGGATATGCTGGTTTTTGTTCCCATTTTACAGAAATCATATTTACGGGCTAAATAAACTACTGGGTATAAAAGTGGGAGGGGAGAGGTTTTAATCCGAACTGAAGTGTTGCACTATGATTCATTCTTTATCAATTTGTTTAGTACCCATTGAGAATGGAACCTACTTTTAGAAGAACCTTATTCCTAAAAAGAAGGCTGTTTTTCGTGCCCCATCTAGTTACGAAAAGTAATAAGTAATATGCTCCAGTATCAAAGAGGAACACAGTCATTAAAAAAAATAAACGCATTTTGCGATGCAATGCATTTTTTTTTTTATTTACAAGTGATGTTGTAACAGACGTTAGCATCTGCTCCAAAAGTATCAATGGCTGGTCCAAACTGATATTTTGCTGGCTACACAACCTGCTACAGAAAATCAAATGCTGCTTCCATCACTGCGGTTGCGAACAAGAAGTTTGACGGTGTGTGTAAATAGCAAAGTGCAAGCTTGGAATCATCTCGTCGCAAACTCAAACCAACGCCGTCGAAGTCAGATGTTATTCTAATTTTCTTAGATGAAATCAATATTAATTCCACTCGTGGTAAGCGTTTGGCCGATCGTGGAATTCCGGCCATTGCAACTTTTTGAGTCACGCATGTCGCCGATACCCTTTTATCGAGCACCCTCCACTTTAAAATTTTTACCCCAAGCTCTGTAGTTTTCTATGGTGCTCAGCAAGCTTTTAATTTGAACCGCATCATTCATTAAAAAGTTAACGAACATATTTTAGTTAAATAGGCGACTGACCGTGACGAGCAGCCCCCTGTATTCTGTCCCTTGGCTGTACAACCCACCTGCACGAACTGCATCAGCGTAGATTTCACGCCTTTTTTAGAAATAAAAATGTAAAGCCTAAAAAAGTAGTTTAATTGGCCTTTATAGGTGTGACTTATGTACCAACCTTAATCTGAAAACAGACGTTTATAGGAAAGTCCGACTTATCAACCGTAAAATACGGTACTCAATAATTTCTTAAAAAAGTTTTTATAATAATGCAGCTCACTCCAGGTCTGAAGGGGTTAAGCATTGGCGCATTGTCCCGTTTTTTAAGACTCCGGAGACGAGCGCGAGGAGGAACGGCCTGCCAAGGCCCAGCCCCAACAGCAGCAGCAGCAGCAGCAGCAACAACAACAGCCGCAACAGCATCAACAGCCGCAACAGCAGCATCAGCAGCAACAGGCAGCGGCAGCCCTGGCGGCGGCGTCGATGGTCCCGGCAGCGGCGTCGATGGTCCCAGCGGGGGCCCTTGGAGGCCACCCGATGAGCATGGCCGCCCTGATGCAGGGGGCGGGGCACCACATGGGGCTGGCACCCCACCCGGGCATGGCCCACATGGGCATGCCCCCCTTCGGACACCCCATGCACCCCCACCACCCCATGGCACACCTCGGCCCCCACATGGGCCACCTGGGTGAGTGGGCACCTCTGTAGGCGCTGCGTGCTCAGTCAATCAGTCGGGTTTCAGTAGCGGTACGCTACTGAAACACGACCGCTTGACGACGTCACAAAGGTGTCACTCTGTCGACAACCGCGACCTTAGCACGTTCCGAACAACACAGCAATTTGAACAGCTAGAACCATGCTTAGCCAGCTCTGAAGATTCACTCCTATTTTTTTCCGTACACTTGTGTTTGCATAACCTATCATTGAGACACCTAGCAGTCTGACCTATGGGTACATAGCCAGCACCACATCTCACACGGATTTCACGAACAACTCCAAGGTTACAAGCCACCGACGGTTCTCTCTGCTTCTTGCTGCACTTTACACTTTTTTGACGAAAAGGGCCTTGAACTGTCCAAACAAAAATTTGGTTCTCGCAAACGCCTTTAGGTTATAGGAAACTGTATGGGAGTAAGGCAGGCGGTATGTAAACCAGCATGAGAGCTTTATTGCAGCTGACTTGGGGGACCGTGTATGCGAGTTTACCGAAGGCGTCTGGCGGACAACCTTGTTCTGATGCTTGCTTTGTCGTGTTTCAGGAATGGGTCCCCCCTTCATGGGTCCAGGGTGAGTACGCTTCGTCCGACGACGTGCACGCATCAGGGTTCCTTTGTGCAAAGTATCACCGCTTAGTATAATGCGTAAGTAGGGGAAAAAACTACGAGAAACCCCGATGGTATTTTTAATGTGGAACGCGTTTGGGGACCGGGATCGCGGAGGAAAGTGTGACTTGATGTCACAGTAAAACCTTCACAAAAAACTGTCACACGCTCGCGTAATTTAGCGGACAGCGTTCACGTGACGTCTTTAGCACGAGTCGCACAACATTGTGACCTCACGTAACACTGCGTGACGTGACACCGCGTTCGTGTTGCACTGCCCCAGTCTCCAGACTTTATCTGTAGGATTGAAATTCGCTAATCTTTTTTTTTACGTTCATTCACTAAGGATGAACAAACTTGGGCGGCCTTTCCGGCAGTTGTTCCTTTTTCCGCCGTGGCCGATGCGTGAATTTTCATAAGTTCTACTTAGGCAAAACAGAGTTTTGCGGCGATGAGTTGATTGTTTTCGTAAGTAATTAACGCTTTTTTTTTCGTTATTGTTGTTCGTGCACTGAAATTTAAAAGCATGCAATATCACGAAAAGCCAAGGGGGGTGGGGGGGATATCTTATATTTTTGACGAGCTGCTAAGTAGCGGAGTTTGGGAACCGCGATTTACAGTGCATGCCGAGAACACTCGACCCCTTCCCGGGTTCCTCGCAGGGGAATGCACCCAGGGGCAATGCCAATGATGGGGGGACTGCTGCCACCTCAACCCCAGGTGGCACCAGCGCCGGCCAAGCCGCTCTTCCCCGCTGCTCAGGTGGGTGGCACAATCAGATTCAGTTTGCTCGGTTTTCAAACGTCTGTGCATTGCAACGCCATATGACACCCTCGGTTGGCAGGCCCTTGCGGACGTCTGCCAATTCGAAGTCTCTTTTTGACTCCGACATTGGCGGTGTCATGGTCAGTCATTGGCGCTGTGGGACGCTATGTTGATCGTCTAACTCGGCTAGAGCTACATCGAATGAGCTACCAAACTTCGCTAAAGCGTCACGACGGGTCAAAAAGAGGATCTCGCGTGCGGACAGTTATGACAAGAAAGGTCCAGTTGACTTGCCGCTACGTTTTGAGTCATTTTCTTAGATTGAGTTTGTCTTAGGCATTGCGTCCATGTTCCACGATGAGTGCACAATTGTCTTCGGCTCCACTTTTGCACTTTTGTTTGCCTCGTCAATGGGCGCCTTTACCTCGGGAGGCTATCGAGTCTTGCGTGTCGTCCCTTCTTCCAGATAATTTCTGAAAGCAACGAACTAGGGGACTGTAGAAGACAAATTGTTAGGGCATTGCGGTAGATTTTCTTTTTAGAAGAACAAACGTCGCCGGAGCCTGTGCAGCATCTCCGACCATACTAGTGTTCCTCTAACCGAGACCGGGTCCTCCAGGCCCGCGTGCCCCCTCAGGCGGTGACGACCTCGGCCCCGCCGGCAGCGGCCCCCAAGCCCACCTTCCCGGCCTACAGCACCTCATCCCCCGGCACTCCATCGGGTATGTGCCATTGGTGTGACGTCACATGTCGAGCGACTTGCGACTTCATTGGGCAGTCTAGAAAGTGTGGTATTTTGCACGTGCCCGAGCCCTCGCAGAGATGAATGCGATGAAATACAGCCTCGGTAAACACGGACGAAGAACGAGGAAGGAACGTCCGTGTTTACCGAGCCTGTATTTAAATATTTCTCGTTCTTCGTTCATGCTTACTGAGGCTGCATTTCGTCGCGTTTGACTGTTACCACCTGGCGCATATCACGACCCCTTGCAGAGACAAGTTCTGGGACCAGCAAGGCGGTTGTGTCGGCACCGCCGGACATCAAGAAGCCCACTCTGATTGCATCTGCGGGGGCGTCGAGCAGAATAGTGCACCCCGAGGAGGACATCTCGCTGGTAAGTCGTCGGGAGCATGAAGTTCATCCAATAACCTAAAGGCAAAGATCTCACGCATCGACTTCGGAACGGTGAGACAATCACAATTTCAGCTTGTGTCCAATCTCGCTTCGCCGTGGTGCTCGATTCGTAGCGGACGGTCAACTTTTCTTTCCGATCTGTTAGCAAACAAGGTACGGTTTTTTCTTCTTTCCGCGAATGGCGCTTTGAAGCAGACAAATGCGTTCCTCACTCGTGCCAACGGACAGGCGGTCTACGAGCCTTACCTCGGCACGCTCCGCGTGACGCAAATTAGATTTTGCTCTTGCGGCGATCAAAATTGGAGAGCAACGTCAGGCCCCCCCTCCCCTCTTTATTTTTTTGGAAAGACCGGATTCGAGAGACTGAGTTGCGGGCGTGTCGTTTGGTCGGCAAGTGTATTGGGTTGCCGGCAAGGCGTGTTCGATCGGACAGGACCGTAACGGCGCCTCGCGTTTGCAGGAGGAGCGGCGTCTCCGGCTCCCTCCCTACCAGGCATCAGAGGACAGCTCACCCAAGCCCACCGCCGTCAATGGGGTGCCACCCATGCGCACCCCAGCACCCCTGCCCCCAGGTGAGAGCTGCCACCTCGGCCACCCCCCTCCTTCCTCTTACCTTCCCCGGGCAGCACGCCGGAAAAACGTCCAACTTGGCCCGAGTTTGAAAATACGGGGGCCCGATCCGGGCCTAGCAAGGTTCCACTCCGAGGCGTTGGTCGGGGCTGAAGTAGTTTTCCATGGCATTGCTCTGGTTCACCCCACAATTGCCAAAGTGCCAGACATGATCCAAAAATGCCAAGGACCAATTGAAAGAGAACCCGAATTCCGGCATTGCTTCGGGAACTGAGAGCCAAAGAAGCAGGGCGACAACCAAGCAGCCAGGTAGTGAAGCCCAAGTCGGGCTTGGGTTTTTGTTTGGCAGTTTAGGGCAAGGATACCCAGGCTCGGGCAAAAAACGTCAAGTTCAGTCATACTTGGACCTTTTCTTGCGTTTTCGGGGCCCTAAATTGCTAGACAAAATCCAAAAATTGGCCCAAAAAAACCTTCTTACCCTGGTCACTTTTTTTTTTGCGGCACTACAATTAGCAGAATCTACCAAAATTCAGAGTGAGGCAAAGGAAATTTAATGTTTCCCAAGGAAACAAAACCGCCATGCCTGAATGTGGTATATCGGAAGCAATACTACCTACAAGGCAAGGCCTTTGCACTAAAGGTGAATGTGGCAGACGCCGTTGAACGACTTGGCCGGACGCGGCCCACCGGAAGTGCAGAGACGTCTGGTGACACCGCCCTTGTTGGCTCTTGCAGCCGGCCTGGCACCCGGAGCGCCGCCTGGGGTGCCCGTGCGCCATCCCGGCACGGCCGCAATGGCGTTCCCGCCGATGGTGGCGCCCCCCATGATGCCCCCGCGGCCCTTCTAGCGCACACCCCACCCCCTTCCGCCGGGGTCGACGAAGGCGTCGTTGTGCTGGACCAGATAAGTGTGTTGTTTGTGGCCGGCACGGGCGGGGCTCTCTCCGGAAGTACCGTAAGTGGGCCGTCCCAGGGAGAGAATAAAGCGTGTCTGTACCCCGGCTCTGCGCTCTCTCTGTGCTCCAGCAAAGGTAAAGGCGGCCGCGAGTGGCAAGAAGCGGGGGACAGCGCAAGGGATTTGGGGGGTGGGCCTCCGACACTCCACTGCACGATCGTCTGCGGGGAGCCGCCACTCCGTTGCCCAATGCGGGGACGGGGCTTTGGGGGGTGGGGCAGATGCAATAGACCTTTCGCCAAATTATCCGAGCCTGTGTTTGACGAAATGTCAGAAACCGGGTCAGAAACTCGAAGAGTGCAAACTCTGCCTCTTTGCAGCGGAGTCGACAAAAACTAAGTACAGTTCGCAGCTCGACGTTGAGCCATAACTGAGAGTAGGAGTGTCTAAGCTCTGCTCTTGTGTTGACAAACTGCGGTCTGATTCGAGCAAGTTCGCTGCAGTCATTAGGTACAGTCATTCCCGATAGCGTACGTCTTTTTTTTGTTGTGGTGGTTCCGATTCACTGATCGCATTAACCGTAGACTAAAGCTCGGGCATCGAATCTCAAGTTTTACGATTCAAGCACCGAAACTATGAAGCTTGTGGCATTGCAGAAAGCCAGAGCAGGGGGTTGCAAAACAATATTTAATGTTTTCGATGGGTCGCGGGTTAACGTGAGTTTGGGAGGCGTTGACCAAAGCGTCCAGGAGTACGCCGAGAACAAAGATACATGCGCCGCCGCGCGCTTGCCTTGTTTGTCCTAGAGATTCGTAGTAAATGACGCGTTTCTTATTTAGGGGTTCTAGCTGGGGCCGCTGGATTTCCGTGGGGTGCGAAGGTTGTCCTACACAGACTTACCGTTGCTCAAAGGTGCGAGTGTCTGATTGATGTCTTCAAAACAAACGCTGTTCCATAGAGATTTTGGAGCCAGGATGCGTTTACTTTCGAGTAGTTAATCGTGAATTCACGTTGGAGGCTCGGAAGTCGCTGGTGATTCAAAGTTGACATTGAAAGTGAAGGCGATGCACCAAGCAGTGTGAAGTGTTCCTGCATGTTTCGGCCGGACGTCTGCGTAAGGTCTATGAAGCTCGGCTGACACCCGTGGCTTTACTTCGCCTTCCAACTAATTAATGAGTGCTATTCCCTCCAGGAGGCTCTGTAAGATATCATGCTTTCTGAACATTTAGTGGCTCCACGGTATGGGGTTGCAGGGTCACGGTGTCTGAAGCCAAGGTTTGGGACTGCAGGGTCTGGGGCCTTGACGCGCCAAAGACACAAGCAACGAAGACCGTCGTCACGCAGCGGTTGCCACAGCAACCGTCGCGCGCAACACCCGTCGTCGTTGCTCGTGTGCCTTTGCCTATGTATCGTGCAGTAAAGAATTTTCGCAGTGCATTTTAAGAAGTCGTTATGAATTGGCTAGATATAGTTTTGTAAGGGGTCCTCGAAATAATTATTCACGGGCCCTTAAAAGCTCTCAAAAACTCTCGAATTTTTTTCTTAGAAGTCTCTACAAACTTTGCTCGAATCATAGGTCCAAGGTACAAAACCATGGGGGCCTGGGACCGCGCGTAGGACACGCGGGGTCCCAAACCATAGGGCCGGAATCGCAAATCCTCGCTTCTTGCCACCAAAGCCGGCCGTTACGACCCCATCTCTGCATGCATGTTGGGAACGGGGTTGCCGACGCTTCCGCCCCAAGGGAGCAGGCCCACGGCAGAATGGTACCGTCCATTTTCAGATCCAGCCACGGGCTTTTGAATCCTCGTTTGGCGACTTCGAGCTTCGGTTGAGCCCTTCCCGTAGCTTTCGATTCCCGCGGAAACCCACTTCTTTACAGGTTGTGGCTCGTGCCCGACGGCGGCGCCATCTTTTCTTGCGACGGTCATTGCCCGGTACCGTACGCTACGCACTTAGCATAAGCATGACATCCACACACTTCCCCCATTGGAGAAATACATTCTGGTGTCAGACGCGGAAATTTTATCACATTGGCCGGGTGCCTCGCACGACCACTTTCTGCTGCACTTTTGCTTACTGGGGAACAAGCAGGGATTGTATGCTTGCGCTACCTGCGTCACACCTTACCCTTAAATTTCCACTAAAGGACAGTTTTTTTTTTTTAGTTTTGTTTTTGCAGTGATGAAATTTTTTTTACAATAATAGAATAGAATTATTTTTTCTATGTGTATATACGCTAACATAAATCTCTTGGACAAACCCAGACAGGTGTGGCATGCAATGCTGCCAGGCTAGAATGCAAGAGGAAAGCTTTTCGTTTCATTATTTGTGTATTTTGCCAAAGTTTTCGTATCCCGCTGGTGCGTTTGTCAGATTTTTTTTTTCTTTTTTCAGATGACAAAACTGTGACGAGGGAAAGGTAGGGGGTTACGTACGCCCGGTCTCTCGCCGTCACGGTATTTTCACATCTTTTTTTACTTCCACAGTGTGAGCAAACTCGGTCAGCCACAGATCACGTAAATGTATTGCACCTAAATTGGGGGTCACCAAATACCAAAGGAGCCATTGGTGGGAGTCATGAAACAGATGAAAGAATAAACGAGGGAGGGAGGTCTTCAGTAAGATGTGCCCGTGTCGTCCCTTGTCTCGCTGCTCATTCATTCGTCTGTTTCGTGGCTTCTCGTCTTTTTGACGGTATTGTGATGCCTGCTTGAATTTTCGAAGAAATATCCTCGCAATATATTTTATGGCTATCGATAAGGAATGGTTTTCTCTTTGCTGGAATGTGGTACCCAAACTCCCTTCGATCGTATATGCTTTAAAGGGCAACTCCGCCTCATTTTTGTTTCTGAAAAAGCAATGCAGTCCTCTTTAGTGTCACCTTGGAAGACCACGGGTCGCACATTACGACCTAGTTTTGTCTAAGATAGTCCGCAAACTTTGGGACGCGCCAAGTTGCCGAAATTGGTTGACTCTAGCCGGTGAATTGGGGCGCAGTCAGGGCCACGGTGTTGGCTTAGCCAACATTGAGCTAAACATTGTCAACATTGCTACTTTTTTGTTTGTTTTTAATTATCCAAGCAAGCGTAACGGATGACGTCGGCAGCGTCTCCTCTCAGCGTTGGCTTGGCAACATCCTAATGATTGGCGTAACGTGCCTGCTTAGCACATTTCTAAGCCCTGGGAGCCGTCCGGCCACCTCACCATTTTTCCGGTTGCAATTATCGTCTCGGAGTTTTGTTCACACTACGTGCGCAGACTGATGCCGCAGTCGTGCGGGCGTCAGACTTTGTAGGCACCAAAACGTGGTGTAAACTGTGGTGCAGACGATACTTTCGCCTTGCACGCGCCCGCCCCAACGGTGGTCCACTGGGCCCACCCGGATCCTGCCTGTAATCGTGCAGAGGATCACGTGAACGCTCGTACCACGTGGTAGCCATGTTTTTGACGGCCTGAGGCCAATCTTGCCCGACAGAGCTGAAGTTTCAGTTTCTGATCGTGTTTAAAGTAAGATTTCACGGAATATATCCCATATTTCGCGAAGCAAATGACGTTCTGCCTTTTATTAGCACTTTCTAATGTAAAATCACTCATAGTCCAGAAATTTTCGGAATTAAGCGGAGTTGCCCTTTAAAGAAATGGAAAATGCAAATGTCGGCAAAATAGGATCAGGGACGGAAATATGGTGTTCGAAATATTTAGCGTCCTGCACCTCCCGTGCCAAGTAGAATGGATTACTTCACAGTTCTCTAAAGAATGACTCGGACGGTTCGCGTCAAGGTAGCTGAATGCAAAGGCGACGGTACAGCAGACAAGATAGGCATGGCCATTGCTAGAACAACGGTCTAAATTTGTGGCAGTTGCAGTCTGAATGGCGTGGTTAGCTTGCAGGTTTGCTGCAGCTGAACTGGCAGTTGGCAGATTGACAGGCAAGCTACAACTAAGCGGGTGGGATAAAGCTGAAGAGGAAAGTTGCAGCTGAACAGGTAGGCTGTAGGTGAACAGGCAAGCCATGGCTGAGCAGGAATCTGGGAAGGCAAAGCTGAACTGGTGTGCTGCAGCTGAAAAGAGAGGCTACAGTTGAACAGGCAAGTTGCCGCTGAACAGGCATGCTACGGGTGAACAGAGGCTACAGATGAACAGGCAAGTTTCAGCTGAATAGGAAGGCTATGGGTGAACAGAGGCTATAGATGAACATGCAAGTTGCAGTTGAATAGGAACAGGCAACTGGGAAGGAAGGCAAGGCTGAATGGCAGGCTACAGCTGGAAAGAGGTTACAGTTGAGCGGGCAAGGGACGGCTAGTCGGGCAGGCTATAAATGGGCAGGCATCTGTCGTCCTCCCCTTCACCACTGAGTGTGTCGGTAATTTGGAAAGCAACTTACTGCGTTGCAACAATCTGAGGTGGCGTACACACGTGAAATCACCAGGCCGCGAACCAAATGGGTGCACGTGAACACGATGTCGGGAATATGCTTCGGGTACCATATCCCATGGGTAGAAAAGACAGGGTTGTTAGGTATGTGATAAACAGATGGCTAGTTTATGCGAAGCTCTGCAGTTGGTGCTACATCTACCGAACAGTCCTAAGTCACCACACCATTTCATTTCCCAGAAATGACTGGACTTCTGAGTTGGTCGTCTATGGTCACATGATGTTGAACAATCAAACCTCACGGGAGGCTGCGCCCAGAAGTCTACTTTCGGGTTGCGGTGCGCGGATGCAAAACAGGTTTTATCAGGGCGCATTTTCGGGCAACTTGTTTTCGTGTTCAGAGGTTGGAATTCCGAAAGTTGATTGAAACGGCTGGCTGGAGTTTGCTTTACACAGACGTGCATTGGCTTCGTGCGATATCGGCTGCATGACCCCGAGACCCTCACCAGACAGCTTTGCATTTTGAGTGTTAGACACGGTTTGGTCGGTCGGAGGAATGGATGTTTCGTGCGTGGCGTGATGTGGAAACATTCCTCGTTGGGTGTGGACATTGCCTACGCACGTAAACACCAATTATTTTGAATACTCGACTGATTTGCAGGTTGTTGCCGCTCGTTGCACGGGGCATCGTAACAGAAGTCGGACACAAGCAGAAATGGGGAATGTAAAAGTGTAAACTTGAATGCAACGAGCCAAAAGCTAATGGTCTTTTAACGAGAGTTCTGTAGCTTTTACTTTTAGACAACGGTTGACAGCTGCTTTGTGAGGCCAGTCGCACTAGTTGCCAACAGGGCAGCGAATACATCTTACGTTGGAACCTCATTATAGTTCGATGAGCCAAGCAGAATTGCGGCAGCAGCAATTATTACAACTATCAGAAATAGTTCACACACCACCGTTGCTGCTCTTATCACCATGGCCCGTCTGGACTACTTCAGCTCTGCTTCCCCGTCGATGCCCCAATTGCAAGCATCGATGCCAGTACCTATTCCTGCACGTCACTTACCAGCGTCGATCATGTATTGACATCTGGCAGCATGCTGTCAATATTGGTTATCGCTTGCTAGGATTGATGTTTACATAGACCAAAATCAATCATCACATGCTCTATCGTTAGTCATCACTTGTGCCAGTATCAATATTCAAATATGCCAGTATCGATCGTCACATACACTGTCAGTATCAATGCCGGTATCTACACGAACTTATGCCACTATAGACCATCTCGTGTTCCAGTATCTGTCAATGTACGCCAATATTGTTTGTCCTATATCAAGCCCTCGTTCTTGATACTTGTCATGATCGTCACGTGCCAGCATCCATGCATGCTAGTATAGATTTTCACATATGATACTTTGTTTCCACAAATTGCCTACATCTAGCCTCAATTGTTGACGTAGCCAGACCTCATTTCGTACAAGTTTGAGAGTACCATTCGCATAACTTTGATCCAAGGAACCTGTCATTTGGATTTTGCAAAAGGCCCTTCTTCGTTTAGAGCCAAGGATTTCTCACATATCTTACAGTGGGAAACGTTGCCACCTGCAAGTCCTACAGCTTACCAGTGCGCGTCTTTATCAGATATTCCTCCAAGTTCTTAGAAGTTTTTATTTTAGGTCACATTTGTTCATGTAGGCAGGAGGTGGAAAGAGGAGCAATAGGGGTTAGTGCAGCTAGGGTCGTTGGAGGCGCCAGTAATGTTGTCCAATTTTGCTGACGCGGAAAGGCAAGGTTGCAGAACCGAAAGTTAGATTTTCAGTGGTAAAGTCGGCTGTACTGCCCTCTGGCCAAGAAAATGGTAGCACATGGAACTTATAACCTTGTTATTGCGGGTTACAGATTCCCTAAAAGATTGTGCTGGGATGAACGGGTTGTAACTCTCACTGGTGATTTTGGAGTACATATGCGGAAGATCATTTCATTCTATAGAAATCTGACTGAAGACAAACCTCCAGTGGCCTTGTATAGGATATTTGGTGGTTCCAGGCGGCAGATACAATGCATTTGTGAGAGCTGCACAACAGTTTTGCAGATTGCGCACTCGCGCCATGCGGGACACAACAGTCTTTTTGTAGGTCGCACAATAATTTGTGGCACAATAATTTTGCGCAAAATTCGCTGTAGTGACACCGGAGACATGCAGTAGCTCGACAGGGGGGAATGGCACGTTTAGGAGACGCACTTTCCCCTCGTGAAAACCGCTCGGTTTGCCACAGCACGTGGACCTTTGCTCAAGGGGGGGGGGGCGGGCGGGCGGGCGGGCTAGGATTAGGGACTGGCCGTGTTTTAGATGCCGTAGCCGTACTAGGGGTGGGACGCCGAGAAGGGGGTAGCCGTTTGAGGGCACGGTGGTGACGGAGGGCCCCTCTTGTCCCCCCTCAGGCGGAGGGAGCCTTGTTGGGAGGTCCTGGCCGGCACCCGCCCTGACTCTGTTCACTGTATGTATGCAGGAGGCAAGTGTTTCTCTCGGGGCCGCCCCTTTCACAGCGCCCATCGCTGTTGGACCCCCCGTCCCCAACCCCGGCACAGTGGGGTTCGGCGAAAAGGCGGCCCACATCACTCCTTTGGGGGGGTGTCCTTTGGGGAGTCCTTTGGGAGAGCCCTTGGGAGCCCTTTTGGGGGCACTGCATGGAGTCGAGGGGACAGGGGGCCACCCGACCTCGGACGCCGGGCTACGGGTTCCTGGCCGGAGGCGCTCATTATTGCGAAGCGCTTTGTTTGTGAAAGGTTCCCGAACGGAGTGTCAGGACCTTTGGATTGGCGCAATATTATTGCCGACGACTTAACAGCGTAGTGCATTTTGTTCCCCTAAATATTGTGGGCCGGGACTAATCAAATGGCTGGCTAGTGAAACTTCTCTGTAGTAAAAACCGGTGTGACAAAGGCAGTGGGCGTCACTTGGGTCAGTGGCACCCGGCGTGGTTAGTCAAAAAGTAAGGTGACGGGAGTTCTCATGGGCGTCGTATTCCTCCCCTCGTTTGAATTTCCCGTTAGGGCCGCAGCCGGAGACTATGGCTCTATGCAGGGGCGGATTCAGAGGGGGGGGTCCGGATGTCCTGATTCCCTCTTGAATTCTGCGTCTGTAAAGCTTCAGGGCGTGCAAATGAAAAGGGGGGGGGGGGGGGGGGGTCTTAATCATATTGTACGCTGCCAACACCTGACCCCCCCTTCAAGAAACACCTGCGTCCACCCCTAGCTCTATCGAGCAGCCGTTGAATGGCGCACATGTTGCGTCGGACCCTCGCAGCATCAGTTCCAAGATGGCTACGCTCCCAGAAACACGGTCAAATGTGGAAGTGCCTAGTGTAATTGGGTTTTTGCATCTAAAGGTCATCTTGCCAGCAGAAGTTCATCGTCGGCTCGTTTCGATGTATGGTGCTTATGTCGTGTCATGAAAAACACATAAAAAATGCAACAAAAAAAAACACAAAAAAACACGCCGTTCGTATGTTTGGCTAACAGCACGCAAGCATTGTTACGGCGCTGGGGCATCCTCCTCTACAGCCCCGACCTGGAACCCAGTGATTCTTGTCCCCTCGGAGTTTTAAAGAAGCACCTGGGCGGTAGGCGATGTACGACTGACGCGGAAGTTCATGCCAGCTTCGGGGACTTCAACATGGATTTCTTCTGCGTCTGCGTCGGTGCATTGTGGGAACAAATGTTTGGACAAGCATGGTGACTATGTTGATAAGTAATGTGCACCAGTGACATAGTACTGGTGCTACGCCCATGGAATGAAGTTTGTCCGTGGGAGCTCTCGTGACCTCACTTTTTGGTTAACCCTCATATAGAGCCAACTCTAGGTATACTTGTAGCACTGGCTTAGCCTTTCGAGGTAATGTGGTAGCGAAGACAATCTTTCCCATGAGAAGCCGACGTAGCTGGGGTAGGAAAATTTTATTGGCAGCATTTATAAATGCACGTTTCATCTGCAAGGGGAAGGGGGGGGGAAGCTGATGTGCAGAGTTGCATACGAGGCACTGAGGATCTCAACTCTTGAAAGTGGTCATGATTAGGATGAGAATGTGCTCATCTGATGCATGCATGCTCTTCGAGCTTGGAACTACTAGAGCAGTGCAAACAAATGTATGGCGTACTGCAGTGCCGCCATTGCCATTTCCACTAAAAAGTGCCAGGCAATGAATGTGCAATTGAAGGAAGTGTGTACTCCCGTTTTTCTTTTGGGGGTGCGTGGAAGTGGGAAGGTCAGACTGAGGGAACTCATATTTATAAAGGACTGCACATGTTTTCTCCATTAAAATGGCCACCATGATATTTGAAGGCCACATGCAAAATCAAGCGGCATCCAACATGACCATCGCATTTTTACGACAAACTCTACTATTTACGACAACGAATGACGCTTAGCTTTAAAATTTAAGTACAACTCAAGCCATGAACGTTCATCACTTCTCTTGAAGTTGCGTACTTTTGTTAAACTACAAAACAGACAGGTTTAAAATTAATGACCGCCTTCGGCCACGATAACGAAAGAGCCGCGTCGACCACGGTGCCACCGTCGACTGTACAGGGTGTCCGGGGGCTGGGAGGACTGCAAGCTTGTTTGGACCCTGGGTTTGGACCCTGGAATTGCCCTCCATCCCCCCCCCCCACAGCATGCAGGGGCTTTGTTCTCCTCTGGGTGGCGACGGACGACGGCGACGAAGAACGACACACTTCACCGGCTGCAAGCAGGACGGCCGACGGCTCGTTGTATACGCCCGGCGACAATAATAAAAAAAGTCCGGCAACGAGGCTCACAGCTTGCCCGCGAGGACGTTTCTGGCCATCTGTTCGGCTGCCTGGGGGGCGTCGGCCGGAACCTGCAAACAGGATTGGTCGATCTTCAGAGGGAGAGCCACCGACTGGTTCGCCAGAACCCCCTCCCGATTTCCCTCGCGGGAAACGGGGCTCGCTGACGAACTGTTTGCACGGGCGGCTCTTTCGCGAATTGAAAGCGATCGAATGTGAAGCGTACGGTTCAGATGCAGGTATTGAATGTACTCGTTTCTTTTGCTTTGCTGCTCGGGCTGGGCTAGGTTCCCTCGAAACGACGGTTGGCTCATAACTTTGCGTAGCATGAAACGAGTTTGTTCGACAGCTGCAGTTCGTATTTACTTCTATACTCCGCGACAACTTTTTTTGGCAATGCAGTGGAAGGTACGTCCCGCGTCCCCTCTCCCATTTTGAGTATGCGCGGGCTCTCCTCCTCTCCCCGGAAGTGGGGAGAGGAGGAGAGCCTACCTACACTCAAAATGGGAGAGGGGACGCGGGACGTACCTTCCACTGCATTGCCAAGAAAAGTTGTCGCGGAGTATAGTCGTCATCGAGAGTTACCGGGCGGTGTCGCGCGTCGGGAATCGCACTCAAGCTACAGCGAAGAGATCGCCAATGATGGCAGCGGGAAGCCACTGTTCCACTCCCGGCGTCGGTTACAATCGCAGAAATCAGCTTTTGGACGCGAGCCGCAAGGTCGGCGTCATTTCGAGTGGCTCGGGTTCCTACCATGTGCCCGGCCTTGAGCATCCAGAAAAGAGCGAGGTTCTTGTAGGACTTGTAGAAGGCGGCCGTGGCTCCGTCGACCAGCAGCACTCGCTTCTGGGCCCCCCGGAACCCCGTCATGCCAGGCCAGTTCAGTCGGTCCAGCCACTGGAGGGTGCCTGCAACCGTTCTTGGCCGAGTCCAGTTTCTTTTTGACATTGATCGCCCGGCACGAGTTAGGTCGCCATAATAAATTCCGAGCCAGACGTGTCGCGCGAGAGTGGGATGCGGCATCAAACGAGGCTCGTAGCAACGAACGGCACCCAAAAACGATCTTGGGGATGCACCGTACTAAAGTCGCGGTCGTTGCGGTACACTGCGTCGATTTTTTTGCGCTACGTACGTTAGGACCAAGGCACAGTGCCAGAACTGCAAGGAACGCCACTAACTACTGCCGCTAACAGGGTTAGCTTTGGGGGTGAGGGTAAGAAGGAGGCACGGTAAACTTCCTCTCTTTCTCCTGCATATGATGCAGCAACACTTCGTGAATAGCATTTCCGTGTTTTTTTATGTGGCCAGAGGACGGTGTGGGACAGAAAATTCGCCACGAATGCTGCGTCAGCGTTCGTTTCGAGATTCACATTCAGTCGATGACAACGCTATTCCCAAGTGAATGTTGACACGGCACTCTGGTCTAATCTGCGCTCTGCATCGGTCTCCAGAAGATAATGTAGACAATCCAGCTGAGTGTCTTTGCTATTTAGGTGTGGGTTGCAGTTGACAGTTTTCTCTTGGTCAAATAACTGCATTGAAGTTGAAAGAGAAGAGGGTGAATTCTCTCATACATTTCCCCTCTTGCCTAGAGCATTGCTGTGCCGGAACACTGTGTTAGCTATTCGCCGACTTCCCGAGCTTTGTGCGTAAACATCTGCAGAGGCCATCATTTAACATCCGGATTTATCTTCGGGTCAAATAGAGTTTGCCAGCTGATTGCGCCGTCGTTGAAATCCACCGAGCCATTTGACCTGAAGTGGAACATGGATGAACGCCATGTGCCCTAGATATTGCATTAAAAGACGGTGCACTTATGCACCACAGCGGTAAATCAATTCTAGGGGCTGCCTGGTGCAGCATTCACTTGAACCTAACACTGATGCAGCGATGTTCCACTAATATAACGCAAAAATAGTGCCTACTCGGCAAGGTCAATGCCATTTCCAGTACTGACTACCAGTGCTGAGGTATGTGTGAACAGGCCTTGGAACCACCTTCTCCCAAGAAACCGTAAAACGACGCTTGGAAGCCCGTCAACTGATGGCGGAGAAACCGTAAAACGACGATTGGTGAACTAAAAACGGCTATGCCTTGACTATCGTTCTAAAGATCAAGTGACAATCATTTCGGGCCATCGGCTTTACGGCAGAAAGAGCTTTGAGGGCAACGTTCCCGTGTCAAGTATATTGGTGATTTTTGTCTCGTGTTTTTCGCCTACTCTCGCGGCTTGGTCTTTCGTCGCCAGTCGCTGTGAATATCCGATTAGCTCGGGAAAACCGGTGGGCAAACCTGCCGCTACGGCTTTCTGTTCCAGCCGCTAGGTGCCGTCGATTTCGTGGAAGTTGTCAATACTCTCGGATGGGTATGCTGGGTTGTGCCAAGGTCGCGCGGTGGTGGTGGAACACTCACCGAGGGCGTCGACGATGAGATCCAGCTGGCCTCCGTAGACCACCACACGGATGTCGGTCTCGTTCAGCAGCCTGTCCACTGCGCACGTTGTGCCATAAGGACGTGAGCCCCAGCAATACAGGGCCATGTAAGAAAAAGACCTCGTCTCTCGCTCGTTGCAGTAGCATATGCGGGGCCTTTTGCATTGCATTCCTGCCTGTATATTGGCAATAATACTTTATTATTCCGTGCCTCTGTACGACCGAAGGCTCGATACAATGCACAAGCATTGAAACAATGTGGACAACACAGATGGGAGAATGATATGGTTGTAATGGGTAAAGCAAAGTTTTAAGTTTGTGTTTGAAAGAATTTGTAAAGGCATCTGAATACGTATTTGGTGAAATGGCGTTGAAAAACATTTGCAAGCGGGTGATCGGACACGTCTTTTCCTGAGAAGGATAAAACAATGGAGTGTGCTAAAATGCAGAGGCGCACGAAAGTTCAGGGTGTAGCAAGCCGCTATGCATTTGTTTGTGTATTCAATGTGACAGTAAAACACCTAATGACAAAACATTTAGTATTCTTAGCTTGAAGGGAGTATGAAACAAGCTGCCAGTGAGGAAATGGACAACCTTTCTTTACCGGTTCAGCGTGTCGTGACTAGGCTCATGTTTTCGGATAAAACCGAGGAAATCACCAAAAGGCTTGACTGGTAATATTTTCGTCCATTCAGATCAATTCGAGGAACTGCACTTTAAGGGGCACTCAAGTGCTTTCTGTAGAAGCTTGTTTTCAATGGCATATTGTTTGTTGGGCTTTAGTCAATAAAAATGACCAGTTCTAGATGGCAAGACATCCAGTAGACTCTCAACAATAGAAATACATGGGCACTATTTTCTCTTGGGGGGGGTGTCCCTTTCATTTTGCGTGCAAAGTCTGAATTGGGCAGAATGCGTTTAGTCCGTATATTATTTGCATATGCATACATATTTGTTAGTTTTGTCTCGAGTTAGCTCATACACTTATGGATTGAGCGATAGGACAGGATATTTTCATGATAAATTTAGCGGCCTATTCGTTTAATGCTTTTTCATAACGAACAACTCTGAAAAGGCCAAAATCAGCTGTACAAGACATTCTGCGTTAAAACATGACTGTATATTTCACAGTCTGGCGAGAAGGCAGATTCGGCGGCCGTTGGGAGAGGTCACTCCAGTTTCAAATTTTCGACGAAACCTTTTCTAAATACGAAGAAGTCCCTTTTTAAGCCGTCGGTACTAGCATTCATGGGTAGGTTTATGTGGGGATATTATATTTTTATTCATAATTTCCGAGAATTAAGTTTTAATTTATTTACTGCAATATCTTTGGAGCGTTGTAGGCAGTGCAGAGGGAAGACGAATAAATGTGGCAAAAGGGAGAAAAATAGAAAGTAAGTGCAGTTGTGGAACGCTTGTGCAGAAATAATTATTAACGGCAGTTTTATACAAATTTAACGAGGGTGTTGGTACTAATGATTTCGGCAGGTGATCCCACTCTGATGATGTTCCAGGCACGAAGGAATTGTCATAGGCTCTGGTCTGACAGTGAGGAATGGCAACTTGGAGCTTGCAATTGACGCATTGAGAAGATGTTCTTCTAGGTAGGATTAGTAGGATACATAGTTTGTAAAAAATACGGACCTTAAGAAGAAATAGAGCCCAAATTTTTTAATAAAAGAAAACCTAATAAGCTCTTCCCAAAAAGCTTTTCACTCTTTCCACCTTAGCAAAGCAAACGCTGGACACAAAATGAGTCCCTGCTTGCCTCCTCTCTGGCGTTTGCTCCGCCGAGGTGGAGAGAGTGAAAGGCTTTGTGGGAGTAGCTCGTCTCACTTTCCTTTGCCCACAACAGAGAAGGGTTACGACGAAACGACCACTGGTTCCCGCGGTGCGGTTTCTCTCTCGACTGTCAGCTCACGCCAAACAGGAAGTGCTTCCCTCCTCTCGTGCGCGGTGCGTGTCGTCGTCTCACCTGTGGCGACGGCGGGCAGCAGGAAGTCCTCCTGGAGGTGTTCAAACACTCCCGTGGACTGGCCTGCAAGAGGGGAAGGCCAAACAATCGAGCGGCATTGGCTTTCCAATGTGAACGCGAAAAAGCACAAATTCAAACATCGACGCTTGACAGACGACCGAAGGACGGGGCCACGGTGCCAGACTCGGGGGCCGGAGTGGGGCGCTGATTTGGCTCGAGCACCGTGTCGACGTCCAGCCGAGGTCAGCATTAGATCGGCAAAAGGCGCGAGAATCCCCGCCAGACGTCGACGCGATGCTCGTGTCGAACGTGCGACCCATGCCGGTGGACGGTAGGGGACGTAGAAACGACGGGAGGGTTGGGTGAACACACTACAAGTGAAATCTCATTAGTTTGAACTTGATGGGGCCAAAACTTTGTTTGAATAATGCAAAGTTTGAATTACCGGGAGTTTCCTTCCTAGGAACACATAGGACGGGTCCTACATGTGAGTTTGAATCATCCACCAGTTTGAATTAACGAGATTCCACTGTACTTCACTTCACCGTAACTTGGCAAAGGGGGACTGCTACAAAGTCGAAATGTGGGACGGCCCCCGCCAAAGGTGCGAGAATGAGGGCGTTACCCGAGCGGTTGGAGAATGGGGAAAGGAGGAACTCCCCTCTTACCCGGACCTTCTGTGCGTCCCGGACGTCGCTTTCGGCTCCCTGGGACATTAGCCCGTCGCTCGAAATTCTTACGAAAGTGGCCGTCCTCTTCCTCCCGCCTGTGGTTTCGACAGCACCGCACAACCGGCGAGATAAGAGTATTGTTGAGTGTCTCTTTCCGACGCGCCGATTGGCTCGCCAGGACCGTAGCCTTCGCCGTTTGCCAAGTTACGGCGAGAGGAGCGACTCGCAGTGACTGGATGTACTCACCCCCCCAGGAGACGTTGGCCGGGATGACGCTTAGCTTGTCTCTGATTGGCCCGTTCATGAGGGCAGAGAGGCTGTCAGCGTAGAGCGGGGCCACGTGGCGCTCGAACGCCCTGTCTGCGGGGAGGCAAAGGCGGTGACGGGCGACGGAGATTAGCAGTGTGGAATGCGCCCACTCTCGCCATTTCCAACGTCGGTGGTTTCGGCATCGATAGCGATGCCAAGCCATCGAAGCTGGAGACGACTCAGCCTCTCATGGCGGTTATGTTTCAGACAAATCAAATCTCGTTTTGAAGTCTCGGGAATAATTTAATACATACAGTATGGACCGGAATGTACAAAGGCTCTCTTAGCCATTATAGTTCCGTTTCAGCTGTTTTCTCGGTATCTTTTCTTAAATTATTTGGGCAACACTTTGGTGTTGCTATCGACGTGGGACACGTGTGCCAGCCTTCAATCGACCACATGACGCTCAAAAGTTTTGCTGTTTCTGCTTGGCTAAACTTTATACCCCGATACTCCCTCCCGACAACAAAAATATGCTTTCGAGTTGCTTGTCTCTAGTAAACGTTGCGTCGTAACTTTGGGAAGGCCCATTTCCGCAGCCTGTTCGAAGAGTGCAACCTGTTTGGCCCATGCGGCACATTCTTAAAATGCGAGCCAAGTTTAGGCGCGCCTCATGGTGTACTCACGCAAGACGTGCCCCTCTGGAAAGGACACGGTACCATGCCCAAACTGCTTGGACTGCTGTGCCAGGATGTTGTACCAATCCACCCCGTTGGTCAACTGAAAGAAGGCTGCACTGAACACTCGCTGAGCAGGGGCGGTCACGAGGTCCATTTGTCGCAGAGAACAGAGGCACAGAACAGACCCTTGAAGACTCGCGTCTTGTCATTCCAATGCAAGACAGGACGGACACTAACAGCATTTTACGTCTGTTGCACCTTATGTTTCTGCATCCTTAAAGGGAAGATGGGGCACTTCTGCATTTGCGAAAAAGCGCTTGAATTGCGTCCATTTGGCCTTTAGAATAACAGATATCGCAATTATGTATTAATGCGACGTGCCGGAGAGCCATAAGAGCAATTTCGAAATAGGGCTGAAGCCCCGCCTCCCTAGCCTTGGGCAGCCAAAAGATCCGTCGGTGACGTCACGTACAGCGACTGTCTTTCGCGTTTTCTCGCGTTTAACAATACTTGCACAGCAAATGGTTTGGGTATTCGGGTTCACGGGTTAAAAAAACACTAGAATTCACTTCTAACTCATTTTTTTCAAGAAGCTCCATAGCTTCCCTTTAAGGCATACTTGTTGAAGGACTGGTCGCACACTACTCGCAGGCTTGACTGTTGTGCCTGGAATGCGTCGCCGCCTGGTGTGTTTACCGACTCTAACTCACCCATGCATTCAAAGCAATCTCGAAGTGGAAACGAATGAAGTTGGCGTGTTACGCTGTCTGATGTTGCGATCCTGGCGGTCGGCGCCTCAAGTCCCGAAAATAAATGCGAGCGTCGGTGTCGTCGCGGAGTCCCGACTCCAGGCTGCCGAGGCCTCCTTGGAGTGAAACTGGAGAGCAACATGCAGCAGAATGGGTGTCTGCTGCAGGAACACCACCAGGGTTGTGGCCGGCGACAACAAGACGCTTTTACGACATCATCGAGCGGAAATCGAGGGACCGCTTTTTGAGACGTGGTAAACACACCAGTGGGAGACGTGTTCTAGGCGCCACAGTCGCAAAGAAAACACCTTGTTAGTGCTCTTCACGGCGTTTCTGTATTACCAACCGACAACAGATGGGCGGACTCTTTTTTTTACACGCGGTCAAGTATCCAGCGAATTGTGTTTGTCACGTCTGCGACCAGTGTCGGTTGCACATTTGCTTACTGGGAGCAGACTGATGGCTAGAGGAAGACTCGATTACCTCGCGGGCGACAAGCTTCGACGAAGACGCGACGTGAAGAAGGAGAGAAGACTGTTTGCGACAAAGAAACGAGTGATTCTGGCATTGTTACTCGCAGCTCTTCCCTGATTTCACGAATGTACCGCTTTTTGTTTCCACACGTTTAACATCTCTGGTAACGATGTAGAAGCCCTATAGTTCAAGGTTCTCATTTTGTAGTTGGAAGAAGCTAAAAGTTGCCGAGTTTACTGCTACACGTGTTTTCCACAATATAAATGAACTTTCTCTTTATCATGTAAGCTGATCTTTGTGACCGAGTCACATGAAAAAAAAAAAAAAGTAACCTTTGAATGCGGTATATTTATGGCTGAAATAAAGGTGAACTGGTGACATGACCAAGAAGAAAAACATGGAGACTAGAAACACCAGAGAGCACGAACTAAAGATCATATAGAATGCAGCTTTGAGAATAAACTTGCCGCCGTGTTTGCAACAGTGTCATGTTTGTTACCCTCTGTGTGTCCCTCGTCTGGGTTTTTCGATTTGAACATACATTCTCATTACTCAATGTCGTACAAAGCGACAGCTGTTAATTTGTGATGAAATCGGTAAGAAACTAGCCAGGCAAAGAAGACCGCTTTGATTGTTGCATCACTATACAATCAAAACGGTAATTACTGGCCCAAATTTTTTTTTCTCCAGAAAAAAGAAAATTTCAGTGTCCTTTTGTTGTGGACTGAATTCCTGAAAGTACGTTTGACACCAGTTTGTCGACATCCCTTAGTACAAACCAAGAGCTGCTCGTTACTCTTTGCACAAGGTGCAACTGGGGCCACCAAATGTGCAATGCTTCAGAGTGGCACCACTTCAATGGTCCTCTTAATTAAAATTGTTGTCGCCAGTTACCTGAATCTTTACGTGAAAAGACGAGAAATGCTTTTTCACCCTTCAGAAATGTTCTAACAGTCCGGAATGAACCAAACTGATATGACCCGAGCTTCCTAACGTCGTATCCAAAGTTCAAAAAGCCACATTTTCTAATGGTAGCAATCTCCGAATGCTTCTGCTCTGTACCAGGCAACAAAATGGCGGTTCCAAAAAGACGTTCAGGGAATGAAGGTGTTTATCCTTTAGAAAGGCTACTCTACAGGATTTTTGAGCTACCTCAACGATCAATACTTTCTGACTCCCCAGCCTTTACCCTTTCCAGTATGCTATATAGTATTGCAACATTCATAATAGCTATTGTGAAATCGGTAAATGGAAAATGATGCAGAAACCAACAATAAATATGCCCACACTTTTCAGTGCCGTGATGTCATTGGCAAGCAGGCTTGCCAGTCGAGTAAGCAGACTAAAAAATGGAACATGCCAATCATTTGTTCCATGCTGGAGTGTGGTTACTGGAGTAAGCTTCCAAAGCATTCATTTGACACCATGAAACTGCTTCGAACCAGTTGGGAAGAAATTCTACAGTCCAAAGAGTGAACCCCTGCGTTCCGCTGACGTAACTTTTTCGTTGTTGCCAGTAGAGACTTTCATTTTGAAAAACACGGTGAGGTCTAAAGCTGTAAATTCAATAACTTCGTGAAAAAACAATATTTTGACCTAATATTTGGGATACTATTTGAGCGATGTTTGTTGGTGATTAAACATGAGGAAGATGCATAGAAAGGGGGAACAGACAACGAGTTTAGCTAAATTTCGAGCAATCTTGTTTTGTGACTACAGTCTGTGACAGGTCAAGAACGAAGTGGAAGCTCCTCCCACCTCTTTCCACTTTAGCAGAGCGAATGCTGAAGAAAATGTCGCCTCCCCTTCAGCGTTCTCTTTGCTAAAGTGGAAAGGGGTGGGAGGAGCGTTCGCTTCGTTCTTGACCTGTCACCGACTATAGGTGCATCCACTGGTAACATCTGCAGCGAGAGACTTCCCAGTGTCGAGCCATGGCTGAGGCTTACGGTTTCGACGAGGTCTTCGGCGGTGGTCCAGAGCTGGGTGGCCTTGACAAGCTTTCTATGATCGAGGGCATCCCTGATGCTGAGCACCACATGATGCAGTGACAGCAGGTCTCCTTTGTCCAGCATTGACTGCACATGCACGACAGACGCCTTAGGCTCAATGTACTGTCTACAGCCACGGGTCACTATAGAGCATTTTCGCTAACTAGACTTCTGTAAACAAACAGCAATCGTTAAAGATTTTTTCTTCCTTTTCTTTTTAAGAACAAGATTTTTGGGGGATTTTGATGCAGTCTGCATTAGGGTCTCCAGCCCACGGGCCAGGTCCAGCTTGCGCATGGCTGCGGTCTTTCCAGTGACACGACCCGCAGTGCAAAAATAAACGCAAAATTTTAAAAAGGCAGTGAGGCACACGAAACGCACAAATAAATATTGGAAAGAATGAGAGAAGACTACATTAAAATGTGGGTTCTCGCCATATTCATCGCACACTATCATCACCGATTGTAGTCCCCCGTTTCATGCCTGTGTAACTACCGTAGAACACCGCGCATCCGCCCATTCCACATTAAGCGCCCATACCCAAATTTGTAAGATTTGAGAAAATATGCACAGTACATTTATATGTAAAATTGATGACCGGACAGGCGCCCATCCCCCATTTTTTCACAATTACCTCTAAATTTTGAGTGGGCGCTTGCCCAGTATTTTACGGTCTGTTAAGGGGGGACACTACCCAGAAAAGTCAACTTCTGTATACCGCTTGCTTGATTTCAATCAAATTTGCAGTGAAAGTATATATGAGTGGAAACACCATCCCTGCCAAATTTCATTGTCCTATGCCAATTCTGTAACTTGTTACAATATGGAAGTCAGTGTGTTTGCATAGGAAAACTATCACTTTAAAATAATATAAAAACTTGTAATTTTTATGTGTAATATATGGTCGTAGGAATACCCGTAGCACATTCCCAGCTAGTTATTTTGCATTGTTTTTCATAAGTATAACTCCCTAAGAAGATTAGAACTTTGTTTTACGTGCAAGTTTTTTTTTTTACAAATGTTGCTTTTTAGCATTAAAGAAAGTTAGAGTAGAAAAACTAACCAGCCAAGCATGTTCCTCACAAAATTCTATCCCAGAAAACCACCTAAGAATAATTCTTTATTGTGTAATAGAAAAATGATAGTTTTCCTAAAGTGTAATTTATGCCGAAAAGTGGAACGGGGAAAAATGCATTCACCTTTTCTTTAGCATCGCTTGACCGAAATTAATTTATAAAAAATGAACTATGCTGTGTAAACTAATGGAACTTTCTGGGAATACTCTCTAGGTGTTGGTGGATGTTAGTATGGCAATTTTTCAAAATCAACCTTTTTTGCAGAAATGTTTTTTTCTGGGTAGTGTCCCCCCTTCAAATTAATTTGCGTTCTCAATCCTGCTTAAAGGGCAACTCCGCTCAATTCCGAAAAAATTAGGCTTACATGTGATTCAAATTCACAAAGCACTACTAGACAACTCTACGTCTTCGGATTCGCGAAATGTGGAATATTATTTGTGTAATCCTAATTTAAACATCAGCTGATACCGAAACCGAAACTTCGGTTGCGTCAGGCAACATTGGTCTCGGGTCGTCGGAGTCATGGCCACGTCACGTCGAACCACGTGGTCTTGTGACGTTCGTGGGGGCGAGGGACAGGACATGCGACACGGGCAGGTCGCTTCGCATGGCATGGACGGTGATGGCCCGGGGGAGAGAGGGAAGGGGAGAAGACGAAAGAGGAGAAGGGGAGCGGAGAAACAGACCGATAAGCGCGCAGGGCAGCGCAAACTAGCGCATCCGTGTACTGTGATCCCGTGAACGCCCAGTCAGCCAACACCGGGAGGAGAAACTCGTGACGTCATCGTTCAATTTCGCTCTGAGAAGTAAAAACAAACAAAACGTGAGAATGACGTAGTCATGCCTCTGACGTAGTGGCTCAATGTCGGCTGCTCCAACTCCGTGGCATTGACTGCGCTGATGATTGCGCCTTGCACCGCACGCTAGAGTCGGCAGATTTCGGCGACTTGGCTCGCTTGAAGGTTTGCTGGCTAGTTTATTAAATATATAAACGGAATCAAATCGTAATATTTGACATGGGGTCTTCCTATATGATACTGAAGAGGGCTATATAGTTTTCTAAATATCAAAAATGAAGCGGAGTTGCCCTTTAATGTCCTGTGTCATAACTATTGCATGTTTTTATCAGCAGATCTGCCTTTCCTTAATCTTCTGCCCTGTGCGATCACCCCAAAGCTTCTATGCACTCCGATTTGTGCCTATGAGTTACCTGGGCCACAATTATTTTTAATGTCATAAGTAACATTTTGAATTTAAAAATAAAAGTACTATATGTACAGGGAGTTCCCAAGAGAAGAGAACAGTGTTTTTTGGCCCGAGTAAATAAATTATTCATTGCAGAAAGCTCAATCTTTGTGAGAATGTGGATCTAGTGGTTGGGATAGGATGTGAAAGTTTCAGTGCACGACGTTACCTGGATCGAAAGATAATTGAGAAAAACTATATTTCTCTATGACCCGCTGCCACCTAAGCCTCAGATCGTCAAAACAAAGAAAGGACGCCGTGGACGCCAGTAGCATCTGCTTCAAAGAAAAAACTTGTCATCAAGAAAGAAAACAATATCTTCTTTCTTGCTGACAAGTTTTTTTTCTGAAATATATGTTACAGGCATCCTTGGTGTCATTTCTTGTTTTGACGATCAGGCGAAAATCAGCCGATTTCCAGCGGGATTATGGAACTGGTCCCAGTTGGAAATAAGGCGATCCAGCTGGACTGCTGGACTCCCTTGCTACGCCACTGGTTGCAGTAGATAGCATTACAAAAGCCTCTGAAAAATTCTGTGTCACCTTAACAATAGACCTTTTGCAAAGGGTGTGGCACCCAAGGGAATGCAGGGGACTGGCTGTAGAGCTGGCTGTAGCAGTCGACGAAGCCGACCTTGGAGGTGAAGGAGGATATGAGGATGAGGGCAGCCAAGCAACCTGGCTGTAGACATTACCTCGCTACCCTTTGTCTGTGTCTCGTCAGTGTCACGCGGTAGATACTGTGGTTGCAAGGGGGAGCATACAGGACATTGCCATAATTCATTGCATGCTTCATGTGTGGCCTGTTGGGTTTTTCCGCAAAAGGTGTATTGGTCGACAGATGAGCCTTGACACGGTTCAGGGGACCCCCCCAATTGCTAGAGCTTGCAGAACAGTCGTATGCAGTCTGGATATCTGATGCGCTTCGCAATGGCACAGGGAGGAACCCACCATGGTGTAGAGGTACGGTCCCCAGGTGGCCGTGGAGTCGATCGGGGAGAGCCATCCGTCGCCCAGGACCACTCCCCTGAGCTGGCAGCGGATTTGGCCACTGGAAACAGCCTGCAGGTTGGGAGGAATCGAAGTCGCAGCAAGGTCATTCACACTGTCGTGACGTTGTGCACACACTGCCTGTGCCCGGCTGATTTACAACATATTCTGTGCTCCTTGTTTTTAAAAAAAATCGAAGTAGCATTTTTTTTTTTCTATTCATTTGGGACTGAAAGCAGATGGTACAGATGCGAAACGGAAACAGCGCAACCACTGGCCGTTTAATGTACGCACTCGTATGAAGGGCCATGCAGGGACCAGAAATATAATGTCAAAGAGCTAGATGGTGGTGTGTGCAGGATTTTGCAGTTTTCTGTGCTATTTCGTGGCTGCCTATTGTTCTCGTCTTCATCACGTCCTCTGAGCCTTCAAAAGCAATTTCAGCTAACAGTGCCCAAGGGTGTGCTTTCATCGAGGGACATTCCCTCTTGCCTGGACATGAGGTAACATACCGGCCCCCGAAAGCTGGTTGACCTCCTTTGTGCCTCTATTATAAATGTTCTTCTACTCCTTGCACGGGACAGAACATCTTCTGCGACATATTGTGGCCAAGCCTGAACAGTCGAGAGCGGCTTGATTTTTTTGTTGCTGCATGAAAGATTACCTTGTTGAGCGCCAAGGCGAAAATGGCAGCCATCTTGCCTCCATAGGACTCGCCGAAGATATACAGAGGCACAACCTGTGGGAAGAATAGGAGAGTTACTGGAAACTGGGAGGTTGGAACGAAATTTGTACGAGGGATTTCTACAAAGGTGGTGCAACAAAAATATCCGCTTGGCATTCCTTCCCTGTTGACACACACTGGTAGATTGTCGCGATGCTAAAGACTTCTTGTTCCACACAACTGTCACCATAAATTAAGTTGAGATGTTGCCAAAGTGTCGCAATCGCTACACCTTTTACGTTGTCCTTGCACCCAGACCTACTTGACTCGCATCGGTTTTTCAAAACCGAAATCCAACTCGGGTCCCACGAACACTGCCGAGTCGTCATGATGGGCATGCATGAGCGTTAGAAACTCTGAAAGAACGAGCCACGTAATTTCGTATTCAGTCTCGTTGCAAACACGTACTGGCACTCGAATAAGGCATGTTTGAGACATCTTGAACAGCAGTACCACAACAGGTTCGCAATTATCCTTGGCTCTTTGTTGCAAGAAGCAGGGACCAATGACTAACAGATTAACCCTCCCGATGGACTTCCGAGGGCTTCCCAGTGTGGAAACGGCACGTGGGCATTACCTTCCTCTTGTATGAGAAGGCACGTGGTAGCCACCGACCGCGCCTGTGATGGCATCATTATGGTGCGAGGGGGCCCCCCATATGCATTAACCCACATACACAAACACCTGCAGACAGAACTATGGGCACGGGCACATCGCTTTGGAAATTACCTTGCACGTGCAAGTTTTCCTGAATTCTGCTGAAGTAGGCTCGCGTGCCTGTACCTTTTTGTCTGCTCTAGACATTAGTTTAGGCAGGCTAGGTTAGCTTCATTATGTGCGCTTTCCTTTGTGGCACAGTTGCACTGCGGGAAAGCGACCCTGGCAGAGCAGTCACTGTTATTTTGCCACATTGTTAACTGCCCGTTTGATGGCCGAGGCAAGCTCGAATGCTTCGCTGAACATAAATTATACGAGAAGAGATGTCAAAAAGAAGTTGTAATTAAGAACAACAACATACGCTGCCCAGAAATGAGCATGGGCTAAGGGCAGAGGCCTCTGTTGATGGTCAAAATGTCTGCGAGTCTCGCTGCTTTGAAGTCTCGTCTTGTGCCTCTCCTTAGTCGCTGGCGCAACAAAATTAAAACAAAAGACAAAAAAAAAACAAAAAACGGTAGCATAGTCTGTTGCAGGTTAAGAATAGTGGGGCAAGCTCCTCCCTCAAGGCCCTCCACCCTTTCCACTTCAGCGGAGCACAGCCCGGAGGGGGGAAAGCCCCCAATTGTGGCGAGCAGAAAGCTGGGGGGGCCCTGGCTTGTCCCGCTGTCCTAAACCTGCAGCAAACTTCGACAACTGTCCACAGGAGGACAACCATCGCCGGACAGGAGCCAACCTGGAACTCCGGCAGCTTGGTGAGGAAGACCGAGAGCAGGGCCACCAGGTCGTCGGCAATCTGCGACTCGTTACGGGCATAGGCGCCATCATTGGTCACGTAGCTGTAGCCCGCCCCCACGGGGTTGTCCACAAACAGCAGGTTGGCAAAGTGCACCTGCACGTAGAACTGCTGTTCGAACATCTGGAGCCCCGACGAGCAGTAGACCCATTTCCTTGAAGGGTCCGAGTTTTCGCCGACCGCCAACGCGGCTTGTGTCCACCAGATACTCGGGAGTACGCACCCAGGCGATGGCGGACTCGTATAATTGATGTAGCAGTTACTAAATGGCGCACACTTTTGAAACGGGTCTTTTGGTTTTAACAACAATGCCTGGCTTTGTCGTGTTTTGCCAAGGGTGCCGAGGTGGTTTTGGTCTGCACGGTAGGAAAGTGCTCCCCAACGACCTTTGCTCCCTCCCCTCTCGCACTCCTTCCTCCTCCTCCCCTGAAAAGGGCGGGTGCGGAAGCTAGCCTCCGTGGAAAGGAGAAGGGGTTTCCTCCTTTCTGGGTGGCAAGGAGGAAACCTCTTCTCCCGCGGAAAATGGTTTTGTAGGTCGGCCTTTAATGGAGGCATGACGCTCGAGCAAGCTTGACAAGTCTTGGGACAGAGCTGTATCTTACCCATCCTCCAAGAATAGGAGTCGACACTTTTAACCGAACTGTCGCCTTGCGCCTGGCAAGGTTAGGCACGCCTGTTGTGTCGGTAACTTGTATATAAATAGTATGGCTAACACCTCTTGCTGTCCTGAGGTTCTTGAAGTTGTCTTCTACAGTTTAGAGGTTCAACTCCTTCAGCGAATATATCCATCATTATTGGCATAACATTGAAGTAGTTAACATGCTGCTTTTTGGTATTAACCCCCGCATAGATGTCGATTGAACTGGGCAGTGATGTAACCCTGCATTGCACAAGCGTTCTAGTAACGGTGTTAATCCTACACTGAATTCGTTTTCCGAGTTCTGAGCTCTCTCATCGGCTTCACTCGAGATTTTCGTGGGAACTTTCGTGAAAGAAGCTAGTCTTATTGATCTGGTCCTTGCACTCAGAAAAGCTAGTCGTTTTGCACTCCTGGGAAGCCTCGGACAATGTATTCAGTTGGAGGAGAACGTTCAAAGAGCTTGCATTCAGTGACGCTGAGGCTTCTCCTACACGCAGCTCGGCAAAAGTTGTGTCTTAGACTGTACATTGCCCATTCTTAAGGCCCGTTCACACTCTTGCGACCGAGTACGACTGAGAAAGACGAGATCTCTTACAACTTCTTAAATGTTTTTAGAATGAGGGAACACACTGACATTGTGGCGCCCTGGAACTGCATTTCACAAGAGCGAAGGTTTTGCGGGATTTTCGAGGTCAAATGTGCGTAATACCCATAGAAAGGCTCGTTTATAACATTGTCAAAAGTTTTTCGAGCCAAGAAAGAGAGGATAATGCTCGAGAAATAAAAAAAAATATGCCGGACCGCCGAGTTTACACTGCTTCCCAATAGATGACGCCAGTGTGTTTTCTGGTTTAACAAGTTTTAAGGAACCCAGGCTTAGGAGGTCGCAAGCAGTCGCAAGAGTGTGAACGGGCCTTTATTCTTAGGGCAACAGTCTTCGACTGGGCATTGGCAAAACTCTTACCAAAAAAATCTGATGAACTAGTTATAGCTGCTATAGTTAGGCCCTGAAAACACTTACAGTACCGACTGCAATGATGAGTGGAAGCACAGGACAGCATGGCGGTCTTAGACTTACCCAGGAGTGGTTGCGAGGTCTCTGGAACACATCCAGGGGTCCAATTTCGGCGAAATTGCCATACCCTGTTGAGGATGCTCCTGGTCCGCCCTTTGACGAAGAGGCATCCAGGCAATGAATGAATGAATAAATAGACTAATTAGGGCCATAGGAACTGTTGGAGCATTTGGACTGATGCTTCACTTGCACAAGACACGGGGGAAGAATAACTTTTTCTTGCCTTCCACCGAAACCTTTTTGTTAACCGAAGTCAAACGCTGTTATGCATTGCTTGTACATGATATGTGCTAGATTGAGCAAGATCTCCTTCAAATTTGCTAATTGTCACACATATTTTGGTATTATACAGGATGGTGGCAATATGAGCTGGCATTGGCTTTCAGGCTAGCAGCACATAAATCATGTGGCATCCTGTTAAAAAAAAAAGAAGAGTGAATGACATTTTTTGCTGTTCCAGTGTGGCAGTCCGCTTCATACCTTAGCATGCCGGAGGCACCCAGTGCGACATTTTAGCCCTTTTGGCTTACATTAAACTGGGTGCATGCTCGCAGACATTTACGGGTATACCAAATTATTTGAAAAGGGCAATAATTGTAGTCTTTTTTTTTCATGTTGGGGAAGAAGATGGTTCTGCTTATCGAAGGCAGCTCTTGGAAGTGGACACAGGAGCTGATATTAAGTGCTCCGCAACAGGAGGTCACTGTGATAAGGGTGATAGTTCAGTCACGTTTATCAAATATACACAAGGTTCTTGGTTTTCAGGTCGTGTGTGACAAGGTTGATAGGGTTACATCAGACACATTTTTATTCAAGTTGAAATTTGAGGAAACTGACATATCAAAAGATGGGGGCTTTCTGAAAATGAAGTTGTTCAGAAGCACTATATTTTTAATAGCAGGAGTTTTTATGATGAAATTAAGTTACGCACGCTATAGTGCAGTCATGGTTGGTGGCAGGTTAAAAGTTCAATGGAAGCTCCTCGCACAAAGAGGTGGGAGGAGCTTCTATGTTTTATTTATTGCTTAAAATAAAAAAGTATATGGATGTATTGGCCAATTAGGCCAATTACTCTCTGATCCATAACCACAAAAACTAATTTTTTGCAGCCTTTGACATGTCCATGAATCTCATTTAGAGACTTGTGACCTAGACTGATCTGCCCCTCCCCGCTCCCCAATTTTTTAAGCAAACATTGTTTTAAAAAGTGGACAGTATTTTTTTTTAAAGCAAGAAATGTTTTTTAACGAAACTCTCCAACCCCCAAAAATGTGCCTATCTGTCTGTCTGCATTTTCCCGCTAGATGTAGCTGAGAACTTAGGGTTCATGGATTCTGAGGATGGAACAATGCTCGGATTAGGAAGGAGAGGGAAGGAGCGTGATGCGGAGCGCAAGTTCTGCTTCTTGCACGGGGGTTGCGATAATGTCAGAACACCGAGTTCTTATTGGCTGTTTGAAACAATAGTGGGTTGACCTCAAGGCATCTAGCATTGAGGTCTACCCACTATCCTTTCGAAGCCACTCGGAGCTCGGCGTCGTTCTGACGTTACCGCAACTCCTACGCAAGAAGCAGACGAACTTGGGAACAAAAAGATAAGCCACAATAGAAACAGAATTAAGAGAATTCGGGAAAGCCCAATCCTTGGTTGAGGGGACGACCGCACTTGCTTGAGCACATGTTCATGTATTTTCATACCTGAACCCCTTGAAGCGGCAATTTCCTAGAATGGTCCATTCAGTTTCCACGCTAAATTTAACGGGGAAATCGATGTCACGTGACCTACACCTATTCAGTTTCCCCACTAAGTTTAGACGGAAAAGTGACGTCACATTTTCCCGCTACATTTAGCGGACAAGTTGACATCATTTGACCGGTCGTCACGTGGCATATATACCAACTTGGTTTCCCGCCAAATTGAGTAGGGAAATTGGATGTCACCTGACCAAGCACAAATTTAGAGAAATTGACGTCACGCAACCTAATCACAAATTTAGTTTCCCTGCTAAATTTCAGAAAAATTTACATCACGTTTCCCAGGCACGAAGTCAATTTCTCCTTAATTTTTCACTTTCTGAAACGGCTTCTACACGAATTTCTGCTTAAGTCTGCCATTTTTTTTTGTTAATTCGTTTTAGGTACACTACATTTCACTTTTCATTGATGTGCTTTTGCATACATACCAAAGATGTTCTTCAACAAACATCCTTGGTTGCTGAAGAACCTTAGTCTGCTTATGACAAGGGCTTATAATCTGACAGTTTGGGTAGAGATCAAAACACTCCGTTCCTTCCTGGTTTCGTTTTGTCTTCAGTCTCTTGAACGAGGGCTGGCAAATCTTCTACAACGGATATCCCACAACATATTTTCAATGGACTGCCATATTTTCAAAAGTTTCACTAAACCTGTCTGCTTTCTAGACACGTGGGGTTTTGCATGTGACCGACGTCCTCGTCGACTGCTGCTGCGTTCTGCACAAATACGATTTACACTAAAAGCAGATTAACGCGCATCACGTAAGCTAGGCAGAACTAATCAGCTCGCCACTTTGACAAGACCTGCGACTTACATGGCCAGATATTACTGAATACTTCGAGGCTAGGTATGGGTGCGCGCGCACCTCCAAGCTTTTCCATTGCACGCGTGGTTGCTCTGTAAGAGCTCGCGCTCCTCACTAACGTCTAGGTCGCAATGCGAGAGTCACCTGAAGCCAGATGATGAGGGGCGCGCTCTTGTAGCCGTCCCCCGGTTTGTGAGCGTACATAAGCCACCAAAACATGTGGGCATCCTTGCGGACGTTCACGTAACTCCAGGACTCCTTGCCCTCAGCTTCCGCGGTTGCTGCATAAGGCGACGGTTGGGGCAAAGCGGCCAAAACAACGAAAGGAAAGAGGTCAGGAGGAACTTACGGTATCCCAAGGACCCGAGGACGAGCGACAACAGCACGAAGATCATCACCGAGACAGCCATCGCGCAATGAGTGACGCTGAGCTGTTCTGCTTTTTGGCTCTCCGCATCTTATCAGGGCAGGTATCAGGTTCGCGTGCCCGCCTGGCTGGGGCCACGGACAAGCGCATCGGTGCAATGTACGCGCATCCTTCGGAGCAGACGTCGACCGCTCACTGCGCGCACGGACCCCTCCTCGTTACTTCTGGTTTCGGTTTCAGCACCGAACGGCGAACATTTGATAAGGCTAGAGTGATAAGCCAGGCGATGTGGAGCAGATTTTTACTAAAAATCCGGAGAAAGACAAGAGTCAGCGTAGCGGAGACCTCATATCTTTTTTACGTGGCCTGTCCTCTTCGTTTCCGACGCATGCCTACTGATCTCTGTGTGCCTACCTCTGGACGTAGGTCTTGACGTTGATAAACAGCTGGTTAAACCCCGAGCATTAAATGGTGGTAATAATTGATTTAAACGCTCGGTAGTACTTTGTGTCTTGGGCGGGTTGGGTCCCTAAAAAAATGTGCAATTTTATTGCAGTTCCGAAATTTTAGCTCGCTACAGTGAACTCGCCTGCGTGTTCAGGGTGTCAGAGGAAGCAGATAGTCAACCAAACAACAAAAGCTAGCTCGGGACACCAAAAAAAGCGTCAGAAAGGTCGTAAGGACACAAGGACAATACAACCTTAAATCCGCCACAACACTTTTGTTGAATAAAACACAAAAAAGGACAAACCAACACGTCTTTCGCCAATTTTAGCGGTAATCGGCTCACCGCGTTACGTCTTGCGCGGGTACCGCACCAACCTCGTTAACAATCCAATCCAGTCCAATCCAACCGTACTGCCTGTTCCTCACGGAGTCGGGACGACCTTCCAAGGGTAAGCTCAGTTCCAGCGGTTTTTGGTGGCGTTAAAGCCTTATTCGTGCCTGTTTCTGAAGTATTGAAGCCTCTCAAGGGCTGTAGTCAATTCTTAGTACGGACTAGGTCCTCAAGACGGTTCGAGACATTTTCTTTCGTTAGGCTTGAGCTCGCCGGCCAAGTAGGCTGGGAGGACACGCCGTGGACGTGTCCTTAAAATCGGTTACTTTAAGAACCTTCATTTGCGCGTAAGCTACGGTCATGGCATAAACTTGATTCCGCATTAACGCGTGTCTTAAAAGCAGCGGGTGGAGGAATACTTCGTCCCGCTCGTTTGCTAGAGGGTTTCTTGTTCTGCCCGGGCGCTGTTGATGCCTATAGTTTTAACACCGTTCGCACAACCCGAGCTTACACGCGACGTATGTGCGGCGGTGGTGCTATAGAAGGCACGGTTTTCAGCAACTAGACCACCAAATGGGCGCGTGAAATGAAGCGTGGTCAGCACAAGCCATGCGTGACCAACGAATCCAAAAGAATCTAAAATAATAAGTTTTTGTGTTTCAACCCGGGCTAAATCTGTGGAAAGTAACAATTAAATGCAGCTTCCTTTTTCTTTTTTTTTTTTCCAGCGGGAGCAAGTTAACATGTCGGAGCCGAAGTTCACGACCGTCCCCTTTGACCCCCGTTTCCCCAACACCAACCAGACCAGGTGAGGAAAGGGTGTTTGCAAGCAGCAACTTTGTTGTATCAATGCCTATTCTGTGCCTGGTTAGCCTCCCAGCCGTATGGTGACCTAATGGTGAATTCCACTCGTAGATCGGGAGCGCTTTCCAAAATCCGTAATGGAGGCGAAATAATCCCGCTCCGTGGGACCCTCTCCGAATCGACGAGGGGAAGATGAACTCACATTTTTGGAGCGACCTCTCTCACACCCCTCCTTACCACTTCCCCCTCCGCCGTTCAAAATGGCCGCTGCTCGAACTTGACGAGCCCACCAATGCCTCAGCCGACTGATCTTTCCGAGGACCAGTGACAACTGTCACTGCTTAGGTGCAGAAATAACATGCGACACAGGCCGGGCGAAATTATACGTACCACGGCGCCCGTGTCACAAATAACGAAGACGTCCGCGTTCGGCACCGTCATACTTTTCGGCCGCCTCGAAGCGGCGTTGCACGGACAGCGATTGCCAGCGGTGGAGTTCAGATTTCTGGTACGACTTTAATAAACACAGAGGTAACAAACCGTCGCTTGCACGGTCATTGCCTAATCTCTTCTTGCTTTATTGCACGAAGAAACACCGGCGGAATGCAGTGTAAAAGGTAAACAATCATTGGCTGCAGAATTAACAGGCGTAACCTTGCGTCTGCCTCCGGCTTTTCTGCCATTCTTTTTCTCATTCTTCCTCTCATGATCACAGATGTCAGCGCTTACGATTTACCACGCTCCACAGTCTAGGCTTTGTATCCCTGATCTACGCGAGGTAGAAGCGTTTGAGCCGTCACAATCCCGCATAAATAACCTACGCACCCGAACAGATCCAACTCGACGACCCGACCGTGGCTCGACCGGCTCACTGACCATGCGCACTGCCGATTTAGAAGGAAATCACGTGGACTGCTCTGTCAACTTCCGGAAAGATCTGTGAAATCCCGCAGAGCAAGTTGGGCGGGGTTTGAGGCGCTCCGTGGAGCGGCCGCTGCCAGAGATCTACGAGCGGAAGATGACCAGCTAGAGCCAGATCTGCGAGCAGAATACGCGCGCTCCAAATGGAGCACTTTTGGAGCGCTCGAGATCTGTTAGCGGAATTCACCATAAGTTTCTTGGTAGCCATCGACTTGCCCCGATCCACTAATACAAGCTGGCATGATGCCTCTCCAAATCTAAACCCAAACAAGTGTATATACCTGAATGTATAGGGTGTCCACAATGGACCCTAGTGCTGTTTTTAGTTTTTAAACTAGGTGGCGCAAGTTACTGCCCGTTATCATCCACCCTTCCATCCACGAGCCGGAAAATTGGTGCCTGCACATAGGAAACCTGAAATTTTTGCAGTGTGTGCATTTAAGAGGTCAATTTTACTTGGTGAGAATCCAAGGCATAGCTCTCTTCCTATGAAAAAATGAGACCAGCAAACTTGGTAGGGCCAGCAGCGGACGTATTTGCAGATGACTGAGTTGGTGATGGTTCAGATTCTTGACACCATCCCCCTATGGGTGCAGCGAGCAGACGACAAAGCGGTGCTGTGGGACATGCGGTTTGACAATACAATGTCTTGAAAAAGGCAAATAGCTCGCAAAGAATAAAGACAGAATAAGGAACTAAACTGGACAAGTGGTTCTGTGTGCCTTTCTGGGGAGTGCAACAGATCATGCTAAGTCCTTCAATTTTTTAAAGCAGAGCAAGGAAGGGGCAAGGAGAATGGTGGGCAAGGTCGAGGAAAAGGTAGAACGCCACATGCAACTAACCAGCACGGCTGAAAGTGCAGGTGGGACAGATAAGCAACTCTCTCTCGCATGGCTCTAGCCTAAAGTCTCGGTGCTATAACGTGACGTTGGGTTTCAATTGTTTTCCTTTTGCCGAATTTATTTCTAAGGCTATTCAGTCTCTTATACTTTCTGAGATTAGTGAGAGTTACCAGGGCCCGTTTGCTCGAAGCTGGTTAACTAACCGCGGTTAACCGGATTTCCCTACGAGGGGGAATTTTGAGTCACGTGACCGGCAGAGCAAGGACGGCGGGGAAACATGGCGGTGCCCCGGTGAGTGAGCACCGCTCGCTTTGGAACTAATACGTCGTAGTAGCTGCAATAGCGGGCGCGTTAGTCAGCAATGAATGGTGCAGGAGGTTTTCGCGTTGCCTTACCTCACTTAAAACGCCAAACATGAGCAACGACCTCGCCGCATTTTTTAGATAGACTTTCGACTCTGGCCATTCCTAAGCCTAAATGAACGCGATAGTTGTCGGCATGGCAACGTCTTTGGAAAGTGGATTGCCTTGACTCAATCGACCGGGTATTGATAGCACACAAAAGCATGCTACGAGTGTAGTTACACGCGCTGGACCTGCTGGCGTCTGCAGTAATAACTGTTCTGATGCAAAAAGCCTAAAACAAATTTTACCGTGCACGCGCGTTCGTCAAAGATTTATTATGATTGTTTACTTCAATTCTTCTATAAGTGGAACGCCAGCGCGCGCGGGTTGTAGAATTACACTTCCAGCGTTCTTCTCGATGTTCGGGTAATTTACTAAAAGGTAAATTTTCAGTGGAGCCGAGTTCCAGGTTTTTTCAATTTATGACGGTGTTATATAGAGTTCTTACATGCTGGCCAACCATGCTGCCGATGTACCGCCCGCCTTTCACAGCTCACTTTTTTCTCATCGTTTCTAGGACTCAACTTCGTCGTCCTCTTTCGAACTCGGAAGGAAATTTCAACGAGGCTTTTCTTCACTTCATACAGCCAAATATTTAGAAAATTTCCAAACAAGGGTTAATTTAGTTTTACCTTGCCGATTATTTGTACCACGAGCAATAAAAATTGCTTCTTAAGCTCAAATGTATGCCGCGCTCCGTCGCGAAAACCAGGCAGCGGGCATTTTTGGGTCCCCCCATTTCGGGAAACTTTCCACGGAAGCCACGTATATTCGCTACAGCCAGTAGGTGACACCAGCTACCACCCCATAATAAAACACGGAGCTATCGCTCATCCAGCCCTCGTCAAACTTGGCTAGGTACTTGTAGGTACCTAGTAGGGAAGGGCGGTTAACTTTTAACTGCGGTTAAAGTTAACCGGCTTCGAGCAAACGGGCCCAGGGCACGAGAGAAGGGTGATAGAGTGAAGGAATTTCAAAAGTTCTAGGCCACACTCCATTTTAGCATAACTTGGCAAAGGATCAGTGCTGTGAGCCAATTGGAGCGACTGAGCAAAGCATGTGTGACGGTTCCGCGCAGCTGTTTGAAGCCGTGTTGCTCCTGTTGCAGACCATCTAAACATTTCTGGAGGACGGGAAAGCAATTCCTGAGCTTTCAGATGAAATTTCGGGCAACTGGCAACAGTGACGTCAAGCACCTAGATGGTGCTTAACATAGAAAGGCGAGGGAAGCAACCATACTTATGGTTTTTTGGTTTCCAAGCTAGGTGGCGCAAGCTACCACTTGTTGCAAAGGGTACAGCCGTTAACAATTATCCATGGCTGAAGGGTTGCTACTCCGAAGGACATGGCGGTAGGCGGGCATCTTCGACAATAAGATCTCATTCCAATCTTCATTCCTTCAGTGATACAATGTGGGGGGGAGGGGGGGGGCTGAATTAATTGGTATGTAGGATAAACAGTGCTATCACTTTGCCATGCCAATATTTTAGTGCTAAATCTCCCCTTTATTTAACTGCAAACTAATCCTCTGTAGCTCGAAAAATGTAAATCCTTATAACGAAAAAAATAAATAAATAAATAAACTGAATTATCATAATTACTCAATTGTATGAAGCTCTCCTACTTTTAGTTCAAGATGGCAAGAGCATGGTCTGATTTTGTATAAATGCCTTTGAGGATTAACTCTTCCCTGAACACGCCCATAAAGTGTCGATCACTTGTGATCGATGGGAGTGGAGACCCATTTCAAAACTCCCGCAGAGCTCCTGCACTCGCTGCCCCATTTCATAGGCAGTTTGAAGACGACAGTTCTGGTCATGGGCGTCGGCGGGGGGTTGCAAAAGGGGCAGTTGCCACCCCCAAGCCAGACTCCCCCTCCTCCCTGAGCAAGTGGGGTGACCGTTGGTTCGCTGACAAGCGAAAAAACAACCGAGAATAATTTAAAAATAAAATCGAGAGTAACTATCAAAAATAAAAAAAGGGAGATGTCTTGCCCTGGCATTCCGTGGAAGAAACAATTGGAAAGAAAAGGGCAACTAAGCCCTACTTTTGCCTCTGCGACCCCCCACCTCCGAACCTCGCTGGGGGCGCACCCGTTTCTGAGAACACCCAATCCCCCGCAATGAACACTCAGTGGTGATGAAGCCCACACTCCAGTCCCTAGTAGAAAGTTGATGAAACGGCCGAGAAAACAAGTTCTCGACTTACCTTCGGGCCCTTTCATTTTTGCGCACTCTTACATCCGCATCCATTTGTCCGTGGAAATATTCCCTCAATATCGTCGTGTGTGCCGGGGGCCGTGCGGACATCATTGGGTGGTTGGAAAAAGTCGTGACAAGGGAAAAGGAAAATAACAATAACTATATTCACGGGGGGCAAATACCAAACGCTAGTGAAGTTTTTCCAACTTCACTAGCCTAGCTTCACGTGACATTTTAACGGCAGTTTCTTCTCTTTTCTCCAACTCCGCGCCCCACGTGCTAAGGACGCGGGAATTCAGGTTGCTTTTGCAAAAGGCGCGCCGAGTGCCGCATAGCTGATTAACCAAAGGAGAGGTTTTGGCCTCCAGCCTGGGTAATAAACCACGTGTTTTCTGAAGAGCAAGCCATGAGCGACGGTGAACATGACCTTCTAAGCAGGTTGGGGGGTGGGGCCTCTGAACACAGACGCCCCACCCTTGAATCTCCCCGTTAAAGACGTCTTATTGACGTCTTTAACCCGAATTTTGGAGTGTTCAAGTTGTTCCTGACAACTTAATGAGTGAATATGAACCGAAAGACGCACTGCCGAGATGCGTCAGTTAACTGAGCTGGCATCCCTCCGCCGCGACTGCAGGAATTGCTGGCAGAACTATGTGGACTACCACCGTTGCCACAAGGTAAAGGGGCAGGACTACGCCCCGTGCGAATACTTCAAGAAGGCCTACAAGACACTGTGCCCCAATGCCTGGGTGAGACCCTCAATTACTCAAAACTTAAGCTTGAACTTTCCTCGTTTTCTCTCTAAACGTACAAAGAGCTGGTGTAAGGAAGTATCAGGCTGTCGAATTCAACACGAATGGGCCTTATCCCAGTGCGCATTTGTATAATCACTTGTGTGGGATAATGCTAACTGCCATATTTTCCGGTCTATAAATCGCTCCGCCCCATAAAAGGCCGTCTTCAGTAAATAATTTCGACAAGCTTGATCATGCTGACAAAGACCAGGAAGCACAGATTATGACTCTCACAAACCCAAGCAATTTTTTTTTTTCTCTCACAATCTGCCCTCTCACCCTCCTACAGTGTCCTTCCTCCCCTGGTCCATCTGCCTCCTTCCCCTTTCCCCTTCCTTCTCCTCCCTCCCCCACCCTCTCCCTCCACCTTCCTTCCTCTCAGTCCCTTCCCACCCTCCTTCAGTGCTTTCCCCACTAAGTTTATGGAGGAAGCTGGATTGGTGTAGAGGTCACGTGACAACAAGTCACGACGTCAGTTTCTCCGTGAAATTTAGTGGGGAAACTGGATTGTGAATTGCTCGCATGTGACAGTCCTTTAGGACGATTTTGTCACAGAAAACGACCCATAAAACATGTCTTAGTTTAAAAGTTGGTATATAAGTCGCACCTATATATTTGTACGGTAGGCACGGCGAAACTGCGTCAATAAATCTGTGTATCATAGATATTGCGGTTACATGACAGAGGGATCTTATACACCACGTGGAATGCAAAGTTTACCAAGGCACACAGAAAACCTTTTGTCACTTGTGTTTCGTGTGTGGTGTATAAGATCCCTTTGTCATGTAACAGGTGCTACGTGGGACAAACAGGAAGATGTTTGAATGATAGATTACAAGAACATTCATATTCGCTCAAAGGGCTTTTGCCAATTCAATGCTGAGAGTGCAAATGTTGGCCTGACTTTGGCAGGGTCGCCATTCTGGGCACACATGGGGATAGGGTGATGAGAGAGATTATAGAGGCCTTCCCTATTTCATGTCACGGGCATTCATGTCTTGAACCTTCACTGGCGCCGTCAGCAAAAGAGATATCCTTTCTGCAGGAAAAAATGAGTCACATAGTGAACGACAGTAGCGTACCAACTTGTTTTTGAGCGGGGGGCAAACCAGACCCCTTCCCCCCTCCCCTCAGGGCCGGGGGGCGGTTCCCTTGGTATCCCTTGGGCGGCGCCGGCCAGTGTTTGCCCTGCCCAGTGGCGGCTATTTCAGGGGGAAGGGGGGGGGGGGGGGGGGGGGAGGGGCAAAATACATGCCTTGCTCGCCCACTCTGAGAACTGGGGGGGCAAGCGCCCCCCCCCCCCCCCCCCCCCCCCCCCCCGTGTGGCCCTTTTTTTTGTGTGCAATCTTTTTAAGATACTGTATACTTTTTTTTTTCTGTCTGTGTTTCCTTCATTAAAATTCTTACAGTTGCGAGCACAGCGTTGTCCTGTCGTGTTTGTTCTTCTTCGTAGTCCGTGTTTTTTTAGCTGTTTTCTCCATGATGTATAACGTCAACTAACTGGCCCAGTTTGCCACCTTTTTACATATGTAACTGTCAGTGTTTCCATCTAGATGAGTATTGTAGCAGGATGCATTCGCATAGTCGCGGAATGCACACCTGTACAATGCACACGTCGGTGCAACGCCCAGTTTAGCAGTTGTGTTGCACTGGCCAGATCGGCCATCCACAAGGAGAAGGCCAAATGCCCTTTAGAGGAAGACCCATCCCCACTTTCCGAGCATTTTTACAAGCCACAATTCTAAACTACTTCCTGGTCGCAATCGCAGTGCAGTTTTGTTTCTTAACCCGTGGCCATGACAATGCTTAATTCTCATGTATCCACATTAAGGGGTTAATGTGTGCTTTACGAGCAGTTTGGATGTCTGCCCTGACTGCATCCCTGCAAGTGGTTCTGCCTCCCTAAATCTACTTTTTTTTTTTTTTTATCTTTGAATTTTTTTTAATGTGAAACATCCTTTGGCTAGTTGCTCGGCATTTTGTGCAGTTCAAAAAGGTGCAGCGACCACGAAGCTCGACGCCGATTATTTGACGGGGGGGAGGATGAACGAAAGAAGTTGTACGCCGAATGGCTAACAGGGAGGTCACATGGCTAGAGGTGGGCGAAAAGGAGATGTTTGCGTGATCGAGCGAGGGCGCACTGGCAGAGGAGTGATTGGCGGTAACGCAGCTTTTTGGGATCTGCTATAAGTCTGTGCAGTATGCATTAGGTTATCTCACGAAGAGTGCCGTGAACGTAGGCGTTTAGCTGCACGGAATCTCTGTGATTAACGGCGTGAGCAAAGATGTTAGACACCCGAGTTTGAGCACTAGAGACTAACCCCACACCACACGGACTAACATCAACGTGCTTGACTATAAAGTGTAACCGCTGAGCGATTAAGCCCAAACGTTTCGCGTGTGCATCAAAACTGCCTAGCAATTTGTCATACATTTTTTTTATCGGCTGAATTTTATGAGGAACCTGTGACGAACAGTTGCGTCGATTCCCCTCTAAACTTGGCGGGGAAATTATTGTTACGTGACCTCAGGTAATGTTACATTAATTTTTCTGCTGGATTAGGTAGGGAAATTGACATCATGCAACATCAATTTCACCACGAAGTTTAGCAGGGAAATTGATGTGACCTGTCATGCTAGCACGAGCCGCACGACGTCAATCTCTGCAAGTCTGTGTCTGCACTTTCCGGCCTTTGTCAGCACAAAAAAGCTGATGTAATTCTTGTCCCCCTTTTTTTTTTGTCAGAATGTGTCGGGTTTCAGGGGTCGATCACATTTGTGTCAATTTTGCATAGTTGATATTTGTATGCCATTTCTGTTTACTGGGAGCATTGTGTTACACTCCTGCGGAACGCCCTTCCAGGCATCCAAAAGGACACTGCCCCATCGCCTTCCGAGAATTTCGGAATACATAACTTATAACTTTTATTTGCAAAGTACAGCTTTTAAAAGCTAGCAACTTCCGTTTTGAGTCCGACGGAGCGTGGCGCAACCACCACCCACTGTACAAGCTGTTGTTATTGCATGCAGCAGTATTGTATCATCGGCTTGGACTCCTCTTCACTGATTTACGGAACTAGCAGGCATCAGTTTAGATAAGAACCCGTAAAAGTTGGCCCTAGAAATAAATAGGACACCCGAGCGGAAATGTAATGAAGTTTTACCTGGCAGTTAATCACAAAAAGTAGCAAAGCTATGTTCCAATTACCATATTTTTCAATGTAGAAGTTGCAGCTTTGTAGAAATCGTACCCACACGTTTGTACGGACGGCATGGTGCAACTACATCAAAAAGCCTGCTCATGTATATTATGACGGCACTATATGCGCAGGTGAGAGCATGGTTCAATATGCTCATCAACGAAACGAACAAGGAATGCAACCCTTGTGGCAATTTTCCACGGTTGTTGTCCATACTTGGAGAACATAATTTGTATGAGCTAGACCGTTGTACAAGATACACTGACAAAACTATTAGAAAAAGAACCACCATAATTTGTACACTGGAAAGTATGATACTTTGGGAATATCCCATGATGTCAAAACACTGTGATTGCTGGCCGATAGCTTGGTTTCCGCCATGGAAAGTACAGAGAAGCCGCATTGGTGATTCATTGATTTGGCACTCTGCTCACTAAAGAGTGAGACAGTTGGCAAAACGTGGCACAGTTGTTGAGGTGAAATCGATGTGATTTTGTGTGCACAAACATTTTAGAAGTACTAACTGTAATTGGGCCAGGTTGCAAGTTGCTAAAAAAATGTAACCTGCAACTGCTGAAATCTCATTTTACCTTGGAAATTACCAAGTGGCTGTAATTAACTTTTTTAGGTTAGTCATTGTCAAATAATAATAATATAACATTGCTTTTGTTTTCAGATTGACAAGTGGGACGACCAGATTGCAAATGGCTGCTTTGCGGGCAAGATTTAGTGCCTGAGAAACCACCTGAATAAAGTTCTGCTGTGTAGAGAAGTGCGTAAATACAACAGTGGTTGAGTATTCTCCGTGCCATGTCTGCTTTGAGTCCTCATTTTTACACTAGTAGGAAGCTCTGCTCAGTGATAGGGTCACTGTCATACTCAGGTGTGGAATAATAAACCCTTTCTGAAATTTACTGCTGTCCGGTGGCCCAGGTAGCAGTTTTAACTTTTGGCATACTGACGGTGGTAGTAAACGTGTAGTCTGTAGTATCTTACCGGGCATCGTTCAATCTCCAACCCCGCCCGTTTCGATCTGGATGAGTATCGTACCGGCGTGCGATCATCTATCGCTATTGCGTGGAGCACTTCGAAGACCCCAGGCTAGCGCTGTACTGCACTAGCTAAATTGCCCATCTACTGCTGAGAGACCATAGAGTTATTAGGGAGTTTTCGTAGACCGCGTTGCCCCCTCCGCTAAGCGTTCCGCAACGAAGAAGTTGCTACTGCGCCTGCGCGCCGATAGCCTTGACTGTGGAGTTCCCGCTATCGTAGCGGATTGCGGAGGGCCTTGCGGGACGGCGAAAACGATCTACGAAAATTCCCTATTATAATGCATACATTATAATAACTCTATGCGAGAGACAAGTCGCTCGTGGAGACAGACTAAGTTACAACTCGGCAACATTGGCCTCAAGCCGCCAAGAATGTGGCCATCACGTAGTACGAGATGTCACGTGATCCTCTACGCGGCGACGGGCGGGATTGGGGCGGGCGTGTGCCAGGCGCACGAAAGTGTCGTCTGCTCCGCACTCCTCAACACGTTTAGGTGTCTACGATCTACGACGTTCGACGACGTCTGCACAACTGCGGCATAAGTCTGCGCACGTGGTGTCCGTGGTGGGGACGAAACTCCGATAGACAATAATTATGAACGGCGAGACGACGACGGCGGCGGTTGTGTCGCGGGAGGCGGCAGGACCACGGCGTTTATAATTATGGTCTATCGGCTCCCAAGAAGCACGCTGCGCAGACTCGTTACGCCAATCACGTGGACACCACTAAGCGCCGAGAGGAGACGCTGCTGACGTCACCCGTTACGCTTGCCCAGAAAAGTAAAAACAAGCAAAAGGGGGCCATATGGTGATAACGTTTAGCGCAATGCTGGCTACGCCCACGCCGTAGCCTGACTGCGCTTTTGGTTGCACTTCGACTCAGCCGATTTTGACAACTTGGCGACTAGCAAAGTTTGCCGGACCGTTCAAGAAACATTTAGACGAAACTACGTCGTAATATTTGACGTGTGGTCTTCGTAGGTGATACTAAAGAAGACTACGTTTTTTTTTTTTTTTTTTTTTTTTCAAAAATAAAAATGAAGCGGAGTTGTTCTCTGAGCTTGTGGGACCAGTCGAAAGTTACTTTTTATTAATAAATTTGTACATTAGTTTTTTTTTTTAATAGTTGTGTTTTGATATATTTTTTTTATGTTAGTTTTTTTTTTTTAATATTTGTGTTTTGATATATTTTTTTATGTATACCTTCCAGTGATGTTTCATGAATCTTTTATAAGTTTCACACCCTGCTAAAACTTGCCAGCGATGTAGTTTTTTTTTTTATTTTTGTAAATAAAAGGGGGCTGCTCTCCCACTCCTGCCCCGATCCCCGACGCTTAGACCAATAAACGTTTTTCCTCCTCCTCATTTGTAACTGACTAAAATTTACAAAAATGCCGACAAGTATGTGTGCCTGCAATGAAAACAAGTAGAACATAAGATAGCTCGCTTTTCGCCCTAAAAGCAAGCTGTTTTTTAGGAAATAATCTAAAACTAGATATGGCTCGTCAGTGCGAAAAAAGCGCTGCATGTTGCCAAGGGATCAAGAGGAGCCCCTAAAAGGGAACCCCAGGATTAAAAAAAAAAAGGGGGGGGGGGGTGATTTTGCAACAAGCGGATAAAAAACAGCTCGTTTTTTTTTCTTTTTTTTTTGGGGGGGGGGGGGGGGGGCAGAGAGGGAACACTCGCTGCACACCTCATTGCGTGGTGGATCTTTGTTTAAACACAGATACATAGTAGAGAGGTTTTTGATCCTCAGCGACACACGGTGTCGCCATTCAAGACATGATTACGATATTTCCTGCTTCGAAGTGGGGGATAACGTTTAACTCTGTGCCCACTTCGCACGGCATATGACTCGATAAATAAAAGAATAAAAAATAAATAAAAACAAAGTCAGTTTTATTAAAATCGGTCCTTGAATAAAAAAAAAAATAATCAAGTTTTTGCTGGAAGAAAATCCTCATCTAGTTTTATTTTGGCGCCAAACTCTGTCTCCAATGAACTTTCCGGGAGGTTAGTTTTCGTTCTGGATCCCCGCATCTCGTTTCTCTTCTTCGTCGGTGCGGGGATGTCTTTCGATTATTCGGGTCACGCGAATGTTCTGCGGAGGTTGGGTAGTCACATTCCTCATTTCCTTCAACATAATTTCAGATAAACCCCGTTTTCTCATCCAACACCAAAATGTTGTCACCGAAGAACATCGAATCTGCGGGAAAAAGTAAACGCCGAAAAAGCATCCACGAATCCTAGGAAAAATAAACCCCGAAAACACGAAACGCTGCCAAACCTCTATGAGCTAAGCAGCACCAACGCATGGATGCGCGTTGGTGCGGCGTAACCGCGCTAAATTTAGCCGGAACATTGACGTCACGTGACCTCAACACCAATTCAATTCCCCGGTAAATTTAGCGAGGGATTGAACTGGTGTTGAGGTACATGGCGTCAATTTTCCTGCCAAATCTAGCGGAGAAACTGAATTTGTCCATGGGTGACGTGACACCGAGTAATGTGACGTCATCTTTTCCGCTAAATTTAGCGGGGAAAGTGAATTGGAGGAAGAGGGTGCGGATGAAGTGGAGAGGCATACCCTCCTCTCCGTACCTTCCCCTCCTCCTCCTCAAGAGCTGCGCTCTAATTCGACATTACAAAGGATTGTAAACGTCTTTCATTTTTTCTGTTTTCTTTGATTCTGATAAAACCAGTTTGGAGGTTCATTTTCGGGTTTTTCAGTATTTACCAAAAGGACGAAACCTTATTAATGTTTGACAGAATGTCTGATCACCGGCGTCGAGTTCAATTACACAAAATCTCTTTCGGGTCCTCGTAACAAATTTCAGATTCGGAGATTGCCGCAGGAAACGTATGCGTCGACTATTACGTGACGAAACATCTGCCAAGAAGCTCTACACCAGAATGCGTGGTACAATGAGGCCCACGAAATAAGTTCGAATCTTTGATCAAATTATGTACTGACTACACTTTTAGGCTGACTCGGTTCTTTTAACATATAACCAGAAAAACAAGCACTAAATAAGTTAAAAGAAATATAAAAAAAGGCTTACCATTTTCGCTGCGGTGCATGTGATTGTATCCGATGAGGTCGAAACGGGCAAGCAAGTCTTGGTCGGCTCAGGCACCGTACAGAAACAAACTCTAATTACAAATCCCGGGAATCAAATTCAATCGCTCGGCCATTCAGTGTGTGTTTCGTCAAAGCCAAACATATTTTCTATGTCCCATGGACCTGAAGAGATCGAAGTGACAGCCAATAACGTTGAGATTGTTCACAATAGGGAGTTTTCGTAGACCGCGTTTCCCCCTCCGCTAAGCCCTCCGCAACGAAGAAGCCGCTACTGCGCCTGCGTGCCGATGGCCTTGGCTGTACAGTTCCGAGTATCGTAGCGGGTTGCGAAGAGCGTTGCGCGACGACGAAAACGATCTACGAAAACTCCCTAATAAGGAGTTTTCGTAGATCGTTTACGCTGTCCCGCAACGTTCCCCGCAACCCGCTACGGGATGCGGGACTCTGCAGGAAAGGCTATAGCGCCGCGCATGCGCAGTAGTGGCGTCTTCTTTCCAGGGAGCGTAGCAGAGCTGTGACAACGGTCTACGAAAACTTCCTAATAACGCTAGCTCCTCTCTTTTTGCCTCTGAACGAATTCTTGGAAATGGCAACAAAAGGTTTTCAAAGTTGGTTATCCGTAGCCTTTCCCACTCAGAAGCATGGGCGTCGGTAGGGGGGTGCAAAGGGGGCAGTTGCTACCCTCAAGCTAAACTGCCTGAAATAGAACCTCAGTATTAGGGCTTATAAATATTCACCCTTTCATGTCAAAATGCTACAGCTGTTCCCCGTGCATTCTTAAAATCGCTGCTTTTTTTATTTTTCACATTCGGCACGCTAGCCATTTTAATCTGGCAAACAGACTGAGGGTCACTGTTGGTCAATGAATGGGTCACGTGACACCATGGTGTTAGGTCCCAAAGTAACGTGGCATATGACATCCCTATGGGCTACTTATAATAAGCTCAAAAGTACCGGGACACCGCAGGATCCGTCAGGCTCAGATGAGCGAGAGTCGAACGTTCGCTCGAGCTTGCGCAGATTGCATCGTGCACAACTCATTTTGTAGCCACGGGATGGCGCTTCCGATATAATAAATAAATATTTTGTTGCCTCTTTTTCAACACAGTACATATACCGACCCGCAAAAACATGGGCATGCTTGTCTGCGGGACCTGACGTCCAACAAGTTGCTTGCGTAGTTAAAATAAAGCGTGCATTATTTGCGTGCAACTAAAAACAAAACAGCGAGAATTATACAAAAAAAAAAAAAAAAGAAACAAGAAAAAAAAAATATAGCGTGGTCATTTTCAGTAACCTGTCGACAACACCATTCTTCTCGGGCAGGCACGTAGCCAGGATTTTGATTAATTCGGGGGGGGGGGGGGGGTTCGCTAAAACGTCATTCCATTCGATCAAGTGAGTGCCTCCCGTGTTCCACCGTAGTGCTCGAGTCGTGTTACATAATCTGGATTGAAAGCAGACGACGCGATCGAAGTAATATGTGTTACATAACATGGACCGAGAGCAGACGCGTCGGGGACCCTTGAAAGATATATTAGGGCGAGCTTCCAGCTTTCGATCCGCAGTGACGGCAAGAATGTAACACCTACAAAAAGAACGAGAATAGTTGCACTCTTCATTTATTTATTGACCGCGCTGCTGCGAGATGCTGGGCTGTAATCTGCCCGGAGGACGGGAGTGCTGGTGGTTAGAGAGGTGTCCGCAGTTCTTTAGCACACGACCTCATTTGAGCTGACGGCTGCTTTTTCGCTGCTCCTTAGCAGGCGACGGTTGGCTGGTCTTAGCAGGTGAGCGTTGGCCGGTCTTAGCAGACGACGGTTGGCCGGACTTGGCAGGCGACAGTTGGCCGGACTTAGGAGACGGTATTTGGCCGGACTTACTAGGCGATGGTTGACCGGACTTAGCAGGCGATAGTTGGCCGGACTTAGTAGGTGATAGTTGGCCGGACTTAGCAGGCGATGGTCCGACGGATTTAGCAGGCGATGGTTGACCGGATTTCTGTTGCTTCGGTTCTGCTTCCGATTTCAACGGCTGAAAGAGTCGACGACCCCATAGCGTCGAGGGAGCGTTGTCCTTGTCAGACAGATCGAAGCATCCCTTGACTCGTTTGGCCGGCTCACACGTCCGACCGGGCGACCTGGGGGGACTAGAACTGTAGTCCGGGGCCGGGAACAGAACCGGTTCATCGTCGTCCAAGGAATGGGAAGACTTGCGACGAATGGCAGCGAGGGGAGCTGTGGTGACGCTGTCGTCATGGGGGAGACCTGCGATTTTTGTGACAATATCGTTCGAGAACCTCGATCCTGTCTCCTTTAATCTGCAGATGTGCATCGTAGCGACGTGCGGTTTTTCTCTAACAGCTACTGGGTGATGTACGGTAAAGATCCCAGACTCGCGGTCGTACTGCAAAGAGTAACTCGGCACCGACACGAGGGTGGTTCAAAACGGGACATACGCAACATGATCTTCGTGACGTTTATGGAGATGATGTCGCGCTCTTATCGGGGCTATCAATGCCGTATACGTACTCAGCGACCGTTTCCTGTTGGCTGCGCTGGTGCTCGGAGCCGCCGGGGCCGCCGGACGTCTGGTGTCCCTCTCAGGCTGTGCCATCTGAGCCCCTGACTTGCCCCTGGGTCCAGGCTGTCAGGGCCTGGCCCCGGCGGGGGACCGCCATTGGCGAGAGCGCGGGAGGACAAAGAGCACGTGGCACGTGCTTACATCAACCCGCGTGCACTCTTGGCGAATTCGGGCGGCTGTGGCTTTAGTTTACAACAGAATATTAAAAGCGACGAAGGCGAGCCTTCTCGGGAGCCTCGTAAAATGGCGACAGTTCTTCGGAAGTCTGAACAAAATATTCTATTGAAATTCGACGCGTGTGCGGGCAGCACGACGCAGATTTATTGTACGGGCTCCCATTAATAATAATAAAAAGAGTTTGAGAAAGATGTGGAAATAAATGCCAATATTTCGAAAACCATTGTGAAGCCACTTATGTTTACACACATATTAGAGAGTCCGAATTTACGTTGTTGACGCATACAGCGGTTCCATTGTACCATAGTATAAGAGAGGAAGAAGCTAACCAAGCTCAACGCGCTACCCAGGAAAACAAAAACGCCAGCCACCTGCGCTTTGTTGTTCGGGCAAGGTTCGAGTGGAGAGGGTTTTGGGGAGGTTGACGAGGTACGCCACTGGCGGGCTCTTGGTTGCGGTGCCGCAGGCAAGGGCTCGCCGGTGGTTGACACCACTCGAATTCGCCATGAATGTACAACGCTGTCAAAGCTGCTGGCGCGAGCATGGGGTTTGATCTCGCAGATCATCTGCACGCGTTGTCGCGCAAACGAAACCATAGATCAAGCTACGCGCTCGCGCCTATAGCCTTGACAGCGTTGGATCTGCCGAGAGGAAGTCGTCTGCTTCTTGCGCAGAAGTTGCGGTGACGTCAGGACGACGCCGAGCTGTGATTGGCTCCGATTGAGGGGACAGTGGGTAGGCCTCAATGCTAGATGCCCCTTGAGGTATGTATACCCACTATCGTTTTCAATCAACCAATAAGAGCTCGGCGTCTTGACATCATCGCAACCCCTGCACAAGATGCAGACAAACTTGCGTTTCGCATAGCCTGTCGCCAAATATCCCGGTGCCTCTGTCGTACTCAGTTTCACGATGTCAAACCTAGGGACTATATAGAGTCACATTTTTACGAGAGCGCTTGCGAGTGAATCACTAGTAGTGTCGCGCCAAGAGGTTCGACAATGCCCGGTTCATACGTAACCAACGCGTCTGCCTAGCGACATGTCTCTGCTTGTGAGCGAGCACGTGTAATAAAACTTTTGCTAAATTACCCAAGCACCAAGGAGCTCGCGCGAGTGTGGTTACACCAGAATCAGTGTATCGTAAAGCACATCTGAAAAGTACTTGAAGTAAACCTGCAAAGTAAATGAGAGGTTATGTACTTTTTGTATAGCAGCAAGTACACCGGACGGCAATGTAGTTGAAGTACTATAGGTACAATGCACTTTAGAAGTAAAGTACAATCATTTTTAACAATCTTCTTTCACGTTCACAATGTTCCTGTTTTTTTTAGCTGGTTTGCTTTGTTTAAAAGCGGACGATATTCTGCAAGGCTTTCCTCCTCTCACGTATTCGAGAGTGGGAGCAAAGGCAGGCGAGGGAAGCGAAGAATGAAAAGAGGGATCTATGTTTTCTTCTTCTTTTTTTGTCTTATTTACAAGGAAACCTGCACCGCCGTTTTGGCATTATTGCAGGATACGCTGTGTACACAACTTACAAAAACTCAAAACTATTACAAGAAGCCTCATTGTGCGAGCACGTGAAAGGAGATAATTAAGCCAGCAGAAAGGGTGCCCCCACTGGACACGTCACAACCTGTGCGCCGGAGGATTATCAAAGGAACCTTCCAGGACCAGGGAACGAGAATCAAGTTTGTTTCTCGCGCTGCGCGGTACGTCTCCACTGGGTGCTCCTTTGATAAGCGAAAATTTTAATCAACGTAAATTGACTTTTTTTTTTTTTTTTTTTTTTTTAATAACTGCTGTTTTTTGTTGGACGCCTGGACCGGAATGCATTTGTATGAACATTTGAGGGCCACGAAGAAGGAAGAGTAAAAACGCTTCTTTGTACGAACTTCGGGGCGAAAGATAAGCTACAGATAAGTGTGCAAACGATGCGGTGGGAGAACTCGAGCACTCACATGCCACTACATCTAGGAAACAGGATTTAACTCCCCTTCTGGGGCTTATTTCGCTCGAACACGCAACACGTGTTTTCGTACTCACAACTTTCGAACCAGCGTCTGCGTGGCGCTGCACGTCCGCAGGCGATTTTTTCTAAAACCGTGGATATCTCCTCGATAAAACAAAATGAAGCCCCCAAAGAACACAGAACGGCTTCCAATCGTATTTAGCAATATATTTAGCGCGTTTTCGCCTCCTTCTCTCACTCGGCTTCTCCGCGCATATGTTCACAGTATTCTTGGTGCAAGGGTCATTTGGAAAAAAAGGTATATTGAAAGCCTACCAAAGTTACCTTTTGTGTATACCCTGCAAATGTTTTCAATGCTTGTCAAAAAAAAAAAAAAAAGTTTTTTTTTAGCGTCGTTGCGCAATGGGGTGTGGGGAAGACGCTCTGCGTCGTCCATCACAGCCTCCAGAAACCGATACGTCACGTGACATAATGCGGTCACATGACGTCAACGTGACGCCTTGGCATCACGTGACGATATATAAGAAATAAAGATTTACCCAATGGTTTCCCAGGAACGAGTGAGTCGGACAAGTGTCGTGTCAACACGCGATTCTGGACGTATAACTTTTATTCAGTCGCCAAAAAACCTTCGTGTCAAATGCCGGGACAAATTTGTTCACCACACGCGGGTGGTCAAACAGGCTGAAAACGGGCACTGCCCCCCGGGGGTTGGCACCGGTTGTCGGGGGAGGAGGTAAATGCACGCGCTCTGCGGTGGTCATTGTCGGAATGTCTGCTGCCGGTCCGAGCCCTGGAATGGCACCGACGGCCGAGGGCCCGGTCGACGAGGACAGGTCGGCCAACTCTGCCCACAGAACCAACACACCCGTGTGGCGACGACCTGGCAACCCTGCGATTGGTACACCGACACTCCATCGGAGAGTTTTCGTGTATAAAGTAGTACCTGTAGCTCCAATGACGACACCCGATGACGGTACGATACGAGTCGTTGGAACGATCTACTCCCTCGTCTACTTTAGCGATGCCGCCAATTTTTAACCCTTTTGTCCATCTTGAGGTTCGACCGGTCCGCCGAACCTTCGAACCTTTGGCAAAATTCGACGAAGTTCGACTTCAGTCGGCAGGCAGGGGTTACAGACGACCGACACGTAAACGCTTTAGCGTCCTCTGGGAGCGACGCGTGTGGATGGCGGTTCTATGTTGGCACGGAGAGTGGCAGAACATCCGCGGCAGCACTTCGGCCGTACGCGACAAGGTCTGGTCAGTAATTGTGCAATCGTGTGTGTGCCGAGACGAGCGTCGCCAGCAGCTTCAGAAACGCAGAGCGGGGGGCGAGTTCCCGCAGCCAATCATATTGCGGCATTCGACGTTAACAACGCCAAAGGTACCAATCACAAGGCGCGACCACGACAAGACCACGCCCTGTGCTTCTCAAGCCGCCAGCGATCACCAGCAGCGCGACTTGCATTGGCCAACGTTGCTATGGTCACGCGATCGCTTCCGGCAGTCCATAGGAGAGAAGTGATACCCTGTTGCGGCGATGGAGGATGACACGGCGTTCACGTGACAGGGCGTCATGTGGCCGGCCTCCGGTCGTAACGCTTTTCGCGGATGGGAACGGGTTCGTGCCGATGGATGTAGCGGGGATTTGGCGGCCGCGTAACGCTTTCGCGTCTCCCGCTTTTTGTCGAGTGACCATCGAACAAAAACGTACCGCGAGTTTCAAAATGTTTCGGCATCATCTCCGCGTGGTGTCGGTGTAAAACGCCTCACCGCGGACCACGATGGGTGACCCGACCGCGGCCATCGGCAACATCCCGATGAAGACAACCAAGCAACACCAAAAACACATCGTCGCGACGCTTAACCAATCACGCACAGACAAAAAAAAAAAGTGCTGAATCACGTCGCATTTACTGTGCCTGATCGATTTAGCCGGTGATAAGGAACGCAGAAAGGAGATCCGCCATGACGATGCCCTTCGGTACGGCTGTGGGCATTGTGTGATTGGCTCCATCAGATCGAAGCGCCGATTGTGGTCGGGCCTAAATGTGAAAGGGAGTAAATATGTTTATAAAGACGTTGTTCGCGCTTCCAGGTGGCGACTTTCCTCGAAGCGGCGGGCAGCGTGGGGGTTTTTTGGGCAGAGAATGGCGGCGGACAGGAGTAGAACGATCAGAAAGACGCCATTTTGTCCGGGTGAAATTCTAGTTCGTCCTTTGGGTTGGTTGTCGTTACTTGTATAACTGTATCGAGGGATGATTGTCGTGACTCCGCGATAGGAGCTACAACGAGGAGCTGGATTCGCTGGACGCCATTTTGGTCATAGATCAGTCGGGCTTGGCAGTCGCAGTTCGAGTGTTTCTCGCGTCGAGTAAGCTCGGTGTCGTCTGTCGTGCCGGTTGGCAGCACTGAAGCGCACCACTGCAGATTCCTCCCAGCGTTACAAACAGGCGGAGTTACGCTTCCGCGTTGCCTAGTTGCGCTTCACCGTTGCCAACTGGCGCAGTTACGCTTTAGCGTTGCCAAGTGGTGCAGGTACTCTTCGGGGTTACCAACCGGCGCGGGTACGTGCCAGCGTAGCCGACTGGTGCAGTTACACAGTTGCCAATCGTTACAGTTACCCTTGAGTGCTACCAATCAGCGGCGCGACAGGCATCACTAAAGGCAACACTGAAGGAGCTAGCGCTACAATGATGGTACCCAAAAGCTAACATCTAGATTCGGGTGTAGACCAGAGCGGTCACAGGTCTGGCCTGGGAATTCGCGACAGCACTATACGGTTATGACAGGACCACCCTCCTGGTCGTGTCCAACTCGTTGCCTGAGTTCCGGCCTTGGTTGTCCCAGCGATGCCGAGTCTCGGACTGCAAGACCTATCCCAAGCCCCACTTACGCACCTTCTAGCACCAAAGGTTCTCGCCCGAAACAAGAGGTAGGTTTAGTTCTGGACAGGTGACTGCGGTTGTGGCAGTAACATCTAAAACTAAGCTACAGTAGAAAGTAAATGCAGACGGCGAGTATTCCTGCCAGTAAAGGGAAAGAATCTGCACCGCAACAGTCCCCACACCGAAGGGAATCGTAACTCGACAGGGTTGCCAACGAGCCGCCTTTCCTTCTTTCCGTCGGCCACTGCGGACAAAGTCGGCCGACCGTCGTACCTTCGGGGACTATGGTGGCTGGAACGCGTCTAGTCCTGGATGAACCCGAGTGTCTCCAACATGGCCACAAACTACGCCCCAAAAGCCGCCGCGTAATGCGACGGGTTGTCGCGATCCTTGCGGTCGGTTGCTGAAGCGTAGAAGAGGGGAATGCGCGGACGTCGCAGCGTCACAACCAGGGATGTGGCGAACTTGGTCGAATTTCGGGATTCGACTACGTTGGCGAACCCTGTACCTGTTGTCAAAACTTGCCGAAGTTCGACTCGCGAAGAGTGTTGCCCGACTGCGTCGGCGAACGTTCGACCTTCTGTCAAAACTCGGCAGAAATATTCAAGCTTTTAAAACAAAATGTTGCATACGGTGGTTTCTTTCAAAAATTGAGAGAATAAATACCTATACAATCACCAATGTTTGCACAACATGAAAATAAACATTCATTAATGATTTCGTCAGTTTGTGAATGCGAAACAACGTACCCGACAAACATTTGTACGTTTCCCCCGCCAGGCCGCGATAGTTCATTTTGAATGTTGGCGCATGGCGTTAAAAAGTTCGCAAATGTGTAACGCAGTCGAACCCCCACCTCGGCAGGTTCGGGACATCCCTGGTTACAACCGGTAACTCCTGGAGCGCGTCCGATTACTATACTCGTCGTCATTTAAAAAAAGTAAAAAAAAAAAAGAAAAAAGTAAGCTTTAAGCATTATTCTTGCACCGCACGAAGTAGTTCTTACAGTTAAGACTTGGTTGTCGCAGGAATAGACTTAGCTTTTGGCGTTTGAACAGTGTACGTCTCGATAAAATAACGGCAAGCTAATCTAAAATTCTCCCACAAATATCGTAATTCACTAGGATTAAAGGAGTAAATCCGTAATGCTCCGCAGGAAGCCGGACTCCTTTAACTAAGGTTCGTGGATGAACACGAGTATAGCCGTTCAGAGCGAGCCCCAGGAGAACGGGCGTCTGGCGCGTCCATCTTCACCTGCTGTTCCACCGCCAGGATCGCGTCGGACACCGGCATTGCCCGGCAACGAGGCCATTCTTCAGTAACAAAGACGCGGTGTGAACCCAAACCACCAAGAAGACAAGGCCTTTCCTCGTCTATCCTCATCGCCCAACTCGCGTCCGCGTCGCCATCAGCACGTCTTGCAGAGTCTCACGAGGAGTGCGATGCTAGCAGACGGCGACGCCAGGATGCACGCGTCTGCCGCTTCGTCAAGCCTCAGCGTCTTCGAAGTACCGCGCCGGCCTTGTCGTCTTTACGGGGTATCGGATGAGGCCGGGTGCGAGCCGCGTATCGGGCGAACACACCAATCGGAGAGACGCGTTCCGGTCGCCACACCAGGATGGGGGTCCTGGACAATGTTTGCAGAGGGCCCGGGCCGTCACTGCTGGGAGGGACCCCCGACGTCCAGCAGGGGTCCCAGCAGGAGGTGCTCCCCGTCGCCCTCCTGCTGCACGACGGGGCCTCCGGTCGGCTCGTTGAGCATTTGCGCGACCGTGCTGCCCGGCGTGGTCGTGGTCGTGCTGGTGGGGCGCTCGCTGCAACAGGCGCCCGCGGCCAAGAGGCGGCGCTTGCGGCGACGTCGCTTGCGACCGCTGCAGTCAGACGAGCGTCGGCTGCCCTCGTCCTCGTCGGTGCCCTGCGCATTGGGAACCGAGACGATGACTCAGTGACATGACAAAGCGACGGTAAAGTGAAACCCTTTGAAAAAAATGAAAGACGTTTACGAATCTCTGTAATGCGAAATTAGAGCGCACCTCTTGAGGAGGAGGAGGAGGGGAGGGTACGGAGAGGAGGGTATTTATTTATTCATTTAAATACCTTAAGAACCCTGAGTCAGGGTATTACATAAGGGAGTGGGTTAATATTAGCGAGGTTAACATTTGGCGGAACAAATCGATGTCTTGAGCAGAGACAATGGCTTCGGGCAGGCCGTTCCAGTCCACAGATGTCGCCGGGAAAAAAGATTTAAGGAATGCTGTATTTCGAGTGAAAAGAAGGCCAACTTTTGCATGGTGGTCAACGCGAGGTGATATGCGATCCGTGGGGAGAGGGGACGGGGAGGAGCGGTGATGCCCCTCCTACCCTCCCCTCTTTCTCCTCCCAGTTTCCCCACTAAATTTAGCAGGAAAATTGACGCCACGTGGCCTTAAAACGAAGTCAGTTTCCCCGCCAAATTTAATGGGGAACATGACGTCACATGAGTTTGTGTCAGACGCCCACGAACAAATTCAGTTTATCCGCTAGATTTACCGGGAAAGTTGACGTCACGTGACCTCAACACCAATTCAATTTCCCGTTAAATTTAGCGGGGCGGTTACGCCGACGCCAACGACGACGTCTCTATATGCGGGAACGGGCGCCTAAGAGCTGTGCTCTAAAATTGAGTGCCATCTAAATCCGTTTCACTTGAGACAAACTAATGGCAGTCATGAAACTATTTCATCGAGTCCCGCCGCTTTCGCACGACAATGGCAGGTGACGGCTGGTACATCTTAGATTCGAAGCGCCAGAAAACAAGGATAACAGAAGGAATAGACGAAACGATGAGCTACTGTCAACTGAATTTTTATTCGGAAAAACAAACATATATATACACACCCAAGCAACCATTTGCTTGTAATCAAACTTCTCGTGAGATGAATTCCAATTCCTTATCTGATAAAAGGACTGAGGAAGTGCTGATACATGCATCGCCCTTCACCCTGATTTTAAAAGCCTCGAAGATTTCTCTTCCTGTTCTTGTTTTATATCGTCCCAAAATCTGCGTTTCATCGAGTGCAGGAGAACACGGGCACCGATCACAATGAACGACCAAGTTTCCCGAGGGTGACCGCCTAACAGGGCCGGTTTGCTCGAAGCTGGTTAACTAACCGCGGTTAACCTGATTTCCCTACGAAAGGGAATTTCGGGTCACGTGACCGGCAGAGTAAGGACGGTGGGGAAACATGGCGGTGCCCCGGTGAGTGAGCGCCGCTCGCTTTGGAACCAATACGTCGTAGTAGCTACAGAAGCGGGCGCGTTAGTCAGCAATGAATGGGGCAGGAGGTTTTCGCGTTGCCTTACCTCACTTAAAACACAAAACATGAGCAATGACCTCGCCGCATTTTTTAGATAGACTTTCGACTCTGGCCATTCCTAAGCCTACATGAACGCGATAATGGTCGGCATGGCAACGTCTTTGGAAAGTGGATTGCCTTGAAATCGGCCGGGTATTGATAGCACACAAAATCATGCTACGAGTGTAGTTACACGCGCTGCACCTGCTGGCGTCTGCAGTAATAACTGTTCTGAAGCAAAAAGCCTAAAACAAATTTTGCCGTGCACGCGCGTTCGTCAAAGATTTATTATGATTGTTTACTTCAAATCTTTTATAAGTGGAACGCCAGCGCGCGCGGATCGTAGAAACACTTCCAGCGTTCTCCTCGATGTTCGGGTAATTTACTAATAGGTCCATTTTCAGTGGAGCCGAGTTACAGGTTTTTCAGTTTATGACGGTGTTATATACAGTTCTTACATGCTGGCCAACCATGCTGCCGGTGTACCGCCCGCCTTTCACTGCTCACTTCTTTCTCATCGTTTCTAGGACTGAACTTCATCGTCCTCTTTCGAACACGGAAGGAAATTTCAACGAGGCTTTTCTTCACTTCATACAGACAAATATTTAGAAAATTTCCAAACAAGGGTTAATTTAGTTTTACCTTGCCGATTATTTGTACCACGAGCGATAAAAATTGTTTCTTAAGCTCAAATGTATGCCGCGCTGCGTCACGAAAACCAGGCAGCGCGCATTTTTTTGGGTCTCCCCATTTCGGGAACCTGGCATGGAAGCCACGTATATTCGCCACAGCCAGTAGGTGACACCAGCTACCACCCCATAATAAAACACGGAGCTATCGCTCATCCAGCCGTCGTCAAACTTGGCTAGGTACTTGTAGGTACCTAGTAGGGAAGGGCGGTTAACTTTTAACCGCGGTTAAAGTTAACCGGCTTCGAGCAAACGGGCCCAGAAAGGTCATGCTCCCTGGGCCTCTCGTTGACGCACTTCCCCGTCTGCCCAATATACGTTCTCCCGCATGACGTTGGTATCTCGTAAACCACCGCTGTTTCGCATTCTACATATTTAATGGCATGTTTTTTTGTGCATGCTTCCGCCTTGCGTGACTTGTTATTCACCCTTGGACATAATCTGGATAACTTCGACGGTGCTGTAAACACTACAGGAACGCCGAAACGTCCGGCTATCTTTTTGAGATTGTGGGACAATCTGAGAATATACGGCAAAACCGCCACTTTCTGTTTATTCTGCGTGATGCCTTCCCCCCCGATTCACTTTCTCTTTTTTTCAACTTTGACACGAGGCTTTCGGCGATTTCCACAAGAATTCCTTCTGGATACCCCGCGTTTTGTAGGCGGCAGACTTGGGTGAGGAAGCTTGAACCAACAACGTGCTCACATGATTTTTCTAGCGCTGCGAGCATCAATGAAGTTGCCACTCCTCTCTTTACCAGCTTCGAGTGAGCAGAATCGAAGGGAAGCACACCTCTTTTTGATCTTGGCTCATATTTCCAGCAGACATGATTTTCCTCAAACTTCAAATTTAAATCCAAAAACTGGAGGTGCCCATTTTTCATATCTTCATGCGTGAAGGTCAACCCATTGGCATTTTTCGAGAACACTTCTAATACGCGTTTTATGGACTCTTCATTTGCACTCATGGGCCGGTTCACTAAAACCAAGAAATCGTCCACATACCTGAAGATTCTAAAGTCCCCCGTTTCCACTAGCTCCCTGCTGATCCCTCTGTCACATTCCGCCAAAAACATGTCACACAAGACCGGGGCAACCCGGGACCCAATACATATCCCTCGTTTTTGTACATACAACTCGTTGCTAAATGAAACCACCGTAGACTCAAGGAACAAGGCAAGCAGTTCACAGAAAGACTCAAGACTTGTTCCACATGAACTCCTAAACGCGGTTTCTCCCGAACTCTCAATGCACTTTTTTACAGTGGGAAATAGTAGTTCGTGCGGAATAGAGTAGAAGAGATCTTCCACATCGATGGAAAAGGCAGAGCTATAGCCGAACCCTCTTTCCCTCACTATGGCCAAGCCTGTGCCGAGAGAGAGATTGGACCACACTCCGAAATGAACGCTTACGCAATCGTTGTTTCTAATTCGTGCGTCGTGTTGTACTGACGTCTCGAACGTATACAGGCCTTTATATATAGCCTCCGTTTGGCGGTATCCTTCCTCCTTCATCAGCCTCAAGAAGGCCACCATTAGTTGGGCACATATGCCATACACTGAGCTGAGAGTAGTTAAAGTTGGCAGACAGAATGTCTAAAAAAATAAGGATTTATTGGGATGGAATGTTTCTCACTTTACACACGCTTACTGCTACGACGCTCCATCTTTTACTACAGAGGTGCGGCTAGGTGGTGGAAGTTTGGAGTGAAAATGGCGGCGAACGAGCTTACCTCGCTAAAAAGAGATAAAAAGGACAACCGGTTTCGGGCTATCACTCTTGCGGCTATTTTTACCGCAGGGAGGGACACCCGCGTTCACCAGCAACACCGCCCAGTGCCGCACTGGCTAGATTTCTTATCTACAACGGAGATACCGGACGTCCACTGGGTACTTCACGCTGTCTAAACATACACACGATTCATTTCTGCCAGCATAAACAACGCCCAAAAGCCCAACACCATTCATGTAAAAGTTAAACAGAATCTGCGTAACAAAGAACGGCGTCACCGTTGATGCGTATACAGCGGCGTTTGTCTATGGCAGTGGTTCTCAACTAATGACGCTTCGCGGACCCCTTGTGGATCGGCAGAGATGAAGGAGGACCCCGTTCGGGCTGAGGAGAAGGGAAATGCATAGGTTAGCTATAGGATAATGATTTAATAAGTGAAAATAACTAAAGGCTAGCGTGAAGTAAACTTCTCTCATTGACATACGCACCAGAAAACTCACCCGAAAATTTAAACGTTTCTGCTCAATCTAAAAAAAAAATAAAATAAATAAAACTCTTATTGCGGTGCTTGACTGATGAGGCACGGCTTCGCGGACCCTAATGGGTCCGCGGACCCCCATTTGAGAACCACTGGTCTATGGGAACCGCCAAGTAATAAAAATTATAAATTATACAAGCTCGATCATGCTGACAGAGACTGGTACGCACCGAATGTGTAACAGGCCTCCCAGGAAGGAAGAGAGGGGCATCTGAACGGGAGCGCCTAGCGAAGATTCGCTTTCATTTCTGAGCCACGCCGTGAGATGGCGCAGCATGACAAGAAAGGCCGAGGGGCGCGCGCCCCGCGAACAACTTGGGCTTCGCATGTTCCGATCCTCGACCCTGGATAGCTCGGTCGGCGAAGCACTTGGCCATGGCCTACGAGATTTTTCGAGTGCTGGTAGAGAGTGTTACAGCGGGACGCTTAGTAATGCTCGCAACCAAACCAAACCAAAGCTCCTATTTAAACCAAACAATGCGAAGAAATAGCCACGATTTATCACCACCACCATTGTCGTCCGTCTACTTCTTAGTATTAGCTCGAAATGTGATCCCCGTCTCTCGCCGCAACACAGACCTTTGGCGAGGAAGAAGTTGATCGAAATCTGAAGGTTCGTC